GTCGACCACAGTATCCTTCTGGGGCGCCTTGCGGAAATGGGCCTTGGGGGCACTGCTTTGCAGTGGCTCCAGTCATTCCTGGAGGGTCGCACCCAGAAGGTGTTATTGGGGGACTCCTGTTCTACGCCACAACCTTTGACTTGTGGGGTCCCACAGGGTTCCATACTGTCCCCCATGCTGTTTAATATCTACATGAAGCCGCTGGGTGAGATCATCCGGAGTTTCGGGGTGCGGTGTCATCTGTACGCAGATGATGTCCAACTCTGTCACTCCTTTCCACCTGCTACTAAGGAGGCTGTCGAGGTCCTGAACCGGTGCCTGGCCGCTGTAACGGTCTGGATGAGGGCGAACAAACTGAAACTAAATCCAGACAAGACAGAGGTACTCCTGGTCAGTCGCAAGGCCGAACGGGATATAGGGTTACAGCCTGTGCTGGATGGGGTCGCACTCCCCTTGAAGGCGCAGGTTCGCAGCTTGGGTGTGACCCTGGATTCATCGTTGAGCCTGGATCCCCAGGTGTCAGCGGTGACCAGGGGAGCATTTGCACAGCTCAGGCTCGTGCGCCAGCTGCGCCCGTATCTCGGGAAGTCTGACTTGGCCACGGTGGTACACGCTCTGGTCACATCCCGCCTTGACTACTGCAACGCTCTCTACGTGGGGCTGCCCTTGAAGACGGCCCGGAAGCTTCAGCTAGTTCAGCGCGCGGCAGCCATGTTACTAATGGGAGCGGGACGCAGGGAGCACAACGCCCTTGTTGTCCCAGCTCCACTGGCTGCCGATTTGCTACCGGGCCCAATTTAAGGTGCTGGTGTTGGCCTACAAAGCCCTAAACGGCTCCGGCCCAAAATACCTTTCAGACCGCATCTTGGCCTATGAGCCCACGAGGACCTTGAGATCGTCTGGGGAGGCCCTTCTCTCGATCCCGCCTGCCTCACAGGCACGCCTGGCGGGGACGAGAGAGAGGGCCTTCTCAGTGGTGGCCCCCCGGCTGTGGAACACTCTCCCTACAGACATCAGGCAGGCGCCCTCCCTTTTGTCCTTCCGAAAAAGCCTTAAGACATGGCTGTTCGAGAGGGCATTTAATTAAGTGCTATAATAATGTGGTAAAGATGACTGGAATGGAACAAGGAATACGAGATTGGTTACGATTCTATTATGAGACGAAGCGGATTAGTTAGTGTAACTTTTAATTGTTGTATTGCTGTATGGCTAATATGTTGTTGTAACTGTCTTTTTGTAAATTGCCTTTTTATGCTGTACACCGCCATGAGTCGCCCGAGAGGGCTGAGAATGGCGGTTAATAAATGCACCAAATAAATAAATAAATAAATAAATAAAGGATATAATTAATTTCACAGATAAAATTTGAGTTCAGACCAGAATACTTTCTATCAGGGATTACGAATTTAGAAATGGATAAAAACATGAACAAGATTTTTTTTGACCCGATAACAGCGGCAAGAATCACCCCGGCCCAATTATGGAAATCTCATGAAACACCCACCTTAGAACAGTGGATCTTGAAAGTAATGGACATTATGAACATGGACATGTTCACACATAAAATGACACATAGTAATGTAAAAACACATAGAACAGAATGGGGAAAATTTCTGGAATTCCTAAAAAGAAAACATAGAATTTATATTCACAAGATATAAATGAAACTCTAAGGATCAAGTACCAGGAAACTGATGACAAAAGGATACAGCAACTTCCGAAAAGAGATGAACTCACAACCTGGAGAGACCTGGAAATACAAGCACTTCATCCCCCCTTCCCCCACTTTTTCTTTTCTCTTCCTTGTTTCTTCGTGTCTAGTAATTTCCCCTTTCCTACTTTTCTCAACCACATTGTTCTCACACTTTTTATGTAAACAAGATATTTTTCAATCTATATTACATAATTTCTCTTCTTTAATTTGCTCCCTTTTCTTTGGAGCAACTTTTACTCTCAATAAAAACAATTTAAAAAAGAACTATTTCTTCGAGCAGGCCTACCCACCCAGCCAATATTAAGCATACATTTTAAACTTGCACCATGTGTTTTAATCTCTGTCCTATTTTAATATGTATCTTTTATAGAATTACATTTTAATGTGTGTTTTGGGGGCCCTCTGGTGGTGCAGTGGGTTAAACTGCTGAGCTGCTGAATTTGCTGATTGAAAGGTCGGGGGTTCAAATCTGGGAAGTGGGGTGAGTTCCCGCTGTAAGATCCAGCTTCTGTCAACCTAACAGTTTGAAAACATGGAAATGTGAGTAGATCAATAGGAACTGCTTCTGCGGGAACATAATGGCACTCCATGCATTCATGCTGGCCACGTGACCTGCGTTGTCTACGGACAATGCAGGCTCTTCAGCTTAGAAATGGAGATGAGCACAACGCCTTAGTCGGACCCAACTAGACTTAATGTCAGGGGAAAACTTTAATTTACTTATGTGTGTTTATAGAATTTTTGCAATGTTTGTGTATTTTGACTGACACTGACCTGCCTCAAGCTACAAGGAGAGGCGAGTAAGACAGAAAATTATTATTTCCTGCAGAATATTTCCAGTCTTTTGCTCCCATGTCTTTTGGTTGCCAACGACAAAGTCTTAAAGTTCTAAATGTTCCATGCTTCCTCCATGGGTATCCATTTCAATAGCAGTTTAGATCTCCATCTGCTCTGGATCCATTCATTTGCCTTTTGAACTCTCCATTGCAACATAAGAGCTCCCCCCCCCCATTTCAAACGTATTGATTTTTGTTAGTTGCTAGCATTATTCACTGTGTAGATTTCACAACCATACATGGAAGTCAGAAATACTGTGCTATGAATCAATGATTCTCAACCTGTGGGTCTCCATTTGTTCAGCCTAAGACTCCCAGAAATCCTAACAGCCGGTAAACTGGCTGGGGTTTTTGGGAGTTTTAGGTCAAAACACTTGGGGACTCACAGGTTGAGTACTGCTATAAATGATTCTGACTATAATGAGCTCAAATCCTGACCTCAAATCTCATGATTCATGCCTAGGATGAGACATAACCCTTCATTTAGGCTATAAAAATATGTCTAGAACTGCCGCAGCCCTTCTCGAGATTTAGATAAAGTTAATGTTTCATTGTTGCAGTGGTTATGAAAACAACTCTGAATCTTTTTTTTTAATCCAATAGTTATTTAAGAATTCCATATCTATTGTTCTGTTACAATTATTTCTGATTTTCCTTTTAAACAGATATTGCTTGGCAGTATATTTTATATGTTCCTGATTCTTTCAATCACACCCCTCCCTGCACTTTTGCACAAACTATATGGAGACTGCTGCTAATGACAGGGTACAGACTTTTAACAATTATAAAGAAGTCACTAATCACTTCCAGAAGAACATTTGCTTTTCCTTAACTAATACACAGTGATGCACACAAGAAGCTGCTATGTTGCAAGCAAAGTAATTAGCTTCAAACTGTAACAGATTATTTTTGAATGCTCATTGCTTTCCCTTTATTAAGGCTGAGGGACAGGTATTAACCCATGACCACCTCAACTTACCTCTGGGTGAAACACCTGATCCCAAGGGCAATCCATCTCCATGGGTTGCTCACCCCATCTGGTCATTTTGCTGAGATGGCACCACAGGGGCACTTCTTCCCTAGCATTATAACTTTACAAGAGAGAGCCAACTCTTAGCCTAGTCCCAAGAATAGTCTCCTTCACAGTCCCCCCTAAGCCACAGAACTTAGAGAGGACTTCCAGACACCAGGGAGTGCCAAGGGGAACACCAATTTATATTATACCCCAATGCCCGCCCGTGAAAACCTATTAATAAAGACACTGCTTTCTGCAAAATCCTTTCTCCCCTCAAATACAAAACGAGGTAGACAAGAAAAAACTCATATGGGGAAAAAATCTTATCTACTCTCGAAGGCAACCAGTGCTTCCTCATATTATACTGAGGGCAGAAGGGTAAGTCACTTCAAAAACCAAAAGGGTGTTTAGGAGGGAGAAGGCCACCTTAAATAATGTTCGCTCCCTCCCATGCCTAGTGCTTATGCTGAACATCAGCCTTATGTCCAGGATTCTGGCCACAATTCATAAGAGGTCCAAAAATTCCCCTTCGCCAAAGCAACACTGCCCCTTGGCATCAAAAGATCCCATACAATACAACTTGCTTTTATACTAGGTTCCTCTCTCTATAGACGTCATGCATGGTTCACTTGCAGTGTTAACAAAAAGTTATTGTTTGCAACACAGTTGGTTCCAAAATTACAATGCAGTTACAAATAATTCACATCAAACAAAGGTGAGAAGCCTCTTAAAATATTTGGAAACCAAAAGTTGCATATACAATATGCTCCTTCCTAGAATTGTAGTCCTTTCCTCCCTAGATCTCCCCTATTGTGTACATGAATAAACACAAAAATAGAGGCTACCCTGGCCTTCACAGCTCTCCAGAGTGATGAACACAAAAGCAATGTGTTTCAAGGTAGATCCAAGATACAGCATTTCTTTTGCTATGTCTCACTTTTGATAGCTCCCTTTGATCCAACAATACAGTATCTAATATGGGAAGTGTTTTGGCTCAAAACTGCCTAGGAACACATAGCACATAATTCTATATTTGGGTGGATGCAAAGAACAGAGCTTGGAAGAGCAACTTTTTGGATAAGTGGCTGTGCTGACTAGGGTATCTGGGAATATAAATGTGCAGTTCTTCAGATGCTGCTAGACTGCAACTCTCATCATCCCAAATTAGAAAATAATTAGGACTCCAAATACCTGCACGGACAGAAGTTCTTATTATAATATATAAGAACTGATGGTGACATGTCATCTACTCAGCAGTTACCTGCAGTGATATATGATACTTAAGAATTGTCCAATTCTTTTAGGCTACTGTACATAGCCCCAGAAGTTTTTTTTCATCTTTGAAATTAACATTCAAAATACCAGTATTTTCCCCAATCCCACCACCACCACAACCCCCCCCCCCACCGGCCAGGAACAGTTAAGTACATTTGCTGTGTTTATTATAAACACAGCACATATACTAAAATTGGAACAATACAAAGAAGATTAGCATGGCCCCTGCACATAGTCCCAGAAGTTAGAAATTACTATTATTTTAAAGGCAAGACACTTTTTGTGACGAAGATGTATCACGCACAGTATGGAATACAAATAGTGTTAACTGTAACTTTCAGAAAATACACCAGAAATCTATTTTGAATATATGTAATGGTGTAATTTAAATTATGGTGTAGTTTAAACAAGTCAATGTTTTCTATGACATTCTCTCATGGAAATATAAACATGAAAGCAGCAATTGCTCTAGATGTGTACGTTGTTTTACATTGTGTTCCCAACTTCCCACTGTACAGGATAGAAATTCTACAACTATCTACACACATTTATCTGCAAGCATGCAGTGTCTTCATGTTAGTAGAGTCCCATTTTGACAAGATCTCCTGTTTTGGAAAGGAGTTATACAGACATTAATTAGGACCAGCAAAAAGCTTTTTGCTACAACAAATGTACTTGCTGGCAAGCGTAGTTTGTTTTACTCCCCTTCACATATTATTTCCATGTGTGCAGAGCGAGTGGGTATGTTATTCTCCTGTTTTTAGATACTTTGCCATGGAATCTTGATACAGTGAGCCCTTTGTATCCACTGGGGTTTGGTTGCTGGATCCCCCACAGATACCAAAATACATGGAGGCTCAAGTCCTATTATATACAATGCTGTAGTAAAAAGATGTACCTTATATAAAATGGTGAACAATTAAAACAAGTACCAGAGAGAACTAGAGGATCTGTGAAATACGGGGAGGCTGCATCAAGGTATGCCTGTACACCAGCATAACTTATTTTGGGCAAGGTTTGCTTTTGTGCATTTGTTAAGTATTGCCAAGCCTTGTTTGCCTGAATCCATGGATGCAGGCGCTCATGGATATGGAGGACCAACTGTATTCTTAACCAGCATGTAAGATGCATTATTGTGATGTTTTATGGCCACACTCCAGAAGACTCACAAGTTTAACTCCACATGCCTACTGGGCCTTTGCACTTCATATTTCTCCCACAGCCATTCCGCCAAAGCATATCACAAGTTTCTTGTTAAACTTGCAGACACTTCAAAAGCAGTTTGTAATTTAGTAACAGTTGAAATCCTTATTTGGCACTCAGAAACTGTCTTATCTTGTTGGGATTCTGGCCTTTTGTGGATTAAAAAAACTTTTAAAAACCTGATAGTTTTGGAGTTTGTATTAAAGCACAGGTCATATTAACTTTTATGTTAAAAATGAAAAGAATGCAACATTAAACATTTCTGCCAATGTAAATGTCTTTTTAGTTCTCAGGAAGCGCTAACATTAAAAAAAATTAAAAAGAAGTTTTTTAGACAATCAACAGTATATTTAAAAGAAAAAATGCATAGCCACAGATATAAAAACACAGAAATTATCAATCCATGTTTCTCATTAGAAATTAAATTAACACATTCTAATACAGATGTTAGTGGAAATAAACAATTTGGAATTTAGTAGACAGAATAAATACTTAATTAACATTTCCCCACAAATTCTGTGATTAAAAAGGTAAACAATTTCATGTTTGGAAATGAAGTCAACCTTTTAGACGTGAATTAGTGCAAAATCTCTACGTATGTTGGGAATAACATGATCTGGGTATAGACTGTTTATGTATGATCAGCACGTCTTTGTGTACACATGATGATCTACACATGTTGCAAGTAGGGCATGGGAACGTTCCTTCTTTTACACAACTGCTCCATTGGACAACGAGGCTGGGAAACTTTCAGAACTGCAGTGTTTTTTTAAAAGGAATAATTCCATGGTTTACTTGCATGTCATGTCCAATTGGCTGTACTTTCCATGCAACCCTCAGGTTTTTCTTAAGCCACGAAAAATGACGTGACTTAACAGTTCTATTCTATAAATGTCGTTTTGACTGACTCCACAGGAAGCTGAGTCAGATCATTGTTCCAGCTGGCTCGTTTACACTGATTGACAGGAGCTCTAAAAGGGTTTTTCAGAGTCATACATGGAGATACAAGAATTGAATCCAGGACCTTCCTGAATGCAAAGTACGTGCTCTACTGCAGAGCAAACCTTAATAATTATAGAGCTACCTGGAATCCTCAATTGTTAACAATATCCCCATAGCATATGTGTAAACTCCAAAAAATAAAACAGAATTTAAAGTAATTGCAAGAGAGAGAGAGAGAGAGAGAGAGAGAGGGAGAGAGAGAGAGAGAGATGGAGAGCATTGGCTTATTTTACTGTATCAGGGAATCTATTCATTGACGAAAAACTTGAAACCCAGGAATGCCTCACATCTATTTCTTAACTTAAAAACAAAGTAAAGAAGGGAAAGAAAGACAACAAACTCCAGTACCCATGTTCCAATGGGTTAGAAATAAACCCATACATTTTGCATCAAGCGATTTCTCACATTGGTGGAGGTGACTGCTGGGAAATGGACCTACTGTTTGCAGAAATGTAGTAAGAACACAACAGGATCTTAACCACATAATAGTTGAAGAAGTTTAATTTAGCACTATTTTGGGATGAGATCCTCCCCAATGATTTAGAGAATCATTGCACTTTTAGTGTTATATAGACAAGTGTTGTTGTTTTTTAAAGCATCAAATGCATGCATGCAGACACATAATAGGGAGTGGTATTTGCTAGTTAACCCGCAACACATTCAGGAGCACTCATAATTCTAGAGAAATGGGGGAATAGAGATGGGATGTACAATGAATAGGTAGAAAAATATGTGAAAACTCAATGAGCTAATTCAGGAAAAAAGTTATCTAGACTAAGGGCTCAATCTAACATTAGTTTTACCCAACCCATTAAAATCAATGGCACTTCATTTAGTTATGACTAACAAATCCCATTCATTTTAAAGGACCTAAGTAGGACCAATACTAGTCTTAGCCCCAAATGTGCATTCCTTAGCCCCAAATGTGCACTGAATCAGTGTATTTCCCCTTAAATTTAGTGTACACATCATCATACCTGAGGTACCTTTTCAAAATTTGCCTTCAAGCATTTTCTAGTCCTTAGAATTTTGAAGCTTGATTCTAAACAAGTTCAATTTGAAGTACCACAAAAGTTGCTTCCCAAGAAACAGGTCGTTGCAGTATTAGTATTACAGCATCTATTGCTGGAAAACCTGTGTGTCAGTTAAAGCTCAATCCCTTTTACCATGCATCAAAAACCATGATTTTCCTGATTTTTTTGTAACAGAAACAACTTTTCTGTTTTCACCTCCTGCTTCTCATGATATGTTTTCAGCATTTTCCCCAAATTCAAACAGCACCAAGGGTCATTTCAGACCGAACTCACATATGCACCCAAACATGGAAGAAGACATCAACCTCCTACATTGGAGGTCTTCCAAAAAATTAGTCACCATTTAATATACGTTCAATTTCTTCCAATCTTTTCAGAGCAGCAACCCGTTTTTTCTCAATGTCTTTAATTTCTTTTGTAGATTTCTTTTTCGTCTCTTTGTCTGTGGTGTTTTTCTCCACATTTTTCTTGGGCTTTGTCTGCCCTTTATTGTTATGATTACTATTTGTAGTCCGAGTGCTTTTCTGTTCATTTTTTTCCCCTTTTGTGTTTTCCAATGGGATTTTTTTCCCTTCCACAGCCCCAGCCTTTTCTGTTGGAATTACAGGAACCTCTCCTGGGCCAAGTGAAATAATTTTACTTCGGACAATGCTTAAATGTCGTTGGATGTATTCCTCATGTGGGGCTAAAGCCAACGTCTCCACTAAACATTTCTCAGCTTTTAGTAAGTCTTTTTCTTCAAAATATACAACACAAAGGTTGTGTTTTCCTTGTACATTGTTGGGATCCATTTTCAAGATTTTCTCAAAACATTGTTTAGCTCCCTGTATATCTTTCTTTTGGTTCATCAAAATGTCTCCCTTCAGAATCAAACCTTTGGCATGATCAGGGTAATATCTCAATAATTCCTCTAGAACTGGCAGAGCCTTCAACTCCTTTGCAGTCTGTGAATAAAGCAGTGCCAAATTGAACAAAGCACTTCGGAAGCCGGCCTGTAGCTTTATGGCTTTTTTCATCCAGGTTTCTGCCTCAGCATCTTTTTTGTCATCCATGGCAAGCATACCCAAGTTAAAATAGCCATTTGCATCCTGCGGTTCTTCTTTTACATAATCTAGAAGCCTCTTCCTAGCTTCAGGCCTAAGTCTAGCATCTCCTAAAGCAATGGAAAAAAATATTTATGAATAACAATAACAACAATAATGTGTCGTTGAAGGCTTTCATGGTTGGAATCACTAGGTTGCTGTGAGTATTCCGGGCTCTATGGCTATGTTCCAGAAGCATTCTCTCCTGATGTTTTGCCCACATCTATGGCAGGCATCCTCAGAGCTTAAGGGATCATAATAATAATAATAATAATAATAATAATAATAATAATTTGTTCGCCACCTCTCCTCACGGTTTGAGGTAGGGTGCAACAAATTAAAACATTCACATAAAACACATTACCATAAAACATATTAAAATACATAGTACAAAATTAAAATATAATTGCAATAGAATGTAAGTTTAAAATTGGTAGTTTAAAATTGACTAGGTTGGCCTGCTGGAAGAACTAAGTCTTTAACTGTATCTTAAGTTCTGACAGCTCATTTAGCTCTTCCAACAAGTCATTCCACTGTCTGTTGTGGCAGATGAAAAAGTCCTCTGGATGCCAGTTGCCAGGTGTGTTCTGGCTGGTTGAAGTAAACTTCCCCTGGAGGGCCTGTGTTCGGGGTGGATTATGCGGGAGAAAGTGATTCTGTAGGTTATCTGGACCCAAACCATGTAGAGCTTTAAACGTCATAATCAGCACTTTGCATTCTGCCTGGAAACAAATTGGCAGCCAGTGGTGGGATTTGTAGCATAGGTGTAATATGCTAGTTCCTAGATGTTTCCGTGACCCATCTGGCTTAAATAGGAGTTTCCAAACTTGTTATAGAGGTAGCCCAATGTACAATACATTGCAAAAACCCAACTTTGAGTTTACCAGCACATGCACTACCATCTTAAGGTCTTCTGATTCTAAAAAGGGGTGCAACTGGTGTATCAGCAAAAAGCTGGTAATAAGCACTCCATTTATCTGGATGGATATTTGAAGAGATGGGTAAAGGAACACTCCTAAGCTGCGAACACAGACTTTCAAGAGGACAGCAACCCCATCCAGAACTGGTTGATACACCTTCAACCCCAGGTTAGGACCCTTGATGGCAAGCACTTCTGTCTTATCTGGAATCAGTTTCAATTTGTTTTTCTTCATCCAGTCCATTACCTCCTCCAGGCATCCATTCATTCATCCCATGGGGCTATTTCCTCAATTGTACAGATATGACAATACACCATGCGTTAATATGTTTCAAGTCATCATTACATAATTTTACCATTAACTCAGACTGGAAAAAGCTGAGATTTAATTTGCTATGCAATTATATCACTGGATGAAATGCATCATTTGTAGCTAAATAAACGGGTATACATTTCCTGTTTGTATATATTTTAGAAAGGCCCTTAGTGTTAATTTGTATAAGATGGGTCCATTAGGACCAATACCTTTTGTGTGCCTTTGAAATATACAAAAAAATACAAGCAACAGCTTGATTTGACAATGTTGGGGGTGTTGTAAAAATAAACATACATACCAGATTCTTGCATTAGGAGTGCAGAATTGAACAGAGCTAATTTATGATTGGGATTGAGTTCTAATGCCCTGTTGAAATTCTTCAGAGCTTCCGTGGGATCTTTCAGTTCAATATAAACAATTGCCAAGTTATACCACAGGTCTGCATTAATCCTATCCAGTTCAAGTGCTCTGAGGTAAGCTTCCTTAGCTTGAAGGGGTTTGTTCATTTTTAAAAGCAATTCCCCCCTGTGAAAAAAATAAAGTTAGTTCTTTTTTGCCATTAACAATTTATTCCGGGTCAAGGATATATAATCCCATTCCCTATCAACCCTGCCTACTGTGGGTTGTATAAAGCTGTCTAGGAGGTGTGGACTCTCCAAATTGGTTCCAGTCTTATTTAATTTAATTGATTACTGATTGCTCTTAACATGATATTAGCATGATATTTTATAGTAAACAATTGTATCAGCTTTGATACCACTTTAAGTGGAATCCTGGGATTTGTAGCTTGCTGAGGCCTCTGTTAGTTATAGCTCACTTTTATGAGCTACAACTCTCTAGTGCAGTGGTTAACCTGTGGGTCCCCAGATGTTTTGGCCTTCAACTCCCAGAAATCATAACAGCTGCTAACTAGCTCGGATTCTGGGTGTTCCCCACCCTGATCTATGAACTTAACCATTACTGTTGACCAATTCCACTAGAGCAGTGATTCTCAACCTATGGGTCCCCAGATGTTTTGGCCTTCAACACCCAGAAATCCTAACTGCTGGTAAACTGACTGGGAGTTGTAGGGCAAAACACCTGGGGACCAACAGGTTGAGAATCACTGCACTAGAGAGTAATTTTTGTTCATTGCATTTGAAGTTTAAGAAACACAGGATTCTTGTTTTTATTTCTTACAGTTTCTTAGAAGAACAAATGTCTAGCCTTTATAATAGTTTACTCCAAATCCATCTATTCTTTAAACATATCTGTGATCTTGTGGTGTTAAGGTTTGTCTTTGCCTGGATCATAATGCTTCTCTGTCAAACGTCTACCTCTAGTTACAAATAAATCATGGTATATTGTTCCAAATGTGTGCAAATGCATTTCCTGAAGATAAAGTGAAATGGATGCTGGGAATTTAACTATGCACATTTTTTCAGTTACAAGATCACACACTTAAACTTCTGTTTTTATATACTTCTGTAAAAAACTCTGATCTACCCCTTTTCCTTCCAATGCAGAACATGTTTGAGCAGTGACATGCTGGCGACTTTCATGCCTATGACTGTCACTTGTTTTAGGAGACGTCATCTATAAAAGAAACAAGATTGGAAAACTTTCTTGATACAAGTTAAGACAAGTAATTGTTGTCTAGAGGGCATTGTTGTTAACCATTGAACACAAGACAGTGTTTCCAGTGTATATTCTCTTGCTTTGTGCTATGTCAACTGCCCTAAAAAAGCTGTATTCATATATGTGTCCTATGAATATTTAAAATAATTAGTAGTCAAGACCTAATATAAGGACAGGAAACCCATTTCCTGTCTTAAGAAATATCCTTTGCCTCCCTCTTTTAACTGCAGTTATATTTATGAATGAGCACCAGCATGGTGCATCGGTTTGAGCACTGGACTATGATTCTGGAGACCAGGGTTTGAATTCACATTTGGCCATGGAAACCCACTTGGTCACCCTTGGCTATGTCACATTACACTTTGAAAAAAGGTGGGCAAGAACGGGTTTACTTTAGGGTTACTGTAAGTTAGAAATGACTTAAAGGCACATAACAAACGTAATGGTAATGAATGTACTGAAAGATTTGAAAGGGTATACCTGCTAATGTATGCTTGTTTGAAATCCGGTCTCATGCTGATGGCTTGACGATACAACTGGTCTGCTTCTTCAAGGCGAGAGTCATTTGCCCGAATCAAGTTTGCAAGGTTTATATAAACATTCAGATGGTTAGGAGCAACTCGTGCAGCGTACTTTTTACCTGGGATAATCTGACAGCATAAGACATTTTATCAGATGCAGAAGACATCCACTAAATCTTACTTATCCAACAAGCAACACAGTGAAATAAAAAGGTATAGTGTATTTTTCCATAAGTAGTAGTTTTTTTTTTTTTAAAAAAATACACATTCATAATATGAAGTTGTTTTATAGAACACAGAAGTTTTTGGAATAGAAACAGTACATGCTTCTCAGAGACATATAATGAGAAATAAGAGGTCAGCCATGGCTTTTCAATGCTATTGGGTTCTGGATTTGATATTGTTTTAAATAATGGAGAACATTTTTGAAAAGAATGGCGAGAGTAAACACTGCTGTCTTGGATCTGTGCTTTTTATTTTGGTGATCCCAGTCTTATAAAAAATTTAACCAGAAGAACAGGGTGATGGTAAAACAGGGAAGTTTTATCATAATCATAATAATGATATTACCTGCCTCTTCCCAAGGTTTGAGGCAGGTTACAACATAATTAAAATACAATAGATTAAAAATATAAAATATACCATACAGATTAAAACATATACATAAATGAAATTATCATCTCTCAGACCATGTTTATAATTTTGTATATCTTTCCAAAAGAACTGAAAGGCTTGTATTACAGGTAATATACTTAAAATATTTAATTTCTAGAGAATCCAAGTAGGAAGATAGTTTTTATATCTTTATACAGACAGTCCCCAAGTTACAAACATCTGACTTACAAACCACTCATAGTTAAGAATGGGGATGAAACAGGAAATGAGAGAAATCTACCTCTAGGAAGGGAAATTCACTCCTGGAAGAGATATCATGGGGAAAAGGTATCTGAAGTGAAGCTTCCCACCAATCCTTGTTTTCACAACAAATCACATTTTCCAAAATACAATTATCACAGGGACAGAAGGTGAGGTGAAATCTTCTGAACAGGGGCACCAATAGCAACAGAAACACCACAGGAATGTTAACCCTTCCTCGTGCTATCCAAACCTAAAAAGATGTATTTTGGCTGGAGTTACACTTGAAAAATGTACCTGTTCTGACTCACATACAAATTCAACTTAAGAACAAACCTACAGAAGCTATCTTGTTTGTAACTTAGGCACTGTCTGTACACTGAAGGGTTTTCAAGAGGCATTCAACTGGCCACTGTGGGAACAGAAGGTTCCACTAGATGGCCCATGGTTTTATACATCACTACTCTTCTTAGTCATAACAATTTCAATCTTATTTATCAGGCCTGTACAACCTGCGGCCCTCCAGGTGTTTTGGGCATCAGCTCCCAGAATTCTTGGTCATTGGAACAGCTGGCTAAAGCTTCTGGGAGTTGGAGGCTCAAACACCTGGAGGGCCACAGGTTGTGCAGGCCTTCTATATATATAAAACCATATAATTTATAAGGAATACAAATCTCAAGTCCTGTTGCTTTAAGTTGAAAATTCTACTGAAAGTTCTTTAAGAAATGGCTTTCAAAGAACTGTCTTTCTACTCACCTGTGGCATCAATGACTTTGCCAACAAATAAGATTCTTCTGCTTCCTTGGTTCTGTTTAAATTTTTGTATGTTCTTCCTACGTTCATGTGAGCACCAATGTCATCTTTGAATGTACAGATAAATGAAACATTTTCACTCCAGAAATATTTGCCTCATACTAAATAGTAGTGACTATCTTAGTATTCAAAATAATACTAAAAAGACATTATTTATATCTAGTTAACCATATAAACCCACAGTAACAAATGTAATACTATTATGTGAATGTATAAATTAGTTCAGAAAATTCGGTTGCTCAGAATATAACCACATAAATTCTTCAGGATAATTAGCCAAATATTCAACTGTAAATTTATTATTACCAATTTTGTAGTTTATAGAGAGTTAGTTACATTTTAGGAATAACTTTCCACATGTTTTCCTCTACATTTCACACACATTTGTTTTAATTTTGTAAACTGCTCTAAGTCTCAGTTCTGGGGAAAAGTTAAGAGAAAAAAAGATTATATTGAGGACAACTATGATGAAAAAAACTTTCTTAAGCATTCAACAGCAGCTACAAAATGCTATCTTGAGGGATCTGAAGGGCTGTAGTCTCAAAAAGTCATGTGTCCAAGCTGCTTCCTCCTCTGAAGAGTTACGTTCAAAAAAAATAAAATAGTAATAGCTTGATGAATCATAAAAACTCATCAACATGTTTCTAATATTGGATTAAGGATGCAAAAATGCAAACTAACCACACACACACAACTCCCCTATGATTTCACAATATTATACAAGATGGTTATACAAGGACAGGTATCTAGCACAGGTTAGGACACAATCTTCAATAACTGCAGACCATTTTTTAAAACTCACCTGGCTGTACCTGGGTAGCTTGTATGAAGAAATGCAATGCACTTTCAAAGTTTTTTTCATTTTCTAAAGCATGACCCACATTATTCCACAATTTTGCATTGTTTTTATTCACCTGGGCAAAGTAAACAAATATAAAATCATAAAATATTTTAAATACAAATTTGTTTACTTAACTTTGTATTGAAGTATAAACTAAACCCTACATTCAAATATCTTGAATTTGGAAGATGTAAGGAATTAGGGATACACATATGTAGCTCATGTAAATACTCAGATTATTTTAAAACTGAATTTATCAGTTCCAGAATAACTTACTTATCTTACATTGGGCAGTGTTTATTCTCTAGAAGTAGATCTTTTGGTTTATAACTCCCAACAGCCCCACCAAGAATGGCCAAGGGTAAAAGGCTGTGGCAAAATCACACCTGCCCTAGGGACTGGTATGAAATTGCTTTTTGTCAGCATATAATCCCATACTAAATTATTAAAACCATAAAGATAGAACATTACCAGGAAAGCTATTTTGTGGAGTATGCCTGAAAATGTGTATTCTTTGTTTATTTTCCTTCTAAAAATATACTTGGGTACTAAGATGAAAATTTTATTCCTTCCTTTTTAATAAGCTGCAGCCAACACAAGTCCATTTAAAAGTGCAGTTTCAATTCAACATTATATACAGAGGTGCTAAATGAAGTGTGTATGAAAAGCTACAAAACAGCTGTATGTCTTGCTTTAAAATATTGAAACTCATTTTTTTCAGTTTTGACAGAAAAGTATTAGCGGACTGTGCTCCTGTCACTTTGCAGTACATCCTATTTTCTAAAGAATGCAGCATGGTAGATGTATATAGAAAGTTTGAATCGTAACGCTGTACCTTCAAAGCAGACATAAACAATGTGTATTCTGACTCCCAGTCCCAATTCCTGTGCAATGTCTTTAAGGCATGAATTAACAACACCAGAGACAGACAAATCCAGGAGAGCTTTCTTAGCACACTGTTACAAAAGAGAAAGATAGGATTACCCCACAGCACATACCACTTTTAATATGAACTCGATTTACTTTTCAGTCCCCGCTTTATCTATTTAATGTTCCATAATTAGAATGTTAGAACCTTTCAAACAGAATATTTACCATCACATAGTTTTAATGAGTGGAAGAAACATGCTAAAACATGTTGAGTTGGATTGCTTTTTTTTTTAAAAAAAAGAACAACAAACAAACGACATATAAAAAGCAATACTAGAGCTGACTGAAATCGTCTTTAGTTAAATTTTCGGCCTGCATTGTGATCTGTCAGTCACTTGTTAGAATAATATGAAGAGGATGTATGCCCATTGCTTGTTTTGGAGTTCTAGAAACAAACAGAAGTTGTCTGAGATGTAAAGTCTGTCCCTCTCTAGAGAAAAAAAGACTCTGGTTCAGGAAAACTTTAGTTCACAGGCAACATGATGGTATTTTAAAGCAATGTGAACCTACAGTAGTGATGTCAATGTGTCCTCAAAGATGAAATCTGGGACACAGGGTTGGAAAACAACAATTGAAGAATGAGTAACTCATTTGCTGACAGACTAATGAAAGATGTGTGAAGATATGACAACATTTAGACACAAAAGTCCCATGAAAATATTTTTGAAAAGTGAAAGCTTATATGACTATTAAATATAAAAGACCGTAATAGTGAACAAATGCTTTATTTTTTTTAAAAAACGGCTTGCGAGTTGAAACCTTTTGGTTTTTATGCTATGACTTTATTATAGTTAAATAAGGTTAATATCAACATTAATTTTGCTTTTTAATTTAAATCAGTGTGATCTAAGTGTGTGTCTGATAAGTTGTTTACACATTGCTTCTCTATGGTCCTACAGCTAAAGGATCCAAAGTCTTTGTTTGAATTAAGAGTTGGGCCCCCTAGTGGTGCAGCAGATTAAATTGCTGAGCTGCTGAACTTGCTGGTCAAAAGGTTGGCAGTTTGAATCCAGGGAGCGGGGTGAACTTTTGCTGTTAGCCCAGCTCCTGCCAATCTAACACTTTGAAAACATGCAAATGTGAGTAGATCAAAAGGTACCGCTCCAGCAGGAAGGTAATGGTGCTCCATGTAGTCATGTTGGCCGTATGTCCTTGGAGGTGTCTATGGACAATACTGGCTCTTCGGCTTAGAAATGGAGATGAGCACCATCCCCCAGAGTCGGACTTGACAAGACTTAATATCAGGGGGAAACCTTTATTTTATATAGCACTGTAGCTGGATGTATATGGCATTTCAGCTGAATGCTTATGGATACTATCTTTAGATAGTAGCCCTTCTTGTAACACAAATTACCTAGTTGGGACTCCCAATGGAGGACAGTTCTCTGGAAAATCTCAATGTTATGAGACTCCAGTCCATGCAATACTGCTATAATACCTTTACACAACATAATTCAACAAGGCTTGCTGTCAAGAGGATAAATGGTGCTCCTCATTAAAAGAGGTACTGGGGGCAAAGATCTTAACTGATAGGCTTATATGTGATTTAAGGATAGATATAATTAAGATAAGAAAGATTTAGCCACAGAGATTGGAGAAAATGAGTTCTGTTTAGAATTATGTAAAGAAGAAAACCATATAATTAAAATGTATACTAATATCCGTTAAAACTAGAAACAAAACATGAACCTAAAAAAAAGTTCCCACGTATGGGAATAATGTGGACCAAAGATATAAAATTCACTTGGTGTAGTAACCTAAAAGAAATTTGGGCTAATTTAGTAACTTTAACAATCCATTCTCCCAACACTGGTGTCTCATGCCTTTTCCAAGTTTGATCAAATGAAATTCTTGCTGCTGTTACCATATTTTGAAGAAGTATACACGGTATTTCAAAATGGACACAATTTCAAAGTGATATGCTACAATTATACAAAAAGTTACAAATGGCTGAATGAGTTACCTAAGTTATGAGGTTCACTAATCATTTTGAGCTGGAAACAATATGTTGCAGGGTTGCCATCTTTTGAATGGCTGAGGCTAGAGACTTTTTGTGTGCTGAGAGAAGCATCTATAGCATCAACCGTTTGAAACTCAATGCCCCGCCCTTTCAAGTGGTAAGAGTGTCATTCATTCATGGGTGGTTTGTGGTTGCAAAAACACAGTGATTTCAAATTTTTGAAACATCTGTAGTTCATATTTATTTTCCAAATCTTTCTTTGTAATTTTTATCCAAAATTATTATCTATTTTGGGAACTAGACATTACTAACACTTGTTTCTGCTTTACCTGCATGTGATTGGAAAATTTACTTTCAGTTTCTAATCTGTAAGTTGCTAAATCCTCCAGTCAACATGGACACAGGTATGCTATCTGGAAGACTTGGGAGCCGAAGTCCAAAATTTTAATTTACTCATGCTGTGATCTCAAACCAAACCCAATTTTATCCTCACTGGGAGTGCCTGATAAAAACTTTTTTTTCCACAGTCAGAGCTATGACTGTTTCATTTAATTTCTGTATATTTTGTTAAAAGGCTCTGTCAAAGGCATTGCAAAATGCTGAAATTTATCAACTATAGTTATAATTTAAACTGACACTAAACAGTATGACCTGAATCTGTCAAGTGCCAAAGAAAGGTTTTCAGATGTAATCTTAATTACCAAAATGCTACAATATACCCAAATATGTGACAGAAAAGTGAAACACTCTGCCCTATTTATTGCTTACATTAATAGTCATCACAGTTTGACATTAATACCTATAAGACATTTTCACTGCTACTGAAATATGATGGATTAGGGAAACAACATGAAGAAGAAAAGAAATGGGATTAGAGAAATAGCACTAAACCTGATAAGTAAAAAAATGAGATATTTCAGGCTGAGGAACGGGCACCTACTGTCGTCTAGATTTTGTCAGTTAACAGCTCCTATCATCTTGGCACTGGTTATAGTGGCTGAGAGTTGGAAAGAGTTGGAGTCAAATAAAAGCAGGTGGGCCACAGGTATTCCTTCTTTGCGGGACAAGGAAAAGCCAGCAGAGCAAGGAAGCAATAAATTGACAATGGACAGACCTTGGATTATGACTCTGCATATGGATTTGTTTAACTTTTAAATGAATGTTTATAATTTGTTGATTTTAAATAAGGTTTTAATTGTAATTTTATTGCTACTGTTTGTTTGGCTTCTAATGGTTGCTGGTTGTGAGCCACCGGGTGTGTGTGTGTGTGTGTGTGAGAGAGAGAGAGAGAGAGAAGGACGGGATATACATTTTTGAAATAAATATAAATAAATAAATGGAAATAGACTGAACTGAATTGGAGAACATGAAAACGGGAAAGTACAGCTCACGTATAAAACAGACCTTGTGGCCTGGTAGTAAGATCAATTTTTCTCCTGATGACAGGAGACAGCATCTTTTCAGTAGTGACCTCATCACACAAAAAGAGTCTCTCTGCAGACAGTAAGTACATCTTGATTTTAATGGCATCGTAACATCTTACTGCTTGCATTTTCTTTTAATTGACAATATGATGCCAGTTCAAGATTTTGAAAGGTTATTGCTGTTCCATTCCTAATGTTGAAACCCTCCCTTTATTTTAGCATTTTATTTGAGTGATTTATGGGTTTAAAAAATGTTTAGGTAGCTTTCTGTCTCAAAACAAGCAACATGTAAGCTGGATAATATTTGGTAGATAAAATAAGCCCACAATTCCAGGTTACACAATAAGAATTATGAAATCTAATCAAAGTTTTCATCTTCTGACATTCTCCTCCAGCAATTTTCCTACTTATGAAAGCATTATTGAACTCTTACACACTGTCATCGTTTTAAAGGAAAGGGGCAGTTAACAATACCTAAAATGGGACACATATTATAGCATTCGATTTGTTTTTAATGTCAAAAAGGGACAGCCTGAGTAGTGTTTACACAGTGTACTTATTCCTTAACTACAACGTATAACAACAGATCAAAGTGCTGTTTTCATTCCACAGACAAAATCCACATCTTCCATCCATGAGAGAGTTTATGTTTGTAGGCAACTGCTAGTCAAGCAGCATACTCTGCTATCTATTAACTGCTAGCAGGAATAGTATACACTTTGCAAAAAGTCACCACGGATATTGAATTCTGGCAAGTATTTGTGTCACAATGATTTAAAAGGTCTATGAGCATGCACACATGGTGTGCAGTGAACTCGGTAATGAACACCCTATCAAAATTAATGGGTCAATTTATATCTTATAGCTTATGCTCATGGAAACATTGAAGTAGAGGGTATTTGGTAGATTCACACATTTTATTTTTCTTTTATCATTCCTGACATCATAGGAACCATCTTGTTTAAAGAACCTGTTATTTATATTTACCAAGAAGTACATTTGTTGAAAAGAACTAGCAATTGCAAGTATTACCCCCTCTAGAAAACCATAATCATATTGGAATAGATTCCCTTTAGAGTAGTGCAGTGGTTCTCAACCTGTTGGTCCCCAGATGTTTTGGCCTTCAACTCCCAGAAATCCTAACAGCTGGTAAACTGGCTGGGATTTCTGGGAGTTGTAGGCCAAAACACCTGGGGACCCACAGGTTGAGAACCACTGGAGTAGTGGTTCCTAACATTTGTGCTTCCAGGTGTTTTGGCTTTCAGCTCCCAGAAATCCCAGCCAGCTTACCAGCTGTTAGGAACTGTGGGAGCTGAAGTCCAAAACACCTGGAGGCGCAAAGGTTGGGAACCACTGCTTTCTAGACACATACTGGTATATACTTTGCATTTCTTTGTTCTTTCTTACAAGAAATACAAAATGAAAAAAATAATCATTTGATCCTTTGATATAAAAGGAGATGTGAATAATTATTAAGATTAGTGCAGCTAAAAGTGTAATTAGTATGCTCTAACAAGTATCTTCACACCAAATACATTGTTGGAAAATAATTGTGGCTGTTTCAAAGGCAGGTGTTGAAAACAAATCTGACTCTTCGTTTCAGAAAACAGACACACACCCTGATCCAGATACATATCTTCCGCTCATACTTTTCTCATTTGTGTCAAAGCAGAAACTCTTTGTCTCCACATGCAATAGTTTGGATAGGATGACTAAGCCTTTCCACTGGTATACATGAGGATGGAAAAGCTTCCAGAAAAGTAGGAAGAACAGATGGGAGGAAAACAACTTTATTAGGAGTCCATTTTGAAAAGCGTCTTGCCTCAGAAATCTGAACGTTTCTAAGGCATACCATATGTAATTCAGCAAAGAAGATATGTGCCCCAAACCACAACTCCATTCATCAAGTATGCATGACCAAAGAAGAATAAATTTGAAAAATGTAATTTTTAGCTAACTGTAAAAAACCACATAATATAATTTTTAGTATTAGCTACTTATTGGAAAAATGCACAAGAGTATAGGCATAAAATTGGGTGCAGAAGCAAAAAATCTTGTCATGGAATGTCAGTGGAGTTTCGAGACATGTCATAAAAATAGTTGAAAACACCACATTCTCTACATTGCTTGTATGGGAAGTCAACCACATCCTACCCATGCTTATTGTCCTCAACAAGGACTTAGGTAGGCAGATGAGTTAGCTGGCAGGGAAAAATCCTTCATTAATTGTCCTACTTGTCTGCTTATCACTCTATTCTCTCCCCCTATCTTGTGCTTGTTAGACAAATACTTTTTAGGATTAATAATTCTGAGCACACGTCAAGTTCTTCTCCTTTTGTTCTTTTTGCTGTGAGCATGGAGGGAGACAAGATGCCTGTAGTGAGCGGGGGTGGTAAGCCTGGTAGGTCAAAGGGTGGCTAGTGAGCAGGGGGGGGCAAGGGGGAGGACATGGTTGGGGAATTCAGGCAAAGCAAATGAGCAGGGCAGGCAAGGGGATGGTGAGCTGGGCTGGATGAAGAACAGGGTCAGGAATGTGGGCAAGTGAGCAGAGACAGTGGAAGTGGGGGAGGGGTCGAGCACTTGTTGGGCAAGGGGTGAGCAGCAGGATGGGAGAGCGAGTGGGTGGCGTGATGGTAGGCAAGGAGGACGGGTGATGGCATGCATGTCAGGGAAGAGGGCACTGCATACCCCTTCTTGCATATGTGCCATAGGTTTGCTACCCCTGTTCTACAGGCTCATTTTAATGGAGTCTTTGAGAATATGAACACTGCACCCTGTATGTATGTCATTAAACTGCAAAAAAAGATATGAGGTGCAGTGCTTGAAATCAATGAATTAAAACAGATGCAAACACTGAAATTTAGTTATCCCAACTATTTATAATGAACTACTCTTTTCAGAAAAGCGCAATACTGCCTTATAAAGTTATAAGGTAAACTGATTATTGTGACAGCTCCCAATCTGCTTTTGCTTTCTGATTCTGACAAATGCTTCAAATTATGTATAGTTCAGGAAAGAAAAAGGTTCCAATTTCGAAACACAACAAAATCAAACCAATTCATAAAAGACTATGCAATCTTTTAGCTATAGTAGATTGCAAGTAGTCATACAAAACCCTAATTCCCCTCCTTAAAGAATCAATTTTTCAAATAATCAGCTTCTGCGTGTAATAGCAATAAACGCTGAGAAGAAATAATATTCTTTTACATAAACTGAGAAGATCCTTCTTAAGCAGGTATGATTAGATACTGTAATGCTTACTACAAATTATTATGGAATTAATCTCATTAATGGACACTGGAAGATAATATAATAGATATGAAGGACTTCAAACTCTCTGAAAGATTTTGGAGCAGTGTACATTCAGGCTATGTTTACTTTCCAAAGGGCAATTAAATGTGTTCAAGTCTGAAATTTCTGTTAAAATAGGACTTTCTTCTGAGTAGACATATCTAGGTCTGTCTGTTATGTTACTGGTAACTACTTTTATAAAAAGACAACAGGTTTCAGAATGCATTTTGCTTTCTTATTGCAAATGGAATTATATGTGGAAAATTATACCTTATTCATGGAAAAGATGGCAACAAGTTAAGAGATTTAGCATGATTAAATTGTGCCATGCACACAACTCACACAACATTTAATTGCTATCTGAACCCCAATTCTCCATGTCACCCCTTAAGCAGTAACTTTTAACCTACCTGTTGTTTGAGAGTTTTTTCCACCCATGGGCTACTAGCATGCAGAATCCCATGCTGGGAACATATAACACTCGTTCTGCTACTACGAAGCCAACAGGAAAAAAAAGATTTGATGCTGGGATGAATGGCAACACTATTAAGCAAAGTGCCTAAAGACAATACAAAAAGAAAAAGACAAACATACACTAACTAGTAACCCAAAGTAGAAAATGCTTATACAATAATTTAAAAAGATCCTCTGTGTATGCCTGCTTGGATGTATGGTCAAGATAATGTTTTAAAATAACACTTGTATCCCATTGAGTTTCTCGTAGTGTTCATAGTACATGATTCAAGCAGTGACCACATTTGAATCTGAATAGTTTCAGCTTATATGGGGCTTTAGCTCCCTTCAGACAATTTTAGTTCTTATATCAACATTAACTTTCCCCATCCTTATCAATAAGCCTAGTGGCAGCAAGGAATGATGCGTGCAGTGATGGTGGTGTGGCGAACCCAGCAGGCAGTGGGGGGAAAGCGTTTCCACATGCCCGACATCGCCCCTTACCTTATTCTATGGGGGGAAGCATTGCCACCTGGCTTTCCCCCGTTCTTCTGAATGAGAGAACGGGAAGCCTCCCATGTTCTCTGGGAAGCATCCTGGCATGCTGCTAGGACGTTTCCTCTATGGAGCCCCGCTGGAAGTCGGCATCTGGAGGGCTCCACTGAGGCGGGACCCTGGAAGCATCCTAGGATGCTTCCCAAAGACTTGTGTGATGAAGTGGTTAGTGTCCCATGAGATCGCTCCACATAATGAATCAATTTGAAGCAGCAAACTACACTGCTCAAATTCTACTGAAACTGTGATTAGCGTAAAACAAGTGAACAAAAAAAAAAAAAGGGGGGGGGGAGAGATGGGCAAAAATTCAAATGAATAAGACTGCTAGACATACCTACCCAGAGATCCACTTCACCCCAAGGATTCTGCTTATATTGAATGCTGCTTACATTTTCACACTATTTTTGTATAACTGCTAGAAAATGAAGTGTCTTATAGCATTCTCAGACTGTAAATTTTTATTCACTCTCTGGGATAAGCATGTTTTTTTAAAAAAAAATGGGTAGGGAGGAAGAAAATCCTTGCTGCCAGCCCACACTGTGCAACTGATAAGCGTTAAGGAAAAACCTGTCTAGTGAAAATTGAAAACTGAAAAGCAGACACCATGAAGTTAGACATGCTGTAAAACTGGGCAATGGCAAATAAGATTTCTTCTTGATAAATGCAATGTACCGCACACATTCTTAAAGCCAGAGATACAATGTTACCACTTCATGGCTACCCACATTTTTTGAGTGCTCAGCATGTTGCAGTGTTCAAGGACACAAAGCAAAGTTGTGTCCTTGAACACTGCAATTGAAGTGGTGATTTTACAAATGCCGAAGAAAGTTACATGCTTCCCTACAGAGAGATAATACTGGACAGCTATGAGTATCAGAGTTAGCATTTGGAAAGATTACTCTTTTTTGGACTACAACTTTTGGAATCCTTCAGCCTCTGTACTGGGGGTTTTCTGATTGTTGAATTATGGGGGTAGTAGTTCAAAAAGAAATGTTTCCAAGCTTTGCTCAGAACTAATGAAGTCAAAGCAGATGTTGAATGGGGACCCAAGTTTTGCATACATCGAAGCCAACTCAGTGACTTATCTTCCAAATACAATCAGCTGAGAGACCGCCAGTGCTTTGTTACAGAACACTCCAGATGCAATTCCCACAATCTTCTGTTAGTTTAAGACTCAAGAAGCAAGTGATATCAATGGCACTTCTGTCTGAGACTTTAGAGAACATTGTTTGTGGGAACAAACATCATCTAGGAAGATCTGATTTGGCAGAAGGGAATATTTTCTGTTCCCTAGTAAAGGTTTTCAAGGAAGCAAAGGTGCTGAAGTACAAGGGCATATGCGTAGCTCAGATCAATTATGATACAAAAGTGGAAGCAGTGAGTGAAGGCATACATGTATGGAGCCCATTCACAAATGATATAATAAGTAGAGAATTGCATTTCCCTCTTTTAATCAGTTTAAGCAGCACTTCAAGAAATCCTTTTTCAATATATTCATCTCCATTTTCTGGCACCCAAGGCACTTTGATATGTCTGGTAATATATCTAAAGAGCATTTTAAAATCTGATTCTTACAAATGTAAAAGGGCTTACAAAATGAATTCTGTTATAAATGGAATGGTCCCCCCTCCCCCACCAAAGTGGCCGCATGAAGCTGAGTGAGAGAAGACCAGATTCAGTAAAAGATGATGGCACCATACATATTTGTTTACAAGGGGTGATCAAGATGATTTTCTGATCTGAAATGTTCTCATGGATTTTGTTCTAATAGTTTAGCACTAACAGTAAAGTATCACTCACCATCAAAACAGTCTTTGAAGAATCCCCAGGATATCGAAGGCTGAAGATAACCAAAGTTCCCAAAAAGCAGAAGAAAGTCATGGTGGCAAGATTTCTCATATCTAGAAGGGACTCCACCAATGGAATGGTGCCCATTGTCCAATCGCAACACAGTTCAGAGGGATTTAGAAGCAACCATGCATTTACAGGGAGGAGGTAGTTGAAAGTGAGCTGCCTTGTAGGAAATGAACTCACAGCAGCTGGATTATCAAACCTTAATTGAAAAAGGACAATTTTAATTTAAAACATACATGGCTAATAGACATTTCTATACTGATGTACAGACAAAAATATATGAATTAAATGCTAATCAAGGCAGCCATTTACAATATTCACACTTGCCTCAAGCTGACAAGAGTTCTTTTGTCTACCCTGGACATTCCACAGATATATAAACCTAACTTGCCTAGTTTCCAACAGACCCCTCAACTTCTGAGGATGCCTGCCAACAGATGTGGGCAAAAGGCCAGGAGAGAATGCTTCTGGAACATGGCCATACAGCCCGGAAAACTCACAGCATCTCAGTGATTCCAGCCATGAAAACCTTCGACAACAAAAATATATTTCCTAACTCTTTGTGTTACATTCAGATCTATGTGGACAGTAGCTTTTTTTAAAAAAAGACTCCACAGATAGAAAGAGTGGGGATAATATTCACCTCTCCCTTACACACAAACTTATAAGAAATTGCCAGTCTTTCCCTTTTGTCCAGCAAAATGTTCCCCTGTCAATGGAAATATTTCTTTCTTTCAATGGAATATTTCTTTATTTTATTGCACAGTAATTTGCCACATAAAGATTAGAATAAATAGAAAAGACTGAACAGGGGTTTCCTCTATCATGCTAAAGGAATGCATTTAGACTAGGAGATCCAAGCAGAATTTGCCTTCTGCTTTCTTTTTTATTGTCTTGAGCAAAAAGTCCATCTCCTCCTCATGGAAAAGCTGTTCCAGAAAGTCATGAAACAATCTATAACAATGTCAGAAATTATGTAGGTCATTAAGGGGATGGGGGAATTGGGGAAAATCACTTCCTCCCATTTCTCCAGCAGTATCTTCTGTATGATCTTCCTCCCTTTCATGTACAGCAGTAGTTCTTTCATAAAAGGGCAAGTCTGGAACAGTCAACTGTGTCAACAGTAGGGCTGGGCGGTTTCGTTTCGTTAATTCGTAATTCGTTAATAATTCGTTATTTTTTTTCAATTACAAAATGATAACGAACCATTCTGGAGCAATTTTTTTAAAAAATGAATTTTTAAACACGTTTTGCAAATGCTTCGTACTTCGTTATTGTATTCGTTTCGTTATTGTTCTGAGGTCGTTTCGTTATTATTTCCGCATGTCTGGGGCAAGTTTTTTGTTTAATTAGTGAAAAAAAATTATAATATCACACCAACAGTCAACAACAGAGGGAGAGGGAAGCTTCAGAAGTTTTTGGAGGTTTTTTAGCGTATTTCGCGGTCGTCCGCCATTAACGAATCGATTCGTTAATGTTTTGTAATTTTTTTCACATTTACGAAATTTCGTAAATACCGAACTTTTTAAGGGAAAATTTTGTAATTATTTTAAATATCGAAACAAAAAAAACCCCCAAGTACAAATCGATTTTAGAAACAAATTTTTCCGTTGTTACCCAGGCCTAGTCAACAGTATGAATGAATCAGAAAATCTAGTTTTAAGTATGTGTCGAGCAGGACATTTTAATTATATTAGTCTGCCATCAAGAACATCAGAATCATATGGTATTGTGTTTTTTGGGGAAAAAAATCCTAGCATATGAAAACACTCCCTTAATGCAATACATTTTATTTTTTTCAACATCACATTTGCCATAAATTGCTGCTTAAATATGCCTTAGTTCTTGGTTGCTTTGTTTTGTGCTAACTAAACAGATATTATAGCATATGCAATTTTAAAAGAAAGTTAAATTCTTTTAACACGCACACACACGCACACACACGCACACACATATATGTGTGTGTGTGTGTGTGATTTTAGAAAATTATTTTAAAATACAAATAGCCAGAATATCTGCCTTATAATAAATATATTATCTTTTAAAAATCATAACTTACAACCAAAGTTTACAATTTGAGAAGAATATAATGAGTATTGGATTTTACCTTGTAAACACTGGCAGTTGTGACTGAATGACCTGGACTCTGATCACAACAAGCAGTAGTGTACTGAACATTAGAACTATTAGTTTCAAAAGCATCTGGAGCATACAATAGGGAATGCTGACTTTGCCTCGTAGAATTTGTAACACTGTGTCCCAAAGAATGGGCAAAGTATACTGAAAAAAAGAAACAACAAATTTATAATTTTTAAGCAAAGCATATCATCTGACACATATACCAGCAACTACTAGGCACTAAAAGACTCTCTCTCTCTCTAATAAAAACTTATTGACCACTTTTTAGTTTTGCAGTGTCCAAAATACAGAAGCTGCCTTTTACTAATTTACAGTAAAAGGTAACATCACATGAAACAAACAAGAAGCAGCATAAAATATGTAGTCTTGAAAGAGTAAAAGCCTCAAAAAATGTCCATCTGAGCTAAAACCTTATAACAATAATCTTTGGCAACCAAGTGATCCATAAAATGTACTGTGGAACATTATTGCAATTTGCTTGTTCATTGTTAACAGCTTCATCAGCTTAACAGGCTTAGCTATTGGGCAAGACACATCCAAATTGCTTCTGCGCTCAGATGCAGTAATACAAGAACTAGCATGGGAGAAAGGGAAATAGTGTTTGCAGTTCAGAAATGGGAGTACTGTATGTCATCAAAACATTTGTTAGTTAAGACAAAACTAGGAACTGAATTTTTAGGTTGCCACACAGGCTGGTCTTTGACCTGGAAAGGACCTTCAGTTTCTCTTTTATTATCCTTGGGGTGGTTTCAATGGCCATCTGGCAATGTATCACTGTGGTTCCTGGCCAGGAAATCACTGTCCTATGGGTAATATTGGCATGTTGTATCTGGTATATGCCCCGGCATTTGTGGCATTGCACAATGAGATCCAAACAATGAAGAATGTTTGTCTAGTCGGTTTTGGCATAGAGAAGTAGACAAATTGACTGAGAGGTCATTTTCAGTCCTATACTGCTATGAACATGGAATGAATGGTTGGTTAGCCGCTCTTCTAGGTCAACATAAAAGAGCATACATGAATCCAGTGTGCTATCACCAACATAATCAAATGTTCCCAAGGGGAAAACAATGACTGAATGACACAGCAAAATATGCCTTACAATTCATGGTATAATCTTAAACTTAGAACTGGATTACTCAAGTTCCTTACCCCTTGAGCTATAAATACTTCATAGACACAACATATTCCCACCACTGTTATTCCTTGCTCCTTACATAATGTAGCAACAGCAACTAAAAACACAGTCAGTGCAATAGGAATCCACACTACAACATAAAAGAGAGACAAATGGTTAGTCTGCATAAAAACAGATACATAATTTAAATGCCAAGGTCCACAATTAAAATAGTTTATGAACTGGGAATTACAGCTAGTTTCCTAGTATCCCATAAACAGTACACGGATGATAGCCCTGTCTTGCTAGTTAGCTCAATTGTATTTGTAGTTGCAAGTATGCATTCAGAATAGTACAACCCTTGGATGGCTACATTTGTACATCACAATGAATCTGGGTGTCATGATGGGAATGATCTTTGCTAACATCAAGATTCATATTTTCCCTTTTCCTTCTCCAAAAGACCAAGTTTTTCTGGCTCCTTTTTTGACTGACAGTCTACTAGGGCATCTGACGCCTAAACTTATGGTTAGTGTTAACTATTAGCTGAAATAAGTAAGGTCATACTCTACAGATTGATGTTCACACATTTCAAACATGCTGCAGTTAGGATTAAACACCTTTTATTGGGTTTGGATAGCATGAATAAAAATGCAAGTTTTAAAATATATATTTTTATTGATATTATATTTTGTTTTGTGAGTAGATTTGTACATTTAATGCACACATGTCATTCTATAACCATCTTCCATTGTCTCCCACTTCCTCCATTCTATATTGTCCCTCACTTATCTAATATCGTAGTTTTGTTCATTCACTATTTTGTTTTTCCCCCCTCCCTCCCTCCTTCCTCCCACCCCAAACCCATACCACAATTTCCATTACAACTTTAACTCCATCTATGAGCTCAGCTTTTCCCATCTCTGTACAATATTTACATTAGCTTTGCCTCTTTTTATCCATTTCAAATATATTGACCATTTCTCTTTAATTTTCCTCATTTTATCTTCTTTCTTATCCTCACACTTACAGTTGCAATAATTTCTGTTTGGATCTGATCAAACAAGTAATTGTTCCAATTTACCATATTCCATTTTTCCCCATCTTTCCAACCCCAAGCTATTACAGCCTTCTCCACAAGAATCGTCACTTTGAATAAATCTTGATATTTTACATTGATCTTATTGTTTCCTAATATTCCCATAAACATCAACTCAATATTTACTTGAAGTGATATTTTAAATATTTTCTCAATTTTTTCCATTATTTGTTCCCAAAAATTTTTTGCCTTTGGACATTCCCACCACATGTGAGCATACCATCTTTTGCTTAATCCACAGTGCCAACATATTGAACTTCTATCACTAATCATATTTGATAGTTGTGCTGGGGTACAATACCATTTCCATAAAAAAAATCCTTTCCATTTCTTTGTACTTCTCTATTTTGATTTTCCTAGCCTCTCTTTTTAAGTCCTCTATTATTTGTTTTGTTAATACTCCCTTTTTGCCATTTATCTTGTAATGTTCTTATGATATATTCCTCATGTTTGATCATCCCTTTGTATATTACTCCAACCAGCCCTTTCTCTGGAAGTGAGAATATTTGAACACTTCTTTGTGACCACACCAGGGCAGGGTATTAAAACTTCCATGTTTCTAGGTTCATGTTTATTGCAATAAACTATGGATTGTTGTGATATCCAAATGTAGTCAATAACACAAAGATAAAACTGGAATTTTAAAGCAAAGGAAGATATCTTCTTATGTGTCACTCAGTTACAAAAGGTTTGTAGAAATAGATTTTTAAAAGAACCTCAAAGATGACATGCCAACAACTACACACTTGACAAAAACATCCTAGGACCTACTCTTTGGTAAGGCAATGTTTAATGAACAACAGGCATTTCCCTAGTAGGCTCCTCTATGATTTAAATTGTTTGTTAAAAACGAATATTGAACATACACTTTGGTTTATTCAGGCAGAACATTGTATCTGTGCAAACTCAGTTATTCTGTGGGTAGCTCACATGTCAAGCACTAGTGTTTATCATGGGACAGAGTAAAATTTTCATCTAGCACAGAATCAAATACTTCTTATTTACATTTCTTAACAATCATTTCTTGTTGTTCTGCCTTCAAGTTGTCTCTGGTCTATGGAACCTAAAGTGAACCTATCAGTTTAAGAGGTGTATAAAATTCTGATATATTACTACATGTTTCCAAGGTGTTGTAGTTTGTTGTTGTATGTTTAATACTTTTAACTTTTGCTAATGGAGTTTAGGTGTTCAATAAATAAATGAACATAAGTGGAAGATTGCATTTCAAAGGAATCTGCAAGGGGAGGAAACCTGCAGCTGTAGAACTTAGGTGGCCCTCAACCTAATTGCTAATTTCAAAGTTTATCTGTAGATCATATCAGATCTCTGGCAAGAATATGCTATCTACTCTTTGGCAATCCAGTGCATGGGAAAGAAGAAGAGAAGGAAAGAAACAAAGTTGGTAAAATGAAATTGAGACTGAAAGTCCAAGCCACTTTGGGATATGACCTTTCCTCATCACAAGCATGAAATAATAAATATAAATAGGAATGCTTCCCACAACAGGCAAACTACCACCAAGATATATAATGAGAGGGAAGTTCAGTATATATCAACATAAAAATTGTTGAGGCTTTAATGTAATACTTTTACAGATTAACCGCCCTTGGGTTCTTAAATACATACATTGTAAACTGTAAATACAAGCTGTTGATCTTTAAAACAAGTATGGTGGAACACACTCTCAAAACTATTAGGAAGCATTTACCTATAGTGTTTTCTGGCCCACGAGATCTGGTATAGGACAAAAATGCAGCAAGAAAGAAAATGGAAGAGAGAAGCTCAGCTCTGCCCACCACACCAGTTACCTACAAAAAAGGGGAGAAAATGAGAGTTAATTATTTCAATAAGAGATAATGATGCATGAGAATAACACAAACCAGTGCATTTCTTCTGGATAGGTATACTAATGAATGGTTGTTTTTGTGTGCCTTTCTGACCTATAACACCCTAAGGAGAAGCTATTGTGAAGTTTTCTTGGCAGGATTTGTTCAGAGGGGGGGTTGCCTTTGCCTTCTTCTGATAGTGTGCGACTTGCTCAAGGTGGGTATCTACAGCCAAGTGGGAATTCAGACTCTGGTCTCCAGAGGCAAACCACTAGGCAAGAAGGCTAGCTTTGAAAATCATAATGGCATATATATATATCCACTCCCTATAAACAACCAACAACCAAAAGTAAAGTCAAGGTGAATAAAATCTTTCCACTGCTTTGATAAATATGCCAAAGACTGTGTTCCACTGCCCTCGTGTGGCTAATACCAAGAAGTACCCATACACAAATTATGAATTTATTGTTACAGCCTTGTATTTAAGAAAACCAAAGGGAAAACAAGCATACTGACAGATCACTGTACTCATGTTTTTGAGAAAAACACATAGTGTATATAATACAATGGAAAAATGGAAGGAAGGGAAAATAGTTGCCTCAAAAAGGTGGAAAGATTATACAAAATCAGACTATCTAGTCCAGCAGTAATGTCAGCAGGCTTCAGGGGATCTCCAGGATTTCAGGCTGAATCCTTTTAAAGCCCTGAATGGACCTTCTAGATGCAAAATAAGTGCTCTCTTAACAAGCCATAGCTCTTCCAATATGCATGTATATGTCAGAGGATAAACTAGAACAAAGATGCAAATCATGTGGGACAACAGTTATTGCAGATTCATAAAAGGGTTGCTGAGACAGCCTGACAACTTTTGGAGGGCAACATGATTCTCTTCTAGGACATTTTCACTCAACTGACTTGTGGTGAAACAGTTAAGTGGCTGGAGACAGACAGTGGAAAACTTTATTTCCATCACCAAGCAACTATATCTCAACCTTTTCCTTTAAATTCATGGATAATTTTTTGGACTAAATCCAACCGTTTGTCCCAACTAAAAACTGACTGAACCAATGTAAAATTCTAAATCAATGCCTATGTACATTCTATCAATTCAATGAGTACAGTGCAGTTATTATGGATAAATATTGTTTTATTGTGGGTCTATGATATACACATTTGTGTAATTTGAAGACATAATCTCATTCTGTGTATGTGAAATTCCACTCGCAGGGGAGGTATGAATTAAATTTTTGTTGCAATCTACCAATTTTACATATGACACAACGCATAACGCGAAATCTAGAATCAGCATAGTACTGAAATAGGCAAAAAACACATCTTTGAGAAGCTTAAGAAGTAAATGTGCTTCAGAAAATTCCAGAAAACTTCTGATGTTAGATGCTAAGTAGCCTAATAAAAAAGCCAAATCATGGGGCAATGCAGGAGAAGTGTTATTTAAAGCAGAGATAAGGCCTGAGCCAGCCTTAGAACAGCCAGGATTGGTTTATTAAAGGGGGGCGGAGTTAGACTGTTTGGAGGGAAAGAAGAGGGCTTTTTCAGTGAGTCTGTTGATGTTAGAGTTTAGAGCAGGATTACAGAAGTTTTTAGGAGTTCGTGTTAAGAGTAGGCAGTTTGCCTTAAGTTTGCCAGCGAAGTAAGCTGTAGCAAACTGGGTACAGCTATTTAGGGAAGAAATAGCTGGGTTTTGTAGTTAGCTAGGCCACAGTTGAGGGTAGCTAAGCTACAGTTGTATCTTGGCAGAGATTCAGCTCCTGTCAAGTATACTTGGTTTTGTTTTAAAGAAGAAACTCTCTGTAGTAGTAACAAAGAAAGAACCATTTACTTGTAACCATTACGCTTTAAAGACAAGCCAGAAAATCTCTGTAACCATCAAGCTTATTAAACAGCATTCACTTCATTCTGTACTTCTATCAATAAACTTTTCTTGATTATTTTTAAAACCTAAAAAGCCTGAGTCCCGTGTGCCTTTGTGGCTAAGAGTCTCTTTCCCAAACAACCTCAAGTGTTTTTTCTCCTTAAAGAAGAAATAAGAAGACGCAATGTTTGGTGCTCTTTAAAAAACCCTTTTATTATTTTGAACAGCTAGAGTGTTCCTGGACATTTCAGTTTATGGTGGCAGCGGAAGTTAAATAGAGACATCTCCTCAAATGTTATATAGGTGCCAGTGAATTCTTTATATTGGAGGGACAGTTGGTGGGATTGTTTGACCCCCCTGCCCAGACAGCCATAAAGGAGACTTTATAATTAGCAATCTGGACAAGGATGGGGGCAATTCTGTCTGCTGAGGTTAGCACAGACCACACAGCACTAAATGCTAAAATTCAGTACCATGAATTTAAATAAGTAAATAAGCTACTGCTTTAAACCAAGGTATACCAAATTCATACAGTTGCAAAAAAAAAAAAAAGGATGTATGGAGTCACATATAACTGCATATCTTCATATAAACCTAAACGGACACTGCAGTCATTGGAGGGGGCCCTGCTCTCGGTCCCACCCCCAACTCAAATGTGGTTGGTGGGAACGAGAGGGGAGTCCTCTCCGTGACTACGCACTCCTTCTGGAACTCCCTTCCTTTGGAAGTAAGAACTTCTTCACTCCTCTCCTTCAAGAAGCAATTAGAAACATACTTCTGTACACTAGCCTTCAGAGAGGATGATTATTTTTATTAACTTCTTGTGCTTCTATTCTACCTGATGAGGCTGACTGAGAACATATTGGCCTAACTCATAGCACAGCCATGGTTTGATTATTCATTTTTCAAGTGGATCCTATTATTTCATTATGTTATTTATGGAACTTATTATTTGTTTTAACAATTACTGTTATTTGTAAATTTTTAATTGCTTGTTTTATTTAGTTTTCTTTTTACTGCTGTTTATCTCCATTTTGTTTTTTCTTTCTAAGCTGCCCTGAGTCCCTTTGGGGAGAGAGTTATAAATAAAGATATTATTATTATTATGCATTTTTCCTGGAACAACAATTCAAATAGCAACCTTTACACATAACGATCTTTCAGATGTCTTTAGAAACATCAGCTCATGCCAAATGGATACAACCAGGCTACTGGCTAGAGAAATTGTCTGCTGGCAAAGTATTACAATTGTACTGTCTGCTTACTTAACGTATATACTTATGTATAAGTCAACTTCAGGTAGATGTCCTAGGCAGGTGAACAAATCAAAGGTCATTTCACACAGAAGGGAAACAATCAGCACCACATCAGGGGACAAACATCCAAAAGGTCTTTTGCCTCCTCACTCTAAGAATAGTTCCTTTTTCTGATAAGGTACAGCATTAACTCATTAGTGGAAAAAAGGAACCAGCCCTTTCTTTGAGTAGAGTGGTGAAAGGCATGAACGTAGTGAATTCCAAGACAACCTGTAAAAAGCACTGGCCATCCCTACACTCTCAGGCTTTCTCTGCTGCTGCTACTTTTTTACCCAAGCATTCAAAAAGGCCAAAAGTGGTGGTGCAGCAGAAAGTAGAAGGGGCTGGTGCTTCTTTTAGATTCTCCTGGGATGGATTAAGCTCTTACATTTTCCCACTGTACTCCGAGAAGATGATGGTGTCTTTTTGATAAGAGTCATGGTATAGTACGTAATTGTCTCATGATAGTTGATCCAGGATTTTAGAGTAGATTTTCTGAATACATAAGTAATTGTTTTTATGCACACATCAAACCAATAGTTTTAAATCATTAACTAAGGCTTTTAATACAAGATATTTAATACTATTACACTCTCTCAAATTATCTGTTTAACATTTGGAAGTGATTTTCCTTGTGCCTCTACTGGACATTTGTTAGCTATCTATAAGGTACTAGGGCTGCTTTTCAAGCTTCTAAACCTTGAAAATTTAGAAACAAAGCAATTACAAATTTTAAAAAGAACTTTTGAGTTTAAATGTTTCTGATTGGATTTGTCAGTTCTGATTTTATTATCCTGTTCAGTATTTTGCTGTCATATTTGTTGTTTTGATGTTTCCACATTCATTTGTTTTTACTGATTTGAATTCTCTAGGATCGAAAGAGCAAAAATTGTAAAGAAAATTTCATGCAGGTCAGAAATAAGGAACATATGGCTCCCCGACTGTTATTGGATTGCAACAACTATCACTTATATCCAATGGCTACTCTAATTAAGAACGATAGGGGATTCAGTCTCACAACATCGGAACAGTTACACATTCTATTAAGTTGTATACTATATATGTGACATACTGATGGCTAAAGGATGGATTTATACTCGAAATATGGTTCAAGAATGATCATGCATACTCTTTTATTCCCACAATTTCTTCAGTGCCACTTCTAACAGAATAAAACATACATTTTAGTCTACTTCCAACCTTCCATAAATTCCAGATTGCTTTGTTTCAGTGAAGTCTAAAAATATGTTTTTTCCCCTTAGCAAAAGCTCAGAATCATTTCAAGCTTACTTACTGCTTCCGTATGTATTGGATGTACAGCAAATAATAAAGATGCAACCAAACTGCTCCTATTGTCCAAGAACAGCTTACAGACCTTGAGGAAAACTATGCAAACAATGGCATGGAATATAACATTCAAGAAGTGGTAAGAAACAGCATTCAGTTCACTGAACAAGTAGTTCAAACGGAATGTGAGGACTGTGAGCGGTCGATAGGACTTATGACTTCTCTCCTGAAAGACAGAGCACAGAGACCTGATTGCAGACACTGAATGAATTTATCAATGCTTTTTTAAAAAAACAAACAAAAACAAACACCAAAAACTAATTCAAAAATAATAAAAACCAGAAAGTAATTCTCATCAGTTTACAAATACAGGTTGATCACCCTATATGAAATGCTTGGGACCCAAGCATAAACACATGTTTTATTTATATTTCATATACCCATACTGGAAGGAAATGTTATATAAAATATTTTACACTGTTTATTTACACTGAATCAACAGAAAGCAAATATGTCACTATCTCATTCATCCATATGGACAATTTTGGCTTCTGGAGCATTTTGGAATAATGGATAATCAATCCTCAAATTTTTATTTTCTTCTTTAGGTGAAAAAAGATACTTCAGACATCTGGAAGATTTAACCTCTTCATCAAATCACTAGTGAAAAGCTCCAAACCTCAGTCAGCCAGGAGATCCAACAACTCCACAGATTTGCCAACCACTTAACCAATGGAAGGGCTTTCATCCTTTGCTAAGCTCCTCTCCTAGAGAACATAAACCTCCTGTCCTGAAATCTATATGCACTGCAAAATACTTGAAGCCCTCTACATCAGTTATGGTGAACCTTTTAAAGACCAAGTGCCCAAACTGGAGGGAGGCGCCATTTAGGGGGTGGTGAGTGAGGGGGCGAATGGGAGGGCGAGCATACAGGATGATGAGATGGTGAGTGGGAGACAGGAAGGTGATTAATCTATCAATTCAATGGGTACAGTGCAGTTATTATGGCTAAAGACTGTTTTATTGTGGCGTGCCATAGGTTTGCCACCACTGCTTTAGATGATGGACTGAGCCCTATTCAGAAAGCTATGACAGACACTGGTGTCCACTAGGTGTTGCAGGGGCCCCTTAAGTTAAAAATGTTTACTTTACCTTCAAGTTGAACACAATGAGACTTTCCTCCTCTGTTTCTGACGCAACTGAAGGGCTCCTTTGTGTCTTTCTGAGGTTTAGATGTATTCACTATAATTCTTTTTCCCAAAAAGTTCATTAAAATCTATAAAATCTCCCTCTATGTTATGAGAGTATTCTAAACTCTGTAATCTGACTATCTCTTCACTGCCAGATTTTCTAATACGCAAAATTCGGCTATGGTGCATAGAAACCAGAAACACAGCCAATGTTTCCTAATTCCTTGCTTGAATGACATCCTATATTCCTGTACTCTAGTTTGAGGTTTGTAACAGGAAAAAAGAAATACTATCAAATCAAATTGATGCAAAGCACAATATTCATGCATTAGTTTTTTTTAAAAGATAACATGATTTGGTAGTATATATTCAAACAAGCATGCTCATCTTATGCAGTGGTTTAGCAATATTCTTAAAACATTATTTTGTACATAAGAGAGAAATCTGTTACCTCAGACATAGGAGTGCCCCAGAAATCATTCAGAAAAAGATTTTTTAAAGGTGTAGAAGGATGCAAGTCTTTGTTGTCCAAAATGGCCGATACGTCGTCAAAGACAAAGCCACAAAAGAGACTATTCCAGTAACATGCCGCAACTACTCCAACAATTAGTGCAATTTCCTTTGAACTAACAAAAGCCATCTTCTTTTATGAATTGTACCTATAAAAAAGATCCAAGTGTGTTCTTCAAAAATCAGTTATCATTAAAATAAGTATCTAAAGTCAACATTAATTCAGAACAGCATAACTGTCATTGTCAGCAGTTTGTCTGGCCTGGCTGGGTTGTTGCTGGAGGCAGGTCTCCAGCAGAGGAGGGCTCTTCTCAGTGTACCCTTTCAGACAGGCCCTATATCCCAGGATCTGATCCCAGGTTTTCTGTTTATCCCAGATAAGTCTGGCAGTGCGTACTCAGATAATTCAGTTTAAAGCAGAAAACCCGAGATTACATTCTGGGATATAGGGCCTGTCTGGAAGGGTCCTGTGTTGCAGCAAGATCGGAAAAGGTTAATCTGATCTTCCCCTTAAGGAAAACATTACAGGCTTCTGGGATCATCTGTAAAGGCTTGCTGAAATGAGCAGCAGCTAAGATCTCTTGCTAAAAAGAGATCTGGAAGAGATAGGTTTTTGGTAGCAGATAATGTCGTACCTTGGTACTCTTGTTCTGGATCTTGGCTCTGCTGCCCTTATGTTAGCATTCTGGACAATGACCTTGCTCCTGCAATCCTCTTCTGGATCCTGTTGTATCCTGAAACCTTGACTCTGAATTCTGGACTAACTTTCTGACTTTGATTTATGGACTCTGACTTCAATTTGACCCCTGACTATATGGCTTGACTTCAAAACTCTGACTTCGGTTTGTACTCCTGAGTTCTTGAACATTATTCCAAGAACTCTGATAAGTGAACTCCTAGTATTTGACTAATGAACTGTAACTTTGGCTATTCTTTGACCACATTAACACTGGGTTGTTGTAGGTTTTTCAGGTTATATGGCCATGTTCTAGAGGCATTCTCTCCTGACGTTTCGCCTGCATCTATGGCAGGCATCCCCAGAGGTTGTGAGGTCTGACCTCACAACCTCTGGGGATGCTTGCCATAGATGCAGGCGAAACGTCAGGAGAAAATGCCTCTAGAACATGGCCATATAGCCCGAAAAACCTACAACAGCCCAGTGATTCCAGCCATGACAGCCTTCGACAATACACATTAAGACTCCTTTTAATGATTTTAATAATTTTATTGATTTTAACCAGGGGGCATTGTGAAGTTGTGATGTTTAAGTTGATTATTGTTTTATGTTATTGTTTTTAGACTTTCTGTATTTTGTATGGTCCTTTGAGTGCTTTGTGAGTCGCCTGAGTCCCTCTGGGAGATGGTGATGCAGTACAAATAAAGTTTATTTATTTTTATTTATTCTTTATTCTTGCTCCTGAACTAGCTAGATAGTACTTGGCTTGTCTGCATTAACTGAACTGTTGACCTTGGTTGTGTTCATCAGTACTCCAGGCATGTGCTGCAATTCTGTTATTTTGATCATACCTTTGAAAGACTCAAGGTTTTCACTTTCTTTATAAGTAAATAAGGTCTTGACTCACCTTGGTTTATTTAATAAACCCCAGCTCTTGATATCAGAAGAGCCCTGGTACATAACAGCAACTGATAAGACTTAGAGAGATGAGGAATATCTCTCTAAGATAGGAAGAATACTTTAAGCAAAGAATACTTAAAGCAAAGAAATATCAGCTGATGAACATGCCCAATGACTTGGTCTTTTACCGGTGTGGTGTAACAAAAGGAAATAGGAGTATTGAGGTGAACCTGAATATTTCTGAATGTTCATACCAAAATTGTTTTCTTCTTCTTTTGCCATTACTCTGGATAATGGGATCTGGAAAGAACTACCCTCAGGCTACAAGTGTATCTAGACTAAGCCTATATATAACCCAATGATTATTATTTCTGGGGGAACATGCTTAGGTTTGCAGTTAGGCAGATTCTGTAAAACAAGAAAATCAATTCTTCAAGGAGAATGAAGGATCACTGGTTTCACATTTAGAAAAGCCTCATGTGATAAGTAAAAAAATGTAGTTATGGGAGAGTAATTGACAGAGGGCAGGATAATTAAAATCTCACTCTTTTTCTTGTAAGGTTAATATCTTTTTCCCCCTTTATTGGGGCACTAAAACCAGGGGAACTCACTAGTTATAGTTTCTTTAACTGGATTAGAAAAAGACTCAATGGGTACAGATTATGAACCCCCCCCCCCCCCCAACGCCAAATAAAACCCCTGCCCTTGTTGCAGTAGTGAGTAACAAATAAAATTTATTACTGTTGTTGTTTCAGTTTGAATCCTGGATATTGATATTCACTCCAGTCACTAAAAAACTATTGAATATCAAATAGCTAAAAATGGGTAGGACTTAAAAGACATAAGAGCAATGTGGAAAATTCTGGAAAGACATATTTTAAGATTTAAATTGAAATTGTTTTAATGAGAGATCAGAAAGAATATAAGCAATAGGACCTCTTACCTTAGGAAGACCAATTATTTTGAAATATGGTTTTAAAAACATTAATTCCATGATCTATTTTTTCATGATACAGTAATTTTTACATTACTATATAGGAGGAATTGAAAGCATCTTTTTGTAAACACCTTAACTTCCTATCATTAAACTGGAAGCAGTTAGCACTTATTCAGGACTCAAACTAATGTAGTTCTTGTATTTTAGGAAAGATATGTAGCATGAATGTTGAACACACCTATTTTGGACCCATGAAGCAATACTAAGGTTACAGAAATATCTCACTAACTGTTAAAATGTACTGCAGACAACTTGCAGACACTAACTTTCTATCAAAAATGATGGTTTCATGTTCTGATCAGATGCATATGGAGATTTTGTTCCTCAATAAAAGTATTTGGTAACATTCTTCATGTCTGAATAAAACAAATATAAACCAAACAAAATGTAGGTGGGGCAAGCAATTTAAAAGCAATTCAAACTTTGTATCCACATTTCGAAGATTTTTTTTAAATAAAAACTTACCACTCAAGCACAATAGTTCTTCATTTATACATTCCCTTCAGCAGAAATCATTTTAATCATGCTTACGTCTGTACTGTTGTCAATAACTGTGACTGTTGTTGAATGCTTATGGATCCTTACTAGAAAAAAAGAGGAAAGACTAGTTGTAAAGAGATCATTTTTATTGTCATCAGTCATACTGTGTCATACAAGCTTTCTAAAACCCAAATGCTTGAAAAAGCCCAAGAGAAAAGCTCTTTATATTAACAAAATAATGTAACACAACACAGGTAAACTTCTCCCTTGAAAATTGTTTATTTGAAATAGTCCTACTTGACGCCATTTCTCACAATACTTGCCACACACTATGATCTGACTACTTGATCAATTTAAAGGACATACAAGCCAAAGTATACATTCAGATTGGAGCAGAAGTCTATTAGTACTAGGGTCTCACAAAGAGATCATCTATGTTGGATAAGTTAGCGTAGACTCCCTGCTTCCTTCCGTCCACTCCAACATGGTTAAAAGAATCTCCAGTAGTAAAGCTGCAAAGCCCACCAGAAAAAACTGGAGAAGTTAACTCTGATGGACATGTAGGACACATACCTTCAAGAAATATGTGTTTTAAACACTTCATTAAAAATATGGAAGTGACTAAAAATTCACATCCAACTTTGAAAGACAGCAAACTTAAAATGGTCCTAACATGCTGAAGGTTTCCGGTATGGTACAGGAAATCCAGTGTTGGACAATGGCTCTGGAGACAAGGGCCTGAATCCCTCTTCAGTTATGGAAACCCACTGGGTGACTTTGGATAAGTCACACTCTCTGTCTCAAAAAAGGTGAACACCCTCTGGCCAAATTTTGCCAAGAAAATCCCTGATATTCCATTTAGGGTCACCAAAAGTCAGAAAAAACCTGAAGGCACACAACAGCAAGACTACTAGCAGTAGCAACACACCTTTAAGACACACCTTTGATTCTGATGATCTCAAGGAGTGTATGTTTCTAGGCTGTAAGTTCAGTGAAGAAGGATGTTTGATTCTATTTATGTCACAGTGCCAAACCATTATGCAAGTGAGGACAGGACAGCCATTTAAATAGTAGTGCTATGGCTCAGTACTACCCTCACTGGATGATCCCACTTATGGTCTTTTAAAATAAAAACTTTAAAAACTTTTGTTTATTTGACTGTTGTTGTGTAACTTCTAATCCTAAACAGCTTTTTAGCTATATGGCTCGTTTCAGTTATGCTGCTCTGGGAATTTACAAAAAGGAAAGTGGGGTGAAAATGATCAAAAATACATCAAAAACTTTAGGAGACAGCATCTGTTTCGAAATACAATGTATAGGGTGATTTTTTTCACATGCCAAGATGATAAAACAACATACAATCTTAGAATCATAGAGTTGGAAGAGACCACAAGGGCCATCCAGTTCAACCACCTGATATGCAGGAATACACAATCAAAACACTCGTGACAGATGACCATCCAGCCTGCTTAAAATCCTCCTTTGAAGTATTACAAAATGCTTTTACCTTTTACAAAGGTAAAAGAAAAAGAAAAATTAGCACAGAATATAGAACTGAACTGGGAAATCTGTGACCAGCTGTTGTTGGACCAGTTTCCTTCATCCCAGACTACTAGTCGTGCTGCCTGGAAGACTACAGGTTACTAATTAAGGAAACAAAAAAGTGTCGAATGCTGGAGTAGTACATATGACATATGGGAAGATAAAATGTACATTTGCAGTATGCTGTATTCTCAATAATGCATGCACTGACCACGTCCATGGGCCATACATAAAACTGTTCCTGTGCTTTTATGTTTTGAATTCAGATGGGCTTCAAGGCACATTAATGATATGGTACAAGAGTCTGTGATACGAAAAGGAAAACAATTCAAAAGTACTTAAAAACTATCTGAGAAGTGACAGGATGAAATCACAAATATTTATATGTAGCAGATTGTTATTTTCCAGGCCTATGATTGCACACAGCTAACAATCACATAAATAATGAAAGCAGACCATTAGAAAGAGCCTGCCAGTTCAGCATTATTGAGAAGCTCAATTACGATGCCGCTTCTGAGGCAATTTACTCAAGGCTGCTTATGATAACAGATCAAGCAAAACAACAGAGTATTTTTGACTGTCAAGCTAAGATTCTTCATTTCAATGACACTTGTGGGAGAAGGGAGCCATCGATCAGAACAACTTTTGCATAAATGTATGAAACATGTCTCTTCAAATACTCATAAAGATAAGAGTCAAACTGAATGACTGACAATCACCAAGTCTTCATGAATCTACATACAACCACATACAAGGAATTGTGTTCTTCCTTATATAGACTGTTAAATGATCTGCTAGAAGACAGGTAAAGCTGTTAGAATTCAAAACAGGCCTACCCAATCAATTTTAAACTATGAATTTTAAAGTGACATTTATGAATGATTTTAATACCTTTTAATCTTATGTCTATGTTCTATTTATACCTCGCGTTTCTCTATCCCGAAGGGGACTCAAGGGCACTTATTCATACAAACATTAAGCCTAAAATAAATTAAATTAAAATTAATATATATATTAAGCATTTAAAAGCATTACATTCAATATTAAAATCACGCCATCCAGAAATCATAGTCCAAAGCCGTTCCATGGCCATTGCTAATATTGCACTGCACTATTCTCGGTTAGCCTGATCCCACAGCCAAATTTTTACTTTTCTTCTGAAGGCTACTTCAGGTACAAACAATTAATTCAGACCCCTTTAGCCTCAGATGAACAGTAGGCAGCAGTGGAGACTTCCACTAATTTACAAGGAATCCCAACTGTGCACACTGGTGCTCATGTCCAAGAGAGCATCCATCAGATTATATCCCTTTGGATGTGAGCTCTCAAAGCAATCGATAACTGGATAATTAGTGATACGGGTTGAGGATCCTTGTCCTGAATGCTCCACAATCTGAAACTGCCCACTTGGGTGAAACCTTTGCTTTCTATTGGCACAAACAATGTGCACAAACTTTCTTTCATGAACAAAATTATTTAAAAATACATCACATCATATACTTTAAAGCTATGTGTCAAAGAGGTATATGAAATATATATGGTTTTTGTGTCTAGATCAGGCATGGGCATCAGGGTTGGACTGGATGGCCCACAAGGTCTCTTCCAACTCTATGATTCTATGGGCACACTTCAGCCCTCCAGGCATTTTGGACTTCAACTCCCACAATTCCTAACAGCCGGAATTGTGGAAGTTGAAGTCCAAAACACATGGAGGGCCCAAGTTTGCCCATGCCTGGTGTAGACTTAAGCCTCACCTCCAAGATCTCTCATATATATAAATAAAAATGTAATGTTCGTTTGTGGGATTAACAGAACTCAAAAACCACTGGACGAATTGACACCAAATTTGGACACAAGACACCTAACAACCCAATGTATGTCCTTCACTCAAAAAAAATGATGGAATTTATAGTTCACCTACAATCAAAGAGCATTCTGAACCCCACCAATGATGGAATTGAACCAAACTTGGCACACAGTTCTCCCATGACCAACAGAAGGGTTTGGTGGGTACTGTCCTTTGGTTTTGGAGCTTAGTTCATCTACATCCAGAGATCACTGTGGACTCAAACAATGATGGTTCTGGACCAAACTCTACATGAATACTCAATATGCCCAAATGTGAACACTGGTGGCGCTTGGGGAAAACAGAATCTTGACATTTGGCAGTTGTAGTTGCTGGGATTTATAGTTCACCTACAATCACAGAGCATTCTGAACCCCACCAACAATAGAATTGGGCCAAACCTCCCACACAGACCCCCCACGTGGGCCACAGCAATGCGTGGCATGGGATGGCTAGTCTATATAAACAAAAATGTAATGCTCGTTTGTGGGATTAACATAACTCAAAAACCACTAGATGAAATGACACAAAATTTGGACACTATTTATTTATTTCTGGTATTTATATCCTGTCTCTTCTCTATCCCAAAAGGGGGACTCAGGATGGCTTACATAGGCAGCAATTCGATGCCGTTACATGAACAATTAATACAATAACCATTAAACAAACCATCAAACCATTAAAATACATAAAATACATAAAATACAAAAACATAAAATACAAAATACATGTGTAGGAGGAAGGAAGGGGAAAAAGAAAGAAAGAAAGAAAGAAAGAAGGAAGGAAGGAAAGAGCAAAGGAAGATGGAAGAAAAGAGCGAAGGAAGGAAGGAAAGAGGTAGAGAAAGAAGAAAGGAGAGAAAGAGGAAAAGAAAAGGGTGTAGAAAGAAAGGGGCAGAGAATGAAGGAAGCAGAGAAGGAAAGAAAAAAAAAGAAAAGGAAGGGAAGAGGGAGCGAAGGAAGAAGAGAAAGAGTGAAAAGGGGAGGGAAGGAAAGAGAGAAGGAAGCATGAAAGCAAAGAGCGAAGGAAGGAAAGAGGTAGAGAAGGAAGAAAGGAAAGAAAGAGGAAGAAAAGGGGGGAAGAAAGGAAGGAAAGAGAGAAGGAAGGAGAAAAAGGAAAGAAGGAAGAGGAGAAGGAAAAGGAGGGAGGGAAGGAAAGAGAGAAGGAAGGATGGAAGCAAAGAGCGAAGGAAGGAAGGAAAGAGGTAGAGAAGGAAGAAAGGAGAGAAAGGGAAGGAAAAGAAAAAGGGAGGAAGGAAAGAGGTAGAGAAGGAAGGAAGGGGAGAAGGAAAGAAGAAAAGGAAAGAAGGAGGAAAGAAGGAGAGAAAGAGGGAGGGAAGGTTGGTCACAGCAACGCGTGGCGGGTACAGCTAGTTATGAATATGAAAATATTCCAAAATCCAAAAATATCTGGTCCCAAGCATTTCAGATGAAGGGTACTCAAACTGTAGGGTCTGAACACGGGTCTTCACCAGCGTCACGTGTGAACACTTTCATGGGAAACCACCCACTTTTTTTCTGCGATGGCCACCTCTAGCAATAGATGGAAGCATTCCTCTCAACTAACATACAGGTAAGCCTTGTGAGATGCAGAAAACTGGGCTAGCCCTACTACACCGCCCTGAGTCTTTCTAAACCCTCTTCCTCCCTCTAAAGATGCCAGGAACCCTCTCCTCACCTTTTAGCACATTACCGTCCTTGGCGAGAAGCCGGCACAAGCAGCCCTGCTTCCCACATTGACTCGGAGGCTCTGCCGGAGCATCTCTTCCGCCATGTCTCTCTCCCCTGAACATGGAAAAGCAACTGGAGACTCCCCTCTCGCACTGCGCAGGCGCTGACTCTGTCTCCCGCTACGGCGTGACGACAGAGCATGCTGAGAAGCCGCTCTGGGGGGGGAAAAACTCCACGTCCCAGCATGCTAAGCGGCCGATGTTGTGAAAGTCCGCCTCTCGGTAGTGCGTAGAGCACTGTGGGTAGCGTAGTCTTCGGCAGGACATTTTGTGGGAGGTTAAAGAATATCCGGGTTCTTTTGAGCCCGGAAGAGAAGTGTTTGATGGCGTCGCCTAGCAACGGCCATCTCTCCTCCTCCTTCCTCCTCTTTGTCAACGGAAGCCAGGGGAAAGGGGAGTGAGCGGGAAGGGCGGGAGACGCTTGAGCAGGATCAGCACTGCCTTTGAAGGTGTCGGTTTTCCAGCCGCGAGGCCTTGTGGTCGCCCAAGGAAGGCTTAGGGTGAAAGCCCTGCCGCCCTTCAGCCATTCTCTGTGAAGTAAACCTACTGACAGCTTAAGAGAAAGTACCGGGCCCTGCGCAAACTATCGAGGTATTATTCGTATTATTATTATTATCGGGTTGCTGTGAGTTTTCTGGGCTGTATGGCCATGTATGTATGATGCAGCTAAACATCAAAAAAACCAAGATTATGGCAACAAGAATGATTGACAACTGGAAGATAGAGGAAGAAATCGTGGAGGCCGTGACAGACTTTGTATTTCTAGGTGCAAAGATTACTGCAGATGCAGACTGTGGCCAGGAAATCAGAGGACGCTTACTTCTTGGGAGGAGAGCAATGACCAATCTTGATAAAATAGTGAAGAGTAGAAACATCACACTGGCAACAAAAATCTGCATAGTTAAAGCAATGGTATTCCCCATAGTCACCTTCGGATGTGAGAGCTGGAACATAGGAAAGGCTGAGCGAAGGAAGATAGATACTTTTGAATTATGGTGTTGGAGGAAAGTGCTGAGAGTTCCTTGGACAGCGAGAAGATCCAACCAGTCCATACTTCAAGAAATAAAGCCCGACTGCTAATTGGAGGGAAGGATACTAGAGACAAAGTGAAGTACTTTGGCCACATCATGAGGAGACAGCAAAGCCTAGAGAAGACAATTATGCTGGGGAAAGTGGAAGGCAAAAGGAAGAGGGGCCGACCAAGGGCAAGATGGATGGATGGCATCCTTGAAGTGACTGGACTGACCTTGAAGGAGATGGGGGTGGTGACGGCTGACAGGGAGCTCTGGCGTGGGCTGGTCCATGAGGTCACGAAGAGTCGGAGACGACTGAACGAATGAACAACAACAATGGCCATGTTCCAGAAGCATTCTCTTCTGCCGTTTCGCCTACATCCATGGCAGGCATCTTCAGAGGTTGAAGTCTGTTGGAAACTAAGCAAGTGGAGTTTATATTTCTGTGGAATGTCCAGGGTGGGAGAAAGAACTCGTCTGCTTGAGGCTGGTGTGAATGTTGCAGTTGGCCACCTTGATTAGCATCGAGTAGCCTTGCAGCTTCAAAGCTCGGCTGCTTCCTGCCTGGAGGGCTCCTTTGATGGGAGGTGTTAGCTGGCCCTGGAGCCCCCCCGGTGGCGCAGTGGGTTAAACCCCGGTGCCGGCAGGACTGAAGACCGACAGGTCGCAGGTTCGAATCCGGGGAGAGGCAGATGAGCTCCCTCAATCAGCTCCAGCTCTTCATGCGGGGACATGAGAGAAGCCTCCCACAAGGATGATAAAAACATCAAATCATCCAGGCGTCCCCTGGGCAACGTCCTTGCAGATGGCCCATTCTCTCACACCAGAAGCAACCTGCTCCTGACACAACCAAAAAAAAAAAAAGCTGGCCCTGATTGTTTCTTGTCTGGAATTCCTTTATTTTTTGAGTGTTGCTCTCTATTTACCATCCTGATTATAGAGTTTTTAAATACTGGTAGCCAGATTTTGTTCATTTTCGTGGTTTCTTCCATTCTGTTGAAATTGTCCACATGCTTGTGGATTAAAAAGGCTTCTCTGTGTAGCCTGACATGGTAGTTGTGAGAGTGGTCCAGCATTTCTGTGTTCTCAGATAAAATGCTGTGTCCAGGCTGGTTCATCAGGTGCTCTGCTGTGGCTGATTTCTGTGGCTGAATCAGTCTGCAGTGCCTTTCATGTTCCTTGATTTGTGTTTGGGCGCTCCGCTTGGTGGTCCCTATGTAGATTTGTCCACAGCTGCATGGTATACTGTAGACTCTTGCAGAAGTGAGAGGATCCCTCTTGTCCTTTGCTGGAAATAGCATTTATTTGATTTTCAGAATGGGCCTGTAGATAGTTTGTAGGTTGTGTTTCTTCATCAGCTTTCCTATGTGGTCAGTGGTTCCCTTGATGTATGGCAAGAACACTTTACCTCTGGGTGGATCTTTGTCTTTACTCTCGTGGCTTGTTCTCGGTCTCTTCCGATGTCTGTGGTGGAGTATCCATTGGCCTGGAGAGCCCGGTTTAGGTGGTTCAGTTCATCTTGGAAGAAGTGGGGTTCTTAGATTCTGTTTGCCCAGTCTGCCAGAGCTTTAATTGTGCTTCTTCTTCTTCTTCTTCTTCTTCTTCTTCTTCTTCTTCTTTTTTACTTGGGTGATGTTTGGAGTTTTTATGTAGGTATCTATCCATGTGTGTAGGTTTTCTGTAAACTCTGTGGCCCAATTGTTGATTGGGCCACACAACACTCAAAAATGGGAATTCCAGACAAGAAACAGTCAGAGTTAGCTAATTACTACCCAACAAAAAATTCCCCCAGGTAGGAAGGAGGCAAGCTTTGAAGGTGCAAGGCTATTCAATGCTAATCAAGGTGATCAGTTGCAACATTCACACTTGCCTTGAACAGACACGAGTTCTTTCTTCCACCCTGGACATTCCACAGATATATAAACCCCACTTGCATAGTTTCCAACAGACCTCACAACCTCTGAGGATGCCTGCCATAGATGGGGGTGAAATGTTAGGAGAGAATGCTTCTGGAACATAGCCACACAGCCTGGAAAACTTATAGCAACCCAGTGATTCCGGCCATGAAAGCCTTCAACAACACATTAAAAAAATTATTAATTAATAATTAAACTGCTTTTCAGCACCCCCTCACCCCCCACCCTGACTCATTGTTTGAAGATTTCCGCTTTAAAAGTAGATCAATAAGCTGTGCATATGTTTCTGTTCATATAGCTTTTCTTCTTCTAATCTACAGAGATAAATGAACACTCAAGATGGCACCTATTTTAGAATGGAAAAAGCTTATGAGAGTAGATCCTGATGCTTTGCCCCGTCAAGAGGAACTTGCAGATAATTTGCTGGAGGCAGTTGCCAAGGTATTCTCATAATGGATTCAATGTGTTGTATAAATATGCAGTGGATCTTGGGTATATGCTAGGGTTTGGTTCCAGGACTCTGTAGGTGGATACCAAAATCTGTGAATACTTGAGTCTCATTAGCTATCAGAAAAGCTAATTTATAAGCAAAGATTAGCAAAAGGAGAAATAGAAGATCTTTTTGATAATCCAGGCTGTCCTTGAGTTACAGACATCTGACTTACAAATGACTCAAAGTTAAGAATGGGGATGAGACAACAGGAAGTGAGAGAAATCTGCCCCTCGGAAGGGGAATTGAATCCTTAAAGATTTATCATGGGAAAAGGTGTCTCTACTGAAGCTTTATCACCAATCCTTGTTTCTAAATTTTTCAAAATCCAATTATCACAGGAAAAAAGTGAGCTGAAATCTTCTGAACAGGACACAGACTGCAAAACAAACACCACAGGGGTGTTAATCCTTCTCTATGCTATGCTACGCTTATATATAGCTGGTGTTACACTTTAAAATGTACCTGTTCCAACTTGCATACATATTCAACTTAAGAACAAACCTACAGAACCTATCTTGTTCATAACTAGGGGACTGCCAGTACATGGAAGTTATTTATTAGCTTCATGTGTAAAACTAGCAGCAAATTCAAATCACCAAATGATCAAGAAAGACCATGGATGAGCAATTAGAAAATATGTTACAACAATTATATGTAACAGATGAAACTAGTGAACAAGCAGTATGACAGAGCTCGATTATATATCACACTATGTGGATGATGGGTTAGGAGTGGGAGTATAGATCTGGGAATAGATGATGTAACAAGGCAGCTGTATTATGTGAAATGTTTTGAAATTAATGAATAAACCTTTTTAATAAAATGTAATTTTTAAAAGAAATATATATAGAGAGAATGGTCTAGGACAGTGGTTCTCAACCTGTGGGTCCCCAGGCGTTTTGGCCTACAACTCCCAGAAATCCCAACCAGTTTACCAGCTGTTAGGATTTCTGGGAGTTGAAGGCCAAAACATCTGGGGACTCACAGGTTGAGAACCACTGGTCTAGGAAATGGCATCCCTTATATAAAAAAGTTAACAACTCAAATAAGTGCTGAAGGGAGCCTGAGGATTTGTAAAAAAAGGTGGGAGGTTAAGCAGGCTATGTCTACACATCAGCACAGTACTCACCCCACAGCAATATCAGGATTTGCTTTTTTGAATATATATATATATATATATATATATATATATATATATATACACACACACACACACACACACACACACACACACATACATACACACATATATACATATATGGTGTCGTTGGTTGAATCCATAAATACCAAACCCTTGAATATTGAGGACCAATGTATTAAACTGAAATATTATATCTACATTGTACAGCTCACTTAATGTTAAATAATCTTTTCTGTATGTTTAGGTTGATGGAAATGACCTGAAGGATGAGAAACCTGAACGTTTAATTCAGCTTTTTAAAATTTCTCAGTCACTAATGAAGGTCTGTGTTGATATGTTTGAATTACTATTCTGTAAGCTAGTCTACAACTATTGTAAAAGAGGAGCTGTGTGTTTTCATATGGAAGTTCTGATGGAAATAGCACACACGAGCACTGGAAACATGATGATTGTCTTGAATACACATCAGTAAAGCACTTTACAAAATATCAAGTCAGAATGAACCAGTTAATTGGAAGGCAGATATTGAAATGATTTGAAAGTTTTGTTGCACAGCAGAGGGCACAAGTTCTGGGATGACTTGAGGAGTGGTGGGCACTGTCCTAAGAAAATACATGTTCACAGACAATGAAAGACATATATTCTGGCAAACCAGCTAAGTGTGGCAGTGAACTCCCATCCAGAGCATTTGTCCCTTATTCAGGGAAGATTCTCTGACTTCGTTTTCCCCCTGCTATTTATCACACTACCGCATAGCTGTAGTATCTCATACCAAAAATGCCAAGTGGCTACCATAATATCAAAACTACTCTCAGGGGCCCAGCAGAAACCAATTGTCTTGTGAGAAGTTTAACAACTCCACTTTAACTCATAGGACTGATTTACGGTGAAACAATGTTTATCTGCCTGATCTACTTGAACATAACTGATTCGTATGATAATCGCAATTGTGTTGAATATATGACAGTAGCATTTTCCTATATTAAATGCAGTAGTCTGGCCTTTTTGAATTAATAAAATGGCACAGAGTAATGTAATCGCTTTCACATAAAAAAACCCCTGCTTAGCCAAGATTATTCCTGGTTCTCAGCCTGAATAATCTAAGAGACTAAACATTGAATAGAAACAGTGTTGAAGGCTGTTTTTGTTTTGTTTTGTTTTTTTTGAGGTTTGAAATCCCTTTACAATGAAATCTTATGCTCACTTAGCTGGGTAAACATTGAGAGACTTATCTTTGAATGCATATGTATAGGATTATATTATTTTCTGATTTTCTGTATTTAGTGCCAGAAAAATAAGCTTCCTTTGTCTTAGTTTGCCTTTCATGGTATTAGTTTGCCTTGTAGATTCAAGAATTAATGTTGTTTATATTGCTTTGTGGTGTTCTGAATAACCCAATAGGTTGTTAATATTTATTATGATTTGTGGATAAATGCCCTGTGAAACATTTATTCCCACATTACCAATCTCTTCTTAGTCGTATGACATGTTAGGAATTTATTTGGACATAACTTTTAACATCTTATTTCAGAATATATCATCTTGTAAATGCAAAATGTTTTTGGTCCATAAAGTAGTACATCTTATTGTATTTTTAGATGAAAAATCAAGAAGTCGAGCTGGCATTGGAAGAAGTTGAGAAAGCTGGGGAGGAGCAAGCCAAATTTGGTATCATCATTTCTGTTCATAAGTAACACACACTCTCATGTGGGAAACACTCAGGGAAATATTACCTGCCAGATAATATTTTGTGACATGCTCCCTTGAAAATTAGAACATTTGTACCATAGAGAAATTGAGATTTACTGACTTCATATTTTCAGTAAATATCTAAACCTCAGTTTCAAAGTAATAAATGAAAATAAAGATTTGTGTAGAGCCATTTTTGTACCTCTTGGGACATCCAGGGTCAGAAAAAAAGTTGTGCTTGTTTACATTTCCCTAACCCCACTACAGTGCGTTCATATACATTCTAGGGCAGTGGTTCCCAACCTTTTTTTGCCCAGGGACCACTTTGACCAGGGACCACTCTCCAACAATAGTACCAAAAGTGTTACGAATCAGTTATTGGCCAACTTTAGATTTGGTTTGGTTATTTGGGGTACTGATTCAGAAAATTGCATTTGATAGACCACATCAGCTCTAGTTTCTGATACAGAACAATTGTCATCCCGTAGTTGCCTTCTGCTCGCCCACAGAAAACCATATTTCATCATCCAGAGCCACAGACCTTATTTTAGGTCTCACAGCCCACCAGTGTTCTGGGGCCCACAGGTTGAGAACCACTGCTCTAGGGGGTATGAAAGCTATTTTCGTAACATTTTGAAGCCCCTCAAGTTATGTTTTTGTATGTGAAATTTAAAAGAAAACAGGGGAGGGGGTTGTCACAGTTGTTCTAAAGCTTTTCTACCATGTTTTGCAGGCCATCTGAACCAGTTTAAGGCTGGAAGAGGGCTTTTTTGAAACCCCTAACATAGTGAAAATGCCTCCATATCCCGTTGAGACAATTGGGGGCAAAATAATGCTTTATATATATTTTGTTTTTGTTTGTAGAAATGATTCCATACGGTGCTCATGCAGCCCACTAGCCTTTCCAATCCTTGGCGTTGAGCAGTGGTTCTTAACCTGTGGGTCTCCAGAAGGTTTGGCCTACCAGAAACCCTAATAGCTGGTGAACTGAGTGGGATTTCTGGGAGTTGTAGACAAACACCTGGGGACCCACACGTTGAGAACCACTGGTGTAGAGGATATCTGGCATTAGCTGTCGGTTAAAATTCAGCAATTTTTGAATTTCAGTTACTATTGTATAATAATCATAATCATAATAATATGAACTTAATCAAATCCTGGACTTTTCCATTAAAATAATTAGAACTCACAAGTGCATTATCATGGATTATCCTAAGGTGAAACAACTGGAAGTGAGAGGAAATGTGTCCCTCAGAAGAGAAATCTACTCCTAGAAAAGTTATTATCATTGGGAAAAGTTATCTCCACTGGAACTTTTTGACCAATCTTTGTTTCCACAACAAGCCAAAATCTTAATAAACCAATTAGCACACGGACAGAAAGTGAACTGAAATTTTCTGAACAGGGGCACAGACAGCTTAAACAAACACCACAGGAGTGTTAACCCTTCCCTATGCTATCCAAAGCTAATATGTATTTGGCTGGAGTTACACTTAAAATGTTCCTATTCTGACTTTCCTACAAATACAACTTAATAACAAACCAACAGAACCTATCTTGTTCATAACTTGGGGATTGCCTGTACATTATTTCTGTAATAGTTTTCTGCTATGTTTGAACATGACAGTCTTTGTGAAACTATCAGCAAACGTATTTTCTAATATTGTTTATTTTTATTATAGCTTTTAGCTGAGGATTTTATTAATTATATTTTAATTATCTTGTATTTTTTCAAACAGAAAATCAGTTAAAAACTAGGGTGATGAAACTGGAAAAAGAGTTAGAGGTATGTTGAAGTTCAAATTGTCGCTATTATTTATTGTTTTTTTTTAAATAAAAAATGCCTAGATTAAAAGTACTTTTTGGATGTTAGTTAATTTGTGGCAGCGGTGTCAAACTTTTTATGACTCTTTAAGGAAACTACTTAAATGTAAAAGCAGGTTTTTGTGTAGCCAACAGTGGTTAGGTCCTTTAAGCCCTACAATTTTCAACAGCAGTTGATATTCCAAAAGTTAAAAAATATTTAATAGTTGGAGAGAGAGTGGGACATGTTTGTTCCTCATCTGGGGGTCCTTGTGTTTTGTGTTTATTCTGACTGGAGCAGTTGACTGTGTGTCCTGCTTGTTGATGACTTTTTATGTTTCAATAAGGCAGCACAGCGATCTACCGGTGGCCGGGATACTCGCTTTCTGCGTGATGAGATCCGGCAATTGGAAAGACAGCTGGAACAAAAAGACAGAGAACTGACAGATATGGAAAAGGAGTTAGAGAAAGAGAAAAAGGTCAATGAACAGGTAAGTATTATTTTAACACAGATCTGTTCATTATTATTATTATGAAGATTAAAAAAGAGAGTTAATTAACTAGTTTATTCTAATTTATAATAAAATGCAAGGGTAGCCAAGGTTCTTCTAGAGAGCCATGTTGTATACGTCTTTTCAGAAATATTTTTTCATAGAACATACAAGGGCTCGGAGCAGTGGGTTCAAATTAAAGGAAAGGAGCTTTGGTTCTACCTGAACATTAGGAAGAACTTCCTGACCGTAAGATCTGTTCAACAGTGGAACTCTCTGCCTTGGAGTGTGGTGGAGGCTTTGGTTCTACCTGAACATTTGGAAGAACTTCCTGACAGTAAGAGCTGTTTAACAGTAGAACTCTCTGCCTTGGAGTGTGGTGGAGGCTTCCTTGGAAGCTTTTCAACAGGCTGGATTGCTTTGTGATTTTCCTGCATGGCAGGGCATTGGTCTAGATGGCCCATGTGGTCTCATCCAACTCTATTATTCTATGATTCTATAAGTGATTATGGAATTTCAGGTTGAATATGATAATAGCTTACTTTTTAAAATTCTTTTTTTTTTTACCAAATATGATTTTAAAATATGTGTGTGTGTGTGTGTGGGGGGGGGATAGAAATGGAAGAGAGGGAGTACATTGGATATGAACATGGACTAGGCATATGTATCAATATAAATTGACCATACTGTTTTCAAAAATATGTTTTCTTAAAAGTGACATTGAAATTACCATAGCTTATTGTTCATTTGTTGACAAGCTACAGAGGAATTCTGTCTCCGTTAGACAATTACACTAGTGTTTATAAGCTCCCATGAAAATGAGTTATATGAAAAGCAAATTAAAACTACGATTTGGTGTGTATGTGCTCTGAATGTAATACAACTTAATATTCTTTATTTTTTCGACTTTCTATAGCAATGTGTTGATTTCATTATATAGTACATTTACCATATAATCCTATGTGTATCAATTCAATAATAAGCCTAATTTAATTTGTTTCCAAGCTAAGTTTGTACAGAATTGCAGCTTTAGTTCTCAAGTGTGTTTTGCTATTGCTGAATTATTTGGCACTTGTTACTCTTGTCCCTAATTCACTGTAGATGACAACACTGAGTTGTTTGATTGCATCCCTCCTCTGCTCTCACTAGGAAAATATCTAAATGTATAAATGTTTTATGGTATGTTTTTGTATATGGCAGAACAAATTGTTTACAATTAAGCACTTGACAAACCATCTCCCTTCTTATTTACTGTGCTTCCTCCACAAGTCATAACCTCCCCTTCCTCTTGTTCTTTTACTTCTTCCACCACTTGTTTGCTGTAAAAAATCTATTAATGAAAAATGGATGGAATAACTGCACAGAAATATTTTTTCAAATATTTTCTAATTCCTTTTGAAAAGAAAGGAAAAATGTCAACCTGCATCATTTTCCTTTATAACGAAACCTGTCATTTCAGCTTGCTCTTCGAAATGAGGATGCAGAAAATGAGAACAGCAAATTGAGAAGAGAGGTTAGTAAAAGAATTTGGGTGTCAGTACCAATTTAGTGCTGTTGAGTCCTTTGTGGACTGGGAAAAACCTTAGCATTAAATAGTTCAGGCTTCTTATTTATATTCCTAGAAAACTGCTGTTAATTGCTTCTCTTTCAGTGTTGCTACAAGTTTGAACTCTTTTATGTATTCATAGCATACTTGATCTGTTTGTCTTTTGCATGTATTACTGTTTTTATAAGTGCTGTGTTTCCAACTTTGCATACTTTTTACCTTGAGAAACATTTTTGAAACATTCTGTTAATTTGCCTTCATTTTTTAAATAAATATTTTTGTTGAATACAAGATAACATAATATTTGAACAGGTAATAAATGTCTATTGTGAACTTACATTGTGGTAAAGTATTTCTATATTATCTATTCACCTTCTTTACAAGTTCATTCTCATTACCTTTTTGATTTTTTCTCCCACCTCCTCCCACCTCCCTTCCCCACCCCACCCACCACATTTTCCTCTATATATTTTTGTTTAACCATTAACACTATCTTTTTAATCTTTGTGCAGTATCTATGCTGGCTTCTCCTTCTACCCATTTTATATAAATTACCCATTTATCTTTAATTACCTCTCTTTTGTCCTTCTGTGAATCTTCTCGGGTTATACATGTAATAATGTCCAATTGGACTTGCTCAAATAAATACTTATTCCAATTTTCCAAATTCCATTTTTCCATCTCTCTATCCTTAGGTATTACCACATTTCCTGCTAGAATCATTGCTTTAAATTGATCTTGGTTCTTTACAGCAATCTTTTTGTTCCTTATAATTATCATTAACATAAGTTTCACATTAACCTGAATTATTATTTGAAATAGTTTCCATTTTTTTAAATTATCTTACCCCCAAAAATGTTGCATTTAAACAATCCCACCACATATGTGCATACCAGCCTTTCTCTACTTTGCAATGCCAACACATTGGACTTATTCCTATTACCATATTTGCTAGTTGGGCTCGTGTCCTATACCATTTCCAGATAAATTTTCTTTCTAATTCTTTGTACTTTCCAATTTTATTTTCTTAACCCCTTCTTTATTTACTCTATAGTTTGTTTTGTGAGTGGCCGTTCCTTCTTCCATTTTTTTCTAGTGTTCTTACTATATATTCATCTTTTATCATCATTTTATATAATTCTCCTACTATTCCTTTCTCTATTTTCTATCCTTTTGTAAATATATTTTCCAACTTGCTTTCTTTGTCTAGACATTCCCCATGTTTCCCCTGTTTAAGTTTTAGTATATAGACGTAATACTTTTATCCAATTTTTATTTCCCACTTTTTACATTATCCCACCGATTGGAATCAGTTGCCCATTTATCTCATACAAATCCTTAATACAATATTAGCCTTTGTCTTTCATGTCTCATTAATTTGCTGTCATTTATTTGCCTGACTGATGATAAAGAATGATACAAAGGGGTGTTGTTATTACTGAATCATAATTCACTCTAGTTTCTGAATGGCTATAAGTATTAATACCTTTTCTTATTGAGGCATTCACATGCTTTGTTAAGTACCATGATTTTATTACTTTTCCCCATACATAAAATGCTTCTAGTTTTCCTTTATCTTTTGTCCAATAAGTTACTTTTTTTAAAATGCCTGATTTTCTCCCTATTTTGCTCTATTTTATTATAAGAAAAAACGAATGAAGAAAAAGGTGAGTACTCAGTAGGTTGTTGAGTATTTATAATAGCTTTGTGTTATGTGATAGGTTGTTTTGAAGAATCTAGGTGAAATACTGGTTTAGTTAGATTAATTGTTCCTTAAGTTTTTTTTAGTCAATATGTTACGCTGAAGGCTTCTCCGACTCCAATTCTTTCTGTTTTGGTCAGAATGAACAACTGCGACAGGATGTAATTGACTATCAGAGACAAATCGATAACCAAAAAGAAACACTTCTTTCACGAAGAGGAGAAGAATCGGATTACAGGTCACAGTTATCAAAAAAGAACTTTGAACTTGTCCAGTATCTAGATGAAATTCAGGTAAACCCTTAAAGACTATTCAGAAGAGGAAAATAGTACCATTGCCTTTATTTTCAGATCAGGATCTGATAGAACTTAGTTTGAACACGTGTGGGGTTGCCTGGTGCATTTTGGTCAGTGACTGTTTTTGTTTAAAGATAGGTTCTGAGGATAAACATCTTGGAATACATGTCCCAAGGATGCTTAGTTTACTACTTTGCACAGTGCACTCCTTTGCATGTCAACTTATAATTAAGTTCCCTTGAATTTAGTGGGACTTACTCCTAATTAAGCATATATACGTTTGCAACTTCATTTGTTTGTTCATGTCGCTGTGTGTTTTGCACAATTGTACTTTTCAAGGCATGGCTATAGTAATTTTGTTCGACTCTTAGAGGTGAGAAAAAGTCTACCTTATTTCTCTGCTGATGTAACGAGATTCATATTAAGAACCAGCATGATGAGCAGGCATTATCTAAAATCACAGCTGGTTAATCACCAGCAGGAATAGATCTTTCCCAACTGACAGGTTAGGAATTTGAGCCCGAGTTGGAGTGAGCACCCAATGTTCAACCCAGTTTACTCTCCACCTAAGCAGTTCGAAAACAACTGTAGCTGTGAATAGAGAAATTAGGCACTGCTTAAGCGGGGAGGTATTTTACGGCACCATAAAAAAGCCGCCAATCAAAGAACAGGAGGAAAGTCTGTGATTTAAAAAAGCTCATCGTCATAGAGAATGGAGTGACAGCACTTCCCTGTGGCCGGAATCGAGCATAACCTCCAGGATGCCAAAGTTGGAAAACCGCTGAGACACATACCTCTGTCTGTCCTGTATGTCTAACTGCATTTAATGTTTGCCATGTATTTGTTCTGTCATCTGCCCTGAGTCCCATTCAGGGTGAGAAGGGCAGAATATAAATGCTATAAATAAATAAATAAATAAACTCCTCTTGTCATATAGCATAGTCACAAATATTTTAGACACCAGTTGTAATCACAGCAATAATAGAGGATGCCTTTAGTAATTTGCAAAGTTTTAGTACATTTAGGTTGCTTTATTTTTAATAATAGTTTAGTTACACCTAAATAATCTCATATTTTATTTTGTGTTTAAATTTCTAGGGTTTAACTGAAGCTAATGAAAAATTAGATGCACAGAACCAGGAAATGAGGAAGAACTTAGAAGAATCTGTGCAAGAGATGGAAAAAATGACAGATGAATACAATAAAATGAAAGTTATTGTTCAGCAATCTGATATTGTTATGGATCAACTCAGAAAGGAAAAGGAGCAATATAGGTTACAGGTACAAAGTAACTTGTAGTCTACTCTGTTTTCAGCATCAGTCCAGTAACACTATTATGCAAATATAAAAAAAACAAACTCAGAATTTACCAAGGACTAAGTTAGAGAGGTGTTTTTAATAGTAGTTTTAATTTCATTTTTGTTGTGCTATTTCTAAGTATGTTTTTTCTTTGTTAGTATGTTTGAATATAAATAAGTTTTAAAAGAAAGGGGGCATTTTTCAGAGGGAGCATTTAATAATGTTAGCTGAAGCATTAGATTTGTATCATAAATAGATCTGACCTAATACTTGCTGTCTGTGTATAGTATTTGATCAAGTATTTCATGGATATTACAGGTGCATGAATTAACAGAGCAACTTAGAGCAAAAAATGAAGAGGATGATCCTGTCATGGTAGCTGTAAATGAAAAAGTGGAAGAATGGAAGGTATCTTGTATCTAATCATAGTTAACATTTAGAAATTTGCAACCACCATCTTTAATCCTTAACTTTATTCTCCTTTACAGGGAATTTTGGCTTCCAAAGATGAAGAAATTGTTGAATATCAGCAGATGTTGTTGAACTTGAGAGAGAAAATGAAAATGGCTCAGCTTGATGCTGACAAGAGCAGTGTTATGGCACTCCAGCAGGTACAATTTCCTCTACAGTAGGAAAAAAACTAATCAACAGTACACAAAATATTTATCACATGAACATTAGATATCTCCTAATACCTGTAAGGCACAATCCAGGTATTGAAGATATTTGCTCTCTGTACCCAAATTAGAACATAAGGACATACGTTTCCTAGCAGTATTCCTCACTATTTTTGCCACTTCACATATTTTGATGTTCTCTGCACATAGATTCTCCTATTACCAGTCCCACCTCTTGTACACAAATGTTTCGATCAATTTGAAGGCTACATACATAAATAAATCATTATAATCAGTTCCATTTAAAATTAGATTTAAGAATACTTCATACTGCTTGGACAAGCATATATTATGGTTAAGGTCTGTTAACAAAAAAGGTCAAGTGAAGCTAAACTACAGAATTCAATTTTGAAAGAACTGTTATTCTCTTGATGTAAGTGGTATATTTTATTTTTCCTTCTCTGCTTTTTTTTGCTGCATATTCTTTGCTTATCCTTCTAGATAATATCTGAACTCTATATTGTAAGTACTTCTGCTTTTTCTGTTACATCATACACTTTTTTGTTAGTTTTTATACTTTCTGGTATGCTAGTCATGCTGTTTATTGAGAAAAAAATTAAACTTTTTCAGGGTGTACAAGAGAGAGACAGTCAGATCAAACTTCTTACTGAACAGGTTGAACAGTATACAAAAGAAATGGAAAAGAATGCATTGCTTATTGAGGATCTCAAACAAGAACTCCAGAAAGAAAAAGGTAACTCTGTGTTATACTTTATGAAATATTATTACTTTGCAGTTACTTCAAAATTTCTTCTCCCCAAGCCATTCTATGGCTTAGATCCAGGCTGACAGGTCTTATTTCCCAATATGAGCCTGCCTGGCTCTTGAGAGCCACAGGAGCAACCTGTGAGTCTTAGTTTATCACCTTCACAGGTTGGTGGAAACACAAAAGAGGGCCTTCTTGGTAGCTGCCCCTATACTTTGAAATTATCTTTAGGAAGGCTAAAATGCCATCCTGCTGCTGGCAGCCAAAAACTTCATTTTTCAGACAGACTTTCATCTAAAGGATACAAGTGCAGTATTATTTTAAATTGAATTGTATATTCTTCAGTGTGTTCATTAGTTTTAATTTGCCTTTTTGTATGTTTTTAATTGTTATCTTTTTAATGTGTAAGTTGTCTTGGGAAAAGGGCAAGATACAAATAAAGACAACAATAACAACAATGCATGAAACTGAACATCCAAGTGCAAATCAGCAGCCACATCAGTTACTTTTCTAATTGTTATTTTTAAATATAGGTAGTCCCCAAGTTACAAACATCCCACTCACATATGATTTCTAGTTTTCAGATTCTGTGATTTTAATTAGTTATTTTCATTTATGTTTTAATTATGTGATTTTAATGTATATATTGTTTTTATGTTGATATGTGTTCAAGGCATTGAATTGTGCCTTTGTTGTGAGCCGCCCTGACTCCCCTTTGGTGAGAAGGGTGGGATATAAATAAAATAAAATAAATAAATAAATAAATAATAAAATAATTGTAAATGGGGCCGAGGCAACAGGAAGTGCGACGAAATCTACCCCAGGGAAGGGAGATTCACTCCTGAAATAGTTATCATGGAGAAAAAAAGTATCTCCACTGATGTATTATCGCCAATCCTTGTTTCTACAACAATTTTTTTTTTAAAAATCTAATTCTCACAGGGACAGAGAGTGAGGTAAAATCCTCTGAACAGGGGCACAGACAGGAAAAGAAATGTAACAGGTGTGTTCATTTCTCCCTGTGTTAACCAAAACTAAAAAAAAAGGCTGGTTTTACACTCAAAGAATGTGCCTGTTCTATGCAAATTCATTGTAAAAACAAACCTACATAATCTATCCTTTTAATAATCCAGAGACTGACTGGGCATAGCCCAGGATTGCATAGTTGAGCAGGTATTTGGGATTTCCTGCTTCTTTGCTTTTTAGGCAGAAGTGTGTTTACTATTCATTGAATTAATTGTGGGGGGAAAGGAGCCCAATCTTTTCATGATTTGTGCAGTGATTATTGTTTTGCAATTTAATGTTCATTCAAAAATTTATTAAAGTTGAATATTTTATATTCTTTAATGATAAATCAGGGCTGATTGAATAATAAACACCTTATGGGCACTTGTTCTGCTTTTTCCAGTTGTGCCATCTTTTACACAACAAGATTGTGTTGAGGAAATAAAAGTCAAGTTGGATCTGCTAGAACATAAAACAAAAGAAGCCGAACGGATGGCAGAAGCTGCAGAAGCTGATGCAAGGGAAAAGGACAAAGAACTTATCGATACTCTGAAGCGAATGAAAAATTATGAAACAGTATGTAACTCAGTTTCACAGAACAGTGGTAGCTTTCATGATTTTAATCTTAAGATAATTTCAGTTATATGTATTTTTAATAGTACATTATCTATATAGAACTTCTCTGTTTTTTAAGGGAATATATGGTCTGGAAGATGCTGTTGCGGAAATCAATGATTTAAAGACCCAACTTAAAATAAGGGACCATGAGATTGAAACACTAATTAAAGAAATTAACAAACTTGAACTTAAAATCAATGATTTCCTTGATGAAAATGAAGATCTTCGGGAACGACTAGGTATGGGCCACATCAGCATTTGTACATATTTAATTGTACATTGGTATTGAATTAACTTTCTTACTCTTCAGTAATGGACTCTTGCTTTTTTCTGAAAATGTTGACTTGAAATATAGATGGAATCATTTCTTCCTAAATTGATGAGGTCATCAAATTATATTTGACTTCAACCCAACAGCACTGAATAGTAAAATATTTTAATGTACAGGCATCATCTGGAACTATGTCCATAAGAAAATCCAATAAGTAAACAAGTTGTGACCAAAACAGCACAGAGTACTTCTAATTAAAAGTATTAATCAATCTAGTCCATCTATATTATTTTGTCTCAGAAATAAAAGCTTGAATCCTAGTGTGTGAAGCATTTAGATTCATATGAGATCAAGAGAGAGATTTTGTTTCTGTCCTGCATAAGAAGGTTATAAGAAGTTTAAGATCCTCTGGGGAGGCTCTGCTCTCGGCCCTGCCTCTGTCATAAGTGAGATTGGCGGGGATGAGGAGCAGGGCCTTCTCAGTGGTGGCCCCTCACCTATGGAATTCACTCCCCGGGGAAATTAGATCAGCGACATCCCTCCTTTCCTTCAGAAAGAAATTAAAAACATGGATGTGGAACCAGGCGTTTGGGCAATCTGGCAGATAAATAAAGGACTGCGACGACGGATAGGAATAGACAATGTGGAACGAAGTATGGACTCTGAGTTGGCGAACGCTGTGCTTGAGATTGGCTATTGACTGTGATATATATTGTTGTTTTAATTGTTTAACCGTTTACTGTTTTTATACGTTTATTGTATTATTGTGTAGGCATCGAATTGTGCCATTTTGTAAGCCGCCCTGAGTCCCCCCTCGGGGGTTGAGAAGGGCGGGGTAGAAGTATACGAAATAAATAAATAATATCTTAGTAGAAATGCCCTAATTGCTTACAGCCAGTGCAGGTATATCACAAGGTATTTCACAAGGTTCTTGCAACCAGTGAACTTGCCTGTGCTCAGAAAAGTAAGGGGATGGACTTAGATTTCATCACTTACTGTGATATTTGCAGAAGCAAGCAAGTTGAATGCTAGCTGGCTGAAGGATATTTCAGTTATGATATCTCAGCCATGAGTATAGCAAAAAAGCTTGCTTAGGATGATAAGTGAGGAAAAAGGTTCTCCACCCATTCAGCATCATTTTGCCTAATTATCTGTATACTCTAATATAGAGCACTTATCATGTTTCAGGCCTTGATCCAAAGACGATGATTGATTTAACAGAATTTAAAAACAGCAAAGCATTAAAACAGCAGCAGTACAAGGCTGAAAACCAGATCCTACTGAAAGAGGCAAGTGATAAACTTTATTTCAGGTATTTAAGGAAAATTAATTTTGTTGAGGCATAATGAATGTTCAAATGCATTCTAGATTGAAAGACTGGAAGAAGAAAGAGTTTCTCTGAAGCAGCACATTCGCAAACTGGCTCAGGAGAAGGGAAGAAGGGCTGCCACTTTAGGTAGGCAGTGTTTCTTCTGATGTTTCTTCATGTCTTGTAGCAAGAAATAGAAGGTTCTTGTTAATCTTTGTAGACCATTTCAAAACTTCTTGATAATATTTAGACACCAGATTGAGAAGAACAGTTTTCTAAGCCATTGAACCTTTTTTGTGAACTGATTGTGGAGTTTTGAGTTCAATAATGTTTCTGGAGAGATTCGTGCAGATTTTCCTTTTGAAATAAAATCAGAGAGAGTTGCATTTAATTAGGTGACCTTTTCTGCTGCCTTTGTGCAATATCCAACTTACCTGTCTGAGCGCATCTCTCCTTATGAGCCAACTGCAGTTTTAAGATCTGTTGAGGAGACCCTTCTCTCGATCCTACCCCTTTCGCAAGTGCAATTGGTGGGAACGAGAGACAGGGCCTTCTCAGTGGTGGCCCCTTAGCTGTGAAACTCCCTCGCCAGTGACATCAGGCAGGCCCCATCCCTTCTGGTTTTCAGAAAAAAAAGCTAAAGACCTGGCTCTGTATGCAGGCGTTAGGAGAATAAGATATTATGGATTTCGATACAGTCTGAATAATAACCATGTATCAATCAATAAGTATGGAGTCAAAACTTGGCACTTTATGTTTTTAATCTGTTTTATTGTTCTGTGTTGTTTTACCTGCTTGTCTGTTTTACTTGTTTTATAGTTTGATGGGTATATTTTAATTGCTATGTTTACATGCAGCATTGAATTTTTACCAGTCTGTAAGCCGCCTTAAGTCTCCTGATGGATGAGAAAGGAGGAGTATAAAAGAAGTAAATAAATATGTATCGTCATGTTCTTCATCTTAATTTTTGTATAGTTTTCGTTTTCTCTATTCAGTTGTGCTCCAGCAAAGACACAGAAGCTTGCTAGCTCATCTTGATCAAGCACCTCCTAGTTGTTAATGAGAGACCTCCTTTGTAGATTAAGCACAGCATTTTTAATTGCAGTTACCTTCTAGACTTTTTTGTCATCATGATTTCTCAGGCCAGTCAAATTAATAATACCCTGCTTCTTAATTTTGTTCTGAGTAGGACTGGATACAGATGACCTACATCTGATTGATACTTTTACTGAAGATCTGAAAATGAGAAGGGTGAAGTCTGAATTCATGAGTATCGGGAACACTGAAGAGATTAAAGCCAAGGTAAAGACACAGATGGAGGCTACTGTTACAAACATATTTATTCAATTTGAATATTGTTGAATTATTTGCATAAAATATTTTATATACAAATAAAATGCATATATAAGAACATGATATTAACAAATACACTTTAACATCTGGTTGTCTTGCTTAGTGCTTGTTTTGGAGAAATGTATTTTTTCCTATTGCAAAACTGTAATTTCTGTAATACCAATAGAAAAAGACAACTCATGTGGAATGATCATCCATTTTTTTTCTTTCATGTTGTAGGGGGCAATAGTAAAAAAGAAACCGGAACACTTATATTGCCAGCATCTTTCAAAGTTTATTTGTCTGAAAAAGTTAAATCATTCTTTACTTTTTCCCTTTTTTCAGAGGTGTTGTCAGTTTGTTTCACAGGATAATAGTGATGACTCCAAGGCTTTAACAATAGATGAGCTTTACAGTTCCCTAGGGCAAGAATCAACCGAAATGCTAGGGACCGCTTTATGTCCAGTCTACAATAAGGAATTGAGCAAACTGAGAATAGACTTTCCAGTTTCCAGTTCTGCTGTGCAAAGAAAACAAAGAGCTAGTGCAGAAAAAAGGCAGGAAAGGCAGATGAAGAGAGCCGAAACGCATTCTCAAGTTCATATCTCAGGATCCCCAGCACGGACACTTTCCCTGGATTTTCAAGAGGGATTGCCCCTTACTCTGCTTGGAAAGCCAGTATCATCCTATGTAGTACAGGAAGTTCTGTTGAAAGATGAGGAGGACAATTCTGAGATAAAACTGTTGGATTTGAGAACTGATTTGCAAGGTACAGGCAAAGGTCAAATGTATTTTCCAGAATCATGGCCTGTAGAACACTTAGAAGGAGAAATTGATTGTGCTCAGCCAGTGAAATCACATCAGATAGATCGAGTTGAGAGTCTCATAAGACAGCTGAAGAGTGAATTAATTTTCCTTAGATCAGAGGTGAGGCATCTTCATCATACTATTCATTTGTTTTTGTTTTTATTACATTACATCGAACTTTACACTAGAAAACGAAAGGTGCCTGAGAATAATCATGTAAATCCCATGAATCATATTGAAGACCAAAACTTGTAAATTATCACATATGTGTGGGCCTTGGCCTTTGTAAGCCGCACCGAGTCCTTCAGGAGATGTTAGCGGGGTATAAATAAAGTCAATAATAATAATAATAAATAATATGTCCTTAGAATGCCACATTTATGAGCAAATACTGATAGTTTTTTCAATTAAAATATAAAAATTGAGACCACTTACATATATCAACTTTTAGAAACTACAAGAAATGTAATATGTATGTGTGTGTATATACATATATATATATATTTATTATTTATTTATTTACTTCATTTATATACCGCTTTTCTCAGCCCTCAGGCGACTCAAAGCGGTTAACAACAGCAAAATTCAATGCAAAACATCATAAAACGATTATGGGACAGTTAAAACAATAGCATAATCAACAATTAAACATCAATATAACAATCATTAGCGTATATTTAGTTGTGCTGACTCATAACTGTTTAGAAACTAGTGTGCTAGCAGTTATATCAGTGCATCTTTGTGAGATAGGTAGTTACAGCAGAATTGCACTGATACTATTTTGTATATATTACAATGAATTTTATATATAGCTTTAATTAGATCTAAGATAAGAAAGATATAAAATTTATGACTTTAGATATTGGAAATATGAATGATAAGCTAATTATCACTCTTCATTCTTCAGAATGAACATATATTGAGAGACTTATTCACCAAGAATACACTGAATAAAAGTGCAGAAGTAGAGGTTGACAAGTTCAGATGCCAGAAATTGGAGGTAGTGGAAGGGTGTTGGAAAGATAATATTTTGGAAGTCCTCATTAAGTGCCCTGATAAGTACTTTTTTAAGAATTTAATATTCTCCAACTGGATTGATTTGAACTTTCAAGACCTGTCACTTCTCTTCTTATGTATAATCTGTATGTTTCATTTATAGAATATGAGATGCAACATGCATTTCATATGAATAGTTGGAAATACATTTGTCATATAATTTACCAATATTTTATTAATTTCTTCAGAATTCATGTTCTGTTCAAGGGTTTTGCATTTTTAAAGTTGTAAATAATCTTTATGTTTTTGTTTGGTTTTGCTAGAACGACTATCTTACCAAAGAATTAAGTGAACGAGAGAGAGACATGGAACAAAACAGGACTGTGATAGCAAAATTTCAATCCAAATGTAAGCAAAAATTTCTATTTAATTATCTTAGCTTTTAAATTTTGGTAATCCTGAATCAAACGCTGAATTTCCTTCTCCATCTTGTAAGAGTCAAGATTTGAAATAAGGTCTTTGAATTTGAACTTACTAATGGATATTCTATTAATTTTCAAATGTATGATCAGTAGGTTAGATTCAGACATCACTCCATATAGTCATTGGTCATGTTGCTAGCAGTTTCAATAGCCTCTTAAGAATGGGGTTGAGGAACCCTTGCTTGGGCCAGCGATTCAGCTCCTTTGCATACTTTTGACTACTGGCCCGGTCTTGTTTCATAGCTCATCAGAGCCTCAGAACTCCCTTACAAGGAACCCCATATGGTTTAGTGCAGGTCCTGAAGTTTTCTACCTTGTGCTGGGCCAAAGGAACAATACAAGAATATTGCAATGTTATAGTGCCATAGTTCAGTAGTCTCACTAACTCAGATGATCTCAGAACTGCAAGATTGTCTCAGAAGAAACAGAGAACCCCATGAATGTGGTTTTTCAGAAACAACATGTTAAAACTGTTGCCTTCATGGGATTGGCTCAGGGCTTCATCCCCTAGGGGACATAGGGCGGGATATAAATAAAGTTATAATTATTATATTATGACAAGCAATAGGCTAGTTAATTCCATTTCTGGCCTAATGCATGTTGTAGGACATATCCTTGACATGGATTTTGTTATTAGGCAGACAGAGGGTAATTTGGTTTGGAGGAGACCCCATTGCCCCATGTTTAGATTTCCTGTGGTGTGTATGTGTGTGCATAGATATTTGTTTAAGATGGTCTGCTTTATCAAATCTGACATCTTTCTGAATGCTCTGGGGGGTTTTCTGGTTAACAAAGCTGATGAATCAGGACTTCCATTCAATATAAAAAGGTGAGATGGAAAAGACTAGCAGTAGGATAGCTCCCATATGGCAATTCAGTGCAGTGATCTTGATTTACCAAAAAAATCTGTATCAAAGAAAAAGTTTAGACAGTGGCTACAGTATGGGTAGAAAGGGTTATGGAAAAAATACGAGTGAGGATTAACAGGGAATCTTCATTGTGCCCATTATGCTGCAGTGTGGGTAACAAAACAAAGTCTTACTTTTCTTTAGTGTCTTGTCTTCATCCTGTCATCCAATGGAATTATTTCAAGGGTTCAAAAATCTATCATGATCATATTCAGAAAAGTTACCTTACTAGGCCAAAGTCTTTCATAGTTGACAACATAGGCATTCCAGTATTTAATAATGTGTCTGATTTTCTGTCATATTCCTTGGGATCAGTTTCAGTTGTTGTCACAGATTGATATGAAAAAGATGTTTGAACAAACCATCCCACCGTATGTAGTTTCCTGTTGCCTATCTTAGTTGATAAGATTAGCACAGGTAGATTGTTTAGGTGAGTGAAATGTTAATACTTTGAAGGTGGCTGTAGCAAGCCCTCTCTTGAAGAGATTCCCTGTTGACTCAGTTATGTGAAAACTACTGTCATATCACTCTTTTTGATGAAAGGTGCATGATAATATTGTGATCGAGCAATTTCATGTGTACTTGAAGACAGATTTCTATGTGCCCTAATTTCAGTCTGGTGAAAGCATGGTACCAAAACAGACTTTGTTGCTCTGACTGATGATAGAAAAATATGGGGATTGCTGCCTTGTTAATCTTCCTGGATCTCTTGGCATCTTTTAATACAGTTAGTCTTCAGGATGTGTCTGGAAGCACTGTTATAATGTTTCCACTCCCAACAGCATGTGTGTGTGTGTGTAAGATAATCTTTAGAGGCACTTCTTTATTAGCTCTCACATTAAGAAGTACACTGGCTAGCTAACAGGAAAAGAGCCTCTTTGGTTGCATTACCCTGTTTGAGGAATGTCCCTAATAAGAGAGATGAGTAAAATGATGGAATAGAAGGCATACTTGTAAAATCTGCAGATGACTTCAAGTTGGGAGAAGGGTAGTGAATACTGCAGAAGACAGCATCAGAATACTAGAAGACCTTGAAAGATACTGTGTCTAGGCAGAAAAAGGAAATGCATTATAGGATAGGTGACGCCTGGCTTGAAAGCAGTACATGTGATAAGCATCTAGGACAGCCATATCAGAATTCCCAATCTAGCAGATGTTAGTTTTCAAGATATCAGTGTAGCTGGGGTTAATATGTTTTCTTCTGTTCTTGTTGAGTCTGTTTCACAAGCACCGTTGTTTGGTGATAGGCTATCACCTTTTTATGATATGTGGGCTCATATCACCACTGATAAGTGGGTGTTATCCATAGTAGCCCAGGGTTATTTTATTGAGTTTTTAGACCTTCCAAGGGTGGGTCATATTCGTTATACACCATTCTCCCAACCGTTATGGGAGGAAGTTCAAATGTTACTAAGTAAAGGTGCTATCTCTCCCCTAGCCGATGATGTTTTGTCACGGTGTTTTTTCTCTCGTTACTTCCTTATCAAGAAACGCAGTGGTGGCTTGCGGCCTATCTTGGATCTGAGGGCTTTAAATAAACATGTTATACCAAAAAGGTTTCGTATGGTTACTCTCAATTCCATTGGATAAGTTGCCCATGGCTTCTGGGAGTTGGAGGCCCAAACATCTGGATGGTCACAGTTTGATACCCTGATCTAGAGGGTCTTAGTAGTTCATAAGCTAGACATGACTCAACAATATGATGTAAAATGAAAAAAAAAATGCATTTCTAGGTTACATCAACAGAATCTTAGTGTCTAGATCAAGTACCATTTTAGTGCCACACTATTCTGCTTTGGTTAGATGTTATCTGGAATATTATCTCTATTTCTGTGCACCACAATTCAAAAAGGATATTGACAAACAGTAATATCTCTAGAGACAGGTGGAAAGGGCTGACTAAAATGTTCAAAGGTGTGGAAACTAAGCCTTATGATGAACAATTTAGGGGACCAGTTATGTTTAACCTGGAGAAGAGAAAACTGAGAAGTGACATGATAGCCAACTTTAAATAGCTGAATGGATGTTTTATAGGAATGTTATATAGGAGTGAGCGTGTTTTCTCTGTTCCAGAATTAAAACACAAACCAGTTATTATTTTGCTTGCTCTAGTACTGTCACATTTTAATACTGGAATTAACCTCAACAACAGTTGCTAGTATATGTGTGTGTGTTATATCTAATAAAAATATGTACAATTTCAGTAAAGGAATTAGTACAAGAAAACAAGCACCTTGAGCAAGGCATGAAAGAAATTCTTCAAGCTATCAAAGACATGCAGAAAGAGCCAGGTACAAAGGGAGGAGAAACAGCTCTAATGATTCCCAGTCTGGAACGATTGGTAAATGTAAGTTTGCTTTTACTAAAAAAAAACCCTTTTTTGCTAATGTATTTCATACTGAAGAGTTTTAGTATTCCATGAAAAGGGCAAAGGATGATTCACTATAGCTATATCTGCAATGTTTCTTGCAGATATAGCTATAGTGAATATTTTTGAAAGAGGTGATTTTAATACCAAGCCAACCACCAATGCCACTCTTGTCACAATCATACTTCCTACCTAAATACTATAGTTCTTGTCTCCAACTAGGAGGCAAGTATATTTGAAATTGAGTTAGAGTGGGAAGTATTTCCCCTTTTCTCGTCCAGAACCAGCCTTTTGTCTGCCTTAAAAAATAATATGGGCATGATAAGCTTGTGGCTGAAATTATTGTATCGTCATATAATTCTTACTATGACATTAGGAAATGAATTAATCTCTTATTATCTAAACTTCCTGGTAGAGATAATGTGTTCAGTGTGTCTTGAATTGATGAAAGATTATTTTGTGTTGCAAGAGTGGAGAGTCTAATTAACACTTTCTTGATTGGTTAGTGCTGATTCATATTTTAAAAACAAGTTTTCTATTTTTTTCCCTCCCATCTGTGTGTTTGTCTATATATACAATATGTGTATGTATATGTGTGTGTGTATATATGTGTGTGTGTGTATACATGCATTTTTTTAAAAAAAATATGTGCACTGACCACAATAAACAGCCTACAACAGTCATACTTCTGCAATACTACAGCCAGTTCTCCTGAGCATGCAAATTATTCATTTTACTCCCATGGATGCTACTTTACAAAAAAAATCTATACAACTATTTTGTGTCAATTGAATTTGTAGAATATTCCATGATGAGAGTAATAGATAAATCTGAGTAATTTGCATATTTGTTTAGTTTTCAGGCTTTGTGAAAGGTTTTCTTTTTTCTTCTCCCTTCCTAATAAATGACAGGCAATTGAATTGAAGAATGCAGAGGGAACCTTTGATCCCAATTTTCATTTGAAGACTCAAGTTGATCAACTTACTGGACGAAATGAAGAATTAAGAAAAGAACTGCAAGAAGCTCGGAAAGAAGCTGTGAATTTTTCTAATCAGTTGGCCAAAGCAAATGCAAAGGTTTGTGGACTAATTTGATTTTTCAAATCTTACACGGGCATCTGTTCATGGTTCTCTGTGCATTTGGTACTTGAATTGCAAGCTATGATCAATTCAGTTCTACATGGAAAACTAAACTGTTGGAAAGTATTTCTCATATGTGAGGACAGCATCATTGGATTCCACTTGTACACTATGACCCCAATAATGATGTTGTAAACACAACCCCCAAACATCTATTCCTCTTATCTGCAAGCCTCTTTTAACATTGTGAAGCTTCCAAGGTAGCCAGCTTTGATTATTGAATGATCTGAAACCTTTCTGTATTATGATCATAAAGTTTTTCAATAGATTCAGTTATATGGGTTCAGTAACATTTGGAAAAAGTATCAGTGATAAAATGTTTTTCTGTTCCCTTATGTTTTTATTCTTCAGATTGCCAATCAAGAAAAAGAGATTGAGTTGCTGCGACAATCAGATGGTACCAATATATCATTCAAAGCAATAAATCTTCCTGAGGGAATGGCTCCTTCTAGTATGAACATAATTAATTCACAGAATGAATATTTAATACACCTTTTGCAGGTACTTGATTTTAATCTGCGTAGTAAAGTATCTGAATATGACTGGCTCTGATAACACTATTCCTGGATAAAGGATGACTGTTAAAAACTATACTATATTTTAATTGGAAGGAAAAGATTCTATGCATATTATTCCTTATTCATAGCAGTTCAGTGCCTGTTGAATAATATAATTTCTGAAATGTAATTGCAAATAGCAAATGTTTTAAGATCCTGTCATATAAAGAATTTGAAGAAAAAAGGATATTACACTTTATATATAAGTTTGTTGAGTACATTCATCTGTGTAAAAGATTATGATACTTCCATTTACATATGTGAATGTAAATGGAATCAAGTATGTGACACTTCCATTTACATCTGTGATTCCCAACCTGTCGTCCATGGACCACTAGTGGTGCCCAAGAACTAAAAATGGTCTGCAACATCACCGTTACTACGAGAGCGACTGGTCTCGCAAAACCACTGGTGAGCTATGAAACCTAAAATAAGGTCTGCAGTTTTAGGTTATTAAATATGATTTTCTGTGGGTGAGCAGATGGTGACTACTGGATGGCATATGTTCTGTATCAGAAACTAGAGCTGATGTTCTCTATCCAATGCAGTTTTCTGAATCAGCACCCCAAATAACCAAACTGAATCTAAAGTTGACCAAAAACTGATTCCTAACCCTTTTGGTACTAATTTTGGAGAGTAGTTCCTGGTGAAAAAAAGGGTTGGGAATCACTGATTTACATATTTAAAGAAATGAGAAAACCTGGAATTTTAAAAAGGCACACTTTGTTTTGTACAGTTAAATTTCAAACTGAAGTATCTCCTATATTCAATTTGACTTTTATCATTAGGATCTGGAAAATAAAGAACAACTACTCAAAAAATTAGAAGGAGCAGTTGAAGAATACAAAAGAAAGTTTGCAGTTATCCGCCATCAGCAAGGTTTGCTGTATAAAGAATATCAAAGGTAAAATTATTGTTTCTAAGGATCTTTTGATTCTTTAAGAGGATATGTAGGATAAAAAGAAGACTTTTTAAGAATCTTACTTATAAGTGTGTTCTGTTGCAGTTTGAGTTTGAGGAAAGACAGTGTTTTCCCCTCTGTATTTGGACTCTACCTTTCACTTGTAGAGTTTTGGGCTATCTGGGACTGTCTGTCTTTCTGACCCATCTTTCCTTAAAAGAAATAGTTCAATTAACTTTTATCATATAATAACATTTCAGATTAGTACTAGAAACTCAGTTTAAATTAGTATAAGAATGAGAAAAAGTATTCAGTTAAAGTCTGAAAGAGCAATTAAAATACCATTACAGCCCTAATTAATTAAGATATTAAAATTAGTTAAATTAAAACATGGTTTCCTACTATCTAAAAGAATTAACTCTTTGCCATTGAAGAGCGTGTTAGCCAAGTCTTCCCCAACAGCTAGGCACAGCTGCTGAGAGGATCTTTTCCTTGGTTGAGCAAGACAGACATTCAGGATAGATGGGCTTTAACAAGTGGAAGCCTAGTTCAGAGGAGGAGTCATTCAGCTAACTCTGTGTCAGAAGTACTTTAACACCCCTGTATCCTGTAATCTGCAGATACAGGATTGGGCCAGCAGTTTTAGTGGTTGAACATTATACAATGACTACAGAGAGCAAGGTTCAAATCCCTGCTCAGTTCTAGTATCTTTAGGCAAGTCATAATCTCTAAGCCTGAGAGAAGTAAAATGACAACCCCCCTGAACAAATTTTGCCAAGAGAATCCCATGAGAAGTTAAAGTTAGGGTCACCATCAATCAGAACTGTGTCTTATGGTGACCTTTAAGTGAACTGTGGAATGCCCTGTCTGAAGAAATCCAACAGCTAAATGAGCTGTCAAACTTTTAAACAAAAATTAAAGACCTGTCTTCCAGCAGGCCTGCCCAATCAATTTTAAACTATGAATTTTAAATTTAAATGTTATTAGTATTGGTGTATTAATTTTTTAATCTATATTTTTCATATAGATTTTATGGTCTTTCATTATATCTATCTATTTTAACAATTTTGTACCCTACTCTGAGCCACAAGGAGAGGTAGGCAACAAATAAAATATATCATCATCATCATCATTATCAACAACACAATACCCTGCAGGAGTGAGTTTCATTGGCTCAGAACCACAATCAATCAATCCCCCCCCCCCCCCAGTTACTGTTGCCCATCATGTCTTCTGGCTCATGGAACTGAAAGAGAATTACAGGTCTCTGCCTTCTACATGTTGGTGATGCTGCAAGCAGTGCCTCAGAATGATATTACTCAGCATTTTCATGTCTGAAAAATATGACTTTAGATCCCAGCTCTAAGCTTAAACACTTTTATACTCAAAGTAGATGTTCATAGCTACCAGGTAAAATAGTGCAGTTCTTTCTGTCAAGCACATGCAGTGCATCAAGTACTTGTTTTTCTTCAGCAGGTTTATATGAAGAATATGTGAAAGCTAGTGTCTGCTGCATTCTCTTATATTCTAATACATATTTAAAGCTAAGTAGTAAAGAGCATGTATGTTTCTGTTCCTTGAAGAAAAAAAACCAAAGAAATGTTATTGGTTCTAAAGATCACCCAATTTCTTTGGGTTTAGTAATAGCAGGTAATGCACATATTCTAATATTCTCTGACAAAACTGCAAGTTCTTTATTACACAAACTCGTATTGCCATGCATTGCCACCCTACTGCACACAAGGTTATGTATTTCTTGGTCTGCAGTTTCACGTATCCAACTGGCATACTATGTCATGGTTATTACAATAATGAGTTTTTCATATTATTCAGAAATGTATATTTAATATTGTTGTGTTTTTGAAACTATTTTTCTAGTGAGAGAGAACATTGGCAAACTGTTGATGAAAAAATACAAGAAGAAAAGAGAAAGTTAGAGTATCAAAAAGAGCAAGATGATATAAAACTAAAGGAATATTATGTAAGTACAAGCCCCTGCCCTGCCCCCCCCAAGTCTGAAGTCTGAACATGCCCACTTTTTCCAGCTACTGCTTGTTGATTTCTATGATTTTTTTTATTTTTCAGGTTTTAATTGTTTTAATTATGTTGTTTATCTGTTATAGGTTTTTAATTGCATTTACTTTGTAATTTTACCTATCTTGGGCTTGGTCCCCATGTAAGCTGCCCCGAGTTCCTTAGGGGAGACGGTGGCGGGATAGAAGAATAAAGTTGTTGTTGTTGTTGTTGTTGTTGTTGTTGTTGTTGTTATTAAACACAGAGTCAGAAAGTAAAGATGCTCCACATTCTGAAATCTCAATTTTAGAATGCTTAGGTGAATATCTCGATGGCACCATGTTGCCTACTCTTGTTTTAAGCAGAATAATAGTTTTTCGTGTTTGGACATGGTGAAAGCCTCCACCATTTACCGCATTCTGTGGGGTCCAAAAGCAAACAGGAGAGAAGACTACATGAGTCCCTGGCTTGTTCATTGTTAAATTATATATGAGTGAAGACTTGTGGTTTTTCTAAAAAAAAAACATTCTTCTTGTTCAAAATGTCTTTTCCATTTCTTCTTTGTTGCAGTCAGCTCACTGCCTAAAAAGCTGGTTTGGAGAGTTGTGAACTATTTAAGAATGATGTGATATGTGTCAACTATTTCAGGAGGTTGAACAACCCTTTTATTTGCAATTAGTTTTCCTTTTCTGACATTCTGGAGACATGTTTCTCCCCAGACATTCCTCCTTCCCACTTCAGTCTCTCATATCTGTACACATCTCATGCTGTTCTGCAGGAACACTCAACTATCAGGCCAATTTTTCAGAGAGTTCTTGATTCTGAGAAAAGTTGGGAAAGGTGTTGATACGAGTTGCCTCTGTGATTATACCTGAATTCAAGCCAGTGCATGTGAATAGAGTACATACTAAGAGTTGCATCACAGTATCAGTAACTTTTGAAAACTTTTTATAGAATTTGCTAGATGTGCTTGAAAAGGATAGTGATGACTCAAAACAACAGTTTGCGGACTACAGTAGAAAAATGACTGTTCTACGAGTAAATGAACGATCATTGATGAGGCAGTACACAACCTTGCTTGAAATGGAAAAGCATCTTCGGAAAGAGAATGAGAAGATGAGGTCTGAGTTAACATCAGTGGAAGCAGCAGTTCAAGAAAAGATTGGATGTTTACAAAGATTCAAGGTGTGTTTGGAATTTGTAATAATTGTAGTTCTACTAGTTCTATTTATACATAGATCATAGGATTTTGTGCTGGTTATCCAGCAAATACCAAGTGCTGTAGACAACATTATTGGCAAAGAAACCTCTGAATGGCCTTTGCCTAAGAATTTATTTATTATTTATTTATTATTTATTTACTTTGCTTATATACCGCTGTTCTCAGCCCGAAGGCGACTCACAGTGGTTTACACACAGTAAAAACAGCAATAATTCAATGCACATATAACAATTGACCACTTAACACATTATCCAATTAATAAACAACAAGCAATTACACTAACAATTATTACAATAACCAGCCCAATCGTCTCATCATCCAAGCGTAGTCCAGGTTCGTCGTCCATTGTTCCATTGCTATGTTCAATTACCAATGTTGCACTAGATTACTCGAACGCCTGCACAAACATCCAGGTCTTCAACTTTTTTCAGAATGCCATGAGAGATGGTGCCTAATGTCCGCAGGAAGGGCGTTCCACAGCCGAGGGGCCACCACCGAGAAGGCCCTATCTCTCGTCCCCGCCAGCCGTGCTTGAGAAGCCGGCGGGATCGAGAGCAGGGCCTCCCCGGAAGATCTCAAAGTCCTGGTGGGTTCATAGGCCGAGATGCAGTCAGATAGGTATCTTGGGCCAGAACCGTTTAGGGCTTTATAGGCCAGCGCCAGCACCTTGAATTGAGCTCGGTAGCAGATCGGCAGCCAATGGAGCTGGCGCAACAGGGGAGTTGTGTGCTTCCTGCGCACAGATTGGCATGCTCTGTCCCCCTGAAGTTGAACATCTAGAAATGGAAATGCTATGCTTCTAAGCCTGAGAAAAGAAAACCATATTATATTCATAGAGTCACCATAAGTTGATGAGTGACTTGAAAACAGACATATACACTAACATCCAGCAGTAAGAAAATGTATTTCCTTGTTGTAGTGATCATACTTTTTATCTCTTTCTGGAAAAGGAAAAGGAAGGTGCTTTTCCTCATAGTTGGAAGGGAGTTATCCTGGTTCCGCCAACTTGACAATTCCAGCAACTGTTTTGACCCTGTTTAGCATTTAGAGGAGTTAGTGCAATGCCCTTATTATGCTGTTCTTTTGCAGAAGGTTGGTTTAAACAAATTATTTGGATCCCTAGTCTGTGTTCCTTGCTTATTTTTTTTTGACTGAACACAGGAAAGAAAGAATGGATCTTGGATTTTGCCTGGACACAAGCCACTTAAACCTTGTAGTGTTTCAAATAAAGTTAATCCTTTATTGCATTTTTATTGCAGAATCCAGACTATAATTTCATTACTTCAGTGCATACTACAGCGGCTATGCATTTGAATGTATTTTATTTATTTATTTATTTATTTATTTAAAACATTTATATTTCATCTTTCTCACCCTGAAGGGGACTCAGGGCAGAGTGCAACATATATACAGCAAACATTCAGTGCCAGAACATACAATAAACTATAAACATACATAAACATTTAAACCAGTCATTTCCACTTTTAAAATCAATTGTTTAAGCTATCTCAAATCAGCAGAGTAAAATTCTTATTGCTACCTATTGTATTTTGGTATTTAGACTTTTGGAATTAACCCCCTTTCCTGCCCTTTTTTGTTTAGGAAATGGCAACTTTCAAAATAGCAGCATTACAAAAAGCATTGGATGACAGTGTACCTTTGCATGACCTAGAAGTGGCAAATAAACAATATAATGAACTAACTGCTAAATATAGAGATATGCTACAAAAGGATAACTTGCTTGTTCAAAGAACAACTAATCTGGAATGTTTGGAGGTAATATTACACATTTTGTGTTTCTTTGATAAAATTTCAGATTATTTTCCTGAATTACTCTATTTAAATTTCCAAATTGGCAATGCAACTCCATCTGGAGGTTCAGCTTCCTAGTATTATAGGCAGTACAGTGATATCTTGACTTACGAGATACAAGTTGTTGCTCAGCCTATTTCTCACTTTGAGATACGAACAGCGATCGGTCTTTCAAGCCGCGCATCCTGCGGCGGTGGAGACTCTGTGCCCTGCTTAAGTTGGTGGGTACTCTTGGGTTAGCACTACCTCTCATGAGACTTGGGATAGCGGATTGAGAAGAACCGCTCCAAGCCCCGTGGGGTCGCCTCCTATGCCAGGCACAGCAGGTAGCATTGCTGGCGAGGCCTCCTATAGGGGAGAAGGGGAAAACTAAAATTGTTCATTTTATGATAATTTGTTCTGTGGCAGAGCTCTTAAAGGGGGGGAAATTGCATTAGTTTTTGGGAGGCTAGAATAGATTAATTGAATTTAATGCATTTCAATGTAAAAATTCTTTGTCATATGTTTAATCATGCTTTGTGAGAATCACTGAAATGCATGAAAGGTAAATTTAAATTATTTTAAAATGTATTTTCATTTCTTTGTTTATAGCATGAGAATATGTCCATGAAAGAACAAATGGAATCTTTAAATAAGCAACTGGAAATTACAAAAGAGAAACTTCATACAATTGAACAGGCTTGGGAACAAACAGTAAAACTGGGTAAAAATAATTGTGCAATTCTTTTTTCTGATAATGGGGAGATATTTGTTCAACTATTTAAATTTGATCTGATCTAAATCTCAAGACTTTTTATCTGTTTTCTTTCCTTCATATTTTTAACAAGGCTACGTACTTTCACATGATGTTCAGAATGTAGTTTGAATCTTAAATGGTGTTCAAATACAATCCATCCTCCACATTTGTTGTGGTTAAAGGTGCAAGACTTCTGTGGAAGTGGAAAAATCATGAATCAAAAAAGGTTTTTTTACCTGACAGAACAACTCTCTAGGAATCCAGGTGTTCCACTGCTCTGGAGGACCTACAAATGGATAGTATTTTAAGTATTTTGGAAAAATTTAATAAATTTGCTTCTTTACTAAACAGCATAGATTTTATAATCTGAATAGATTTATAATAAAATGGTACATTATGTTGTCATAGGAGGAGACAGCGCTACAGACAAGGCCACAAAAGCCATAACCAACACTGAGATCGTTTCTATTTCCAAAAAAATTACCATGCTGGAAATGAAAGAGCTAAATGAAAGGCAAAGGGCAGAGCACTCACAGCGAATGTATGAACACATACGGAACACAATGAAGCAAGTAGAGGAACGTAATTTTGAACTGGAAACCAAATTTGCTGAGGTTAGCTACTAATCAGATAATGCTTTGTGTCTTATGTTCCCTTTAATTGGTATCCATTAGTGGAATAGGATTCTTATATAATCCAGTTTTAAAAGAGAATGCTGAGAAAAACAGAGTATGTAAAATGCTACACTTCTAATTCTATAAGGCTGTGCTGTTTTTGTACAACTCCTTGGGAATAAGCCCCATTTAATTGAATGTAACTTGCAACAGGACTCTGTTCTCACTGAGTCTTTTTTCCTCTAGGGCCCAGTCTTTATGTGCTGCAAGTTGCTAGTACGATATCCCCTACCTCTGGCAATCCCCATCCATATTGTCATTTTGGGCCTGGAAGACTGTGCCATTTCTATTCCGTGAAAAAAAACTGTTTCATTTCCAGTGATCTCTTTCTTTATATTTGTACCTGTTCATAGTACATAATGTAGGAGCATGGAAAGTGAGACCCCCTAACTGCACCAAACCCATGTTTAGGTGTAATTTTAAAAAGACAGTTTTTCATCCACAAACAATAATGGTTTTAGTAGCAAAATATGAGTTTTTCACCAGAACCTAGCCACCCCAATTCCTTTCCCCTATATTTTTCACAAATTAGTTGAAAATTAGTTGAAAATTAAAGAGCAGCTGTCCTAGGGAAAGGGGTGTTTTGGCAGTGAAAAACTACTCCTCTCAGTAGTTGTCCAACTTTAATTTAGAAACTTATTTCTTTAATTAAAATTATGAGCTGACTTTCTCAATGTTAACTCTTGTTTTATGTCTTCCGAGAGTTGCTTGTTGCGATACTTGTTTTTGTGGTTATAATTAACAAAATAGAAAATAAAAAAAATTAAACTTTTATTTATATCCTGTCCCATCTCCCAAAGGGACCTGGGGTGGCTCACAACATAAGTAATGCAATGAAATACTATTCAATAAACTACATAAGGTAGGATAAACAATTAATAACATAGTGTCGAAGGCTTTCATTGCTGGAATCACTTGGTTGCTGTGAGCTTTCTGGGCTGTATGGCCATGTTCCAGAAGCATTCTCTCCTGATGTTTCACCTGGATCTATGGCAGGCATCCTCAGAGGTTGTGATGTCTGTTGGAAACTAGGCAAGTGGGGTTTATATATCTGTGGGCCTCACATATATATAAACAGACCTCACAACCTCTGGGGATGACTGCCATAGATGCAGGTGAAACATCAGGAGAGAATGCTTCTGGAATAGCCCAGAAAACTCGCAGCAACCCAATTAATAACATAACCAATCAATATAAGACAACAAGATAAAATACACAGTATAATGGAAACAACAACAACAACAGCAGCAGTAGCAACAACAACAACAACAACAATATGAAGGCTGCATGTGAACTGAAATTGCTTGGTAGTACCTGTCAGTAAAAATGAGCACAGAAAAAGTTAATATCCCTGCTAGCCGCATTTCAAGGAAAAGACAACAATGCTTTCACTACATGATCATTCGTGTACTGAAATCGCTTTCATTGCATTGACATTTTTCAAATATATTGGATCAAATTCACTGTATCCTAGCTTACAAAGATCAACCTTGAGGCACAGAAAGTGGAACAGTCCTTGCGAGATGAACTGTCAAGCAGTGTGAGTAAAGCAGTCAGTGAAGCAGACAGATGCCGTATAATGGATTTGGAGAAAAATGAAACAGAACTCAAGATTGAAGTCTCAAAGTAAGTTTTAAAGTGTTGAGTCCCACTGGATAAGTCCTCAAATGAGGCTTTCTGCCTTTTCCCCACTTCCCCAGTTTACTCTTGTTTTAATCTATTTATTGCCAAGGTTAAGGGAGCTTTCTGATATTGCCAAGATGCAAGTTGCTGCTTTGGAGAATCGCCAGCAATCCAGAGAGAAAGAAGTAGAATCACTTAGAATGCAGGTTTTGGACTATCAGGTATGGAGCCAAATGATTTCACTGAAAAGGTTAGAAGCCCACTCCCTTACAGGTGCATTAGAACACAACTGACAGTGTATTTTTTGCTTTATATTGTTTGGCATTTAGGCACAATCAGATGAAAAAGCTCTTATTGCAAAATTGCATCAGCATGTTGTTGCCCTCCAGATTAGTGAGGCTGCTGCAGTGTCCAAGCTAGAGGCTGCCATATCCAAATTTCAGAAGATGGAGATTGCCAATATGCGCCTGGAACAGAAATTGGATGACAAGGAACAAGCCTTATATTATGCACGGCTTGAAGGAAGAAACAGAGCCAAGCACCTTCGCCAGACTGTGCAGTCATTGCGGAGACAATTTAGTGGTGCTTTGCCCCTGGCCCAGCAGGAGAAGTTCTCCAAGACTATGATTCAGCTTCAGAATGACAAATTGAAAATGTTCGATGATATCCAGCATTCTCAGCAAGAACGTCGAAATGCAGAGACTAGAACTCTGGAGCTGGAACGGAAATTAAAAGGATTAGAAGAACTAATCGCTACATTAAAAGATACAAGAGGAGCACAAAAGGTGTGAGATACTAACAACTTCATTGATGTACAGCTTTGAGCACTGTTTAGTCCTGCATAGCCCTTATATTAAGCTAAGTTTGCTGTTTGCGTTGGTTTGTTAATGTTCTTGTAATCTGAGTGGCATAGGCGATTTCTGACTTGGAATCCAAACTAGCTTAGCTGATCTTTGGCCTGTAATATTAACATTCTACAGTTCAGAGATGCTATAATGCACTCATCACAAACACTCAACCTTGGAGGAAAACAACACTGGAGATTTGTTTAACACTATTATTTTAGGTCAGTATGAATTGTGAGAATAAAGTTGATTTTTTTTTCCCGTGTCAGGAGCGACTTGAGAAACAGCAAATCGCTTCTGGTGCGAGAGAATTGCCCAGGAGATGCCCAGATGTTTTATCATCTTATAGGAAGCTTCTCTCATGTTCTTGCATGAGAAGCTGGAGCTGTCAGACAGGAGTTCACCTCGCTCCCCAGATTCAAACCACCGATCTTTCGGTCAGCAGTCCTGCTGTCACAAGGATTTAGCCCATTACGCCATTGGGAGCTCCAGTAAAGTTGATAACACCTCGAGATAGTTGAATTTCCTTGTCATTAACTCATCCCCCAATGGGCAACTGGAATCTGCCTTTTTATCTGATAATCAAGTTTTCTTCTACCAAGGTTCTTCATATAAGACCCAGTTAATCTCTTTAAGTCACACACTTTTTTACATACATGGCATGTTTTTGTGCTTGACCGCTTTGGTGAAATTAGTTTATTTTTACCTATAAATTACTGCGGATATTTAAGTCATGGTTTATTGACAGGTCATTGAGTGGCATATGAAAATTGAAGAACTTCGTCTTCAAGAACTCAAACTGAACCGGGAACTAGCCACGAAAAAGGAAGAGATCAAATATTTGAACAATATTCTTTCTGAATACGAGCGCACCATCAATAACCTGGAAGAAGAAATTGTACAGCAGAACAAGGTACAAAAAAGCAGATTATGTTGCACTACCAGGTTTAAAGTTTTTTAAATGTAATTTTAGAAATAGTTCAGGTCATACAACATTTTTAATGGTAAGATTAAAGTGCTATCACCTGTGATTTATTTATTACTAGCTTGGGGACCCGGCGTTGCCCGGGTTATTAGAGAAAGTGGGTAATGGCGGTTCTGTATGCAAGTTTGGTCTTTATTGGTCTTTGGATAATGGCAGCATTATTTTCAGGAAGTGAGTGAAGGTACTTGAAGTCCCATCATCCATGGGCCATCCTCCTACAAACAGCAGCAGATATAGAGTGGGTCATGGGGGATCTGTGTGCCAAGTTTGGTCTTTATCAGTCATTAGATGAGGGTGGCAGTGGTGTCAGTAAGTGAGTGAAGGTACTGCAAGTCCCATCATCCAAAGTCCATCCCCTTTCAAACTGCAACAGGATGTAGAGTGGATCATGGGGGCTCTGTGTGCCAAGTGTGGTCTTGATTGGTCATTAGAAGAGGGTTGCAGCAATCTTGAAAGGGAGTGGAGGTACTTGAAGTCCCATCATCCATGGTCTGTCCTCCTCCAAACTGCAGCAGGATGTAGAGTGGGTCATTGGAGCTCCATGTGGCCAAGTTTAGTCTTGATTAGTCATTGGCGAGGGTCTCAGTGGTCTCAGGAAGTGAGCAAAGGTACTGCAAGTCCCATCATCCATCTCCAAAGTTTTCCAAATAACACCAGGACGTAAAGTGGGTCATGAGAGGTCTATGTGCCAAGTTTGGTGTTGATCCGTCATTGGATGAGGTTTGCAGAGGTCTCAGAATGTGAGTGAAGGTACTGGAAGTTCCATCATCCATGGTCCACCCTTCTCCAAAACTGCAGCAGGATGTAGAGTGGGTCATGGGGGCTCTGTGTGGCAACTTTGGTCTTGATTGGTCATTAGATTAGTTTTTCAGCAGTCTTGGGTAGTGGAGGTACTTGAAGTCCCATCATCCATGGTCTGTTGTCCTCCAAACTGCTCCAGGATGTAGAGTGGGTCATTGAAGCTCCATGTGCCAAGTTTAGTCTTGATGAGTCATTGGCGAGGGTCTCAGTGGTCTCAGGAAGTGAGTGAAGTGACTGCAAGTCCCATCATCCAAGTCCATAAGGTGGGTCATGAGAGGTCTATGTGCCAAGTTTGGTCCTGATCAGTCATTGGATGAGGTTAACAGTAGTCTCAGAATGTGAGTGATGGTACTGCAAGTCCCATCATCCATGGTTCATCCTCCTCCAAACTGCAGTAGGATGTAGAGTGGGTCATGGGGGCTCTGTGTGCCAAGTTTGGTCTGTATTGGTAATTTTCTGACTCAGCCCCCTCTGGCCCTTTCCTTTCCTCTCTTTGTCATCTCGGAATCTTGGAATTGAGGCTGGCCAATCAGAGACCATATGCAAATTTCCTTCTCATGTCCCCGTTTCTGTCATGAACCCTTTTCTCCACCAGGGGCTCCTGTGAAGCTGGCCAATCAGAGACCATATGCAAATAGCTCCACAGCGGCAGCCAATCAGAATCTTGGAACTTTCAGGCTAGCCAATCGGAAAGCTGCCACAAACACGTCCGCCCTCCACACTTCTGCCCTTCCACTACAAACACTCTCTTTTATTATATATATAGATTGGTCTCAAGTGCTTTTATGTGAAATTTTTGTTTAATTTGTCCAATTTTTTAGTTTCATGAGGAACGACAGATGGCTTGGGATCAAAGAGAAGTAGAATTAGAACGTCAGCTAGACATGCATGACCGTCAGCAAAGAGACTTATTAAGTACAGCTCACAAGGTACTTATGTCTGTCTAGTCTGAATTGGATTAGTCTTTGTACTCATAGTAGCAATCACAAAGAGAAACGGCCTTTCTGTTGTTGTTGTTTTCCCCTTTGCAGTTGGATGAAACTACAGGGTCAGTTCCAGATCCTAGTTTGTCACTTCCACATCAGCTTCAGCAAGCTGTCAGAAAAAATAGAGAACATGTTCGAACAATCGTAGAAATGCAGGCCACCTGCAAATCCTTAGAAGAGGTAATTGAATTGCTCATAATCTTTAGAGATTCTGGATAATATTTTAAGATGACAAAGAGTATTTCATTAGCTACTGTGTTTGGATATCTATGTATATTAACATACAAATTTTAACATATTTCTATCTTCTGTAAAACCTACCTTTCTAGTATGATATCCATGAAGATTTGAGTGATTGTATGACTGAAACTATTTAACAAACCTATTTCTCAAGTTTTCCTAAGTGAAGTGGTTTACACATGGAAGCAGAAGATTTCGCTTGTGAAATGTCTGTGGTTTGTAGTTAGATTGATTCAAGCACTTGTATAAGCACTGTGTTCAATTTTAACCAGTTACATCGTTAAGTCAGGCTTAACTCTCTCGTGAATTTACTTTCATCTAAGGTGGTTTGTGGTTTGATTTAAAGTGGTTTCATCCATTTATTTGTCCATAGTATTCCAGTTTTATTTTTTCATTTATAAACGGATGTTGCTAATCCATTAGAGTTATGATTACTGTCAGGTTTTCCAGCAATCCCTCTGCTATGACTGCCAAATGGAATAATCTTCACTAATTCTTCCATTGCTGCCAAATGGGAGGGCTTTACTTACCCCACTTCTGCCACCAATGTGTGGACTTCTTCATGTCCACCTTTTTTGGCCAACAGTTGTGAGAATATCCACGATGCCCTTGTTGTTACTATTAATTTTGTCTCACCACCCTGCTGCAGATGTTGTTTGTTATTTAGGGCAATGATTCCTAAAATTGCATTGGAGAGACCACATCAGCTCTAGTTTTTGATACAGCATATGCTGTCCAGTAGTCACAATCTGCTCGCCTACAGAAAACCATATTTAATCATCTAGAGCTTCGGGCCTTATTTAAGGTCTTGTAGCCCACCAGTGGGCCACGACCCCCAGGATGGGAACCATTGGGTTATAGAATGTGAATGTTTAAATGTAATATGTTTGATAAGTGACTGGTGCAGTTGTAGATTTTAAAAAAAACTAACACAAAATAAAAATGTATTGATACTTTTCATTAAAATATATTTTTATTATAGAAGTTGAAAGAAAAAGAAGCTGCTTTGTGGAAAGCAGAGCAAAATATCTTGTCAAGAGACAAGGTAATAAATGAGCTACGACTTCGATTACCAGCATCATTGGAGAGAGAGAAGATAATAGCAGAGCTTGACCAAAAAGCTGATGAGTCTGCCACCCATCCTCATGGTCTGAAAATTGCACATCAGACTATTGCAAATATGCAAGCAAGATTAAATCAGAAAGAGGAAGTGCTGAAAAAATACCAACATCTTTTAGCCAAAGCAAGAGAGGTATTTAAGTGCATATAAAAGTCAAATTTTATTATGAAGCACTCTTGAAATTTTGAGTTGAAGGCAGAAACAGTTAATATTTACCTGGAACTTTTGGAATTGACAGTGGTGTTCATAGCTAGGCAATGTTTACTTAAGAGATGTCATGTTTCTATGTGGGCAGTCACTCTGATTTTAGTGGTCATGCCTGCAACATTTCAAGTGCTACGCATGAAAAAACATCTCAGACTGGATAAAGAAGTAGGGGATAGTGAAGGGAGGCAGGAAAATATATAAGGAAGTCCCATGTTGAACTGCAGATTCAAAAATGGATCCCGGAATTCATTTTTGGAATATTTGAAAACTGAAACCTTCATTGATAAGAACAGTTTTCAGTCTTTTCTATATTTTGCACAATTATTCTGTTTCCTTTGGGACAGAATGCAGTGACATCTTGGTTCAAAATGTTATTATCACTGAAATAACTCTAAAATAGAATGATCCCAGCTATCTATGTATTTGTTAGCAAGAGAACAGAACTTGAATTGTCTGCTATTTGATTCTTTCTAGTTTAAATCTAAAAAGCAAATGACTACATATTCAGTGGAACTTTTCAGGCAAGTTTAAAAAATAGTTATGTTCCTTTTCACTGAGCTGCAGTGTTAAGAAATGTATGTTGTATGCTATTTAGGAACAAGAGGAAATTGCAAAAAAACATGAAGAAGACCTCAGACTACTACATCAAAAGTTAGATTTACATACTGATAATTCTTTTCATAAATTTAAACAGACTGCATTGGTAAGTATGCATCCTTTTTTCTTTTTTTCTTTTTTTTTGTAAGTGATTATTTGGGACTTAAGATAAATGTTTTTATACTGTAGCATTTTTTGCTGTTCGTATTTGTTGTGAACCGCTGTGAGTCGCCTTCGGGCTGAGAACAGCGATATATAAGTAAGGCAAATAAATAAATAAATAAATAAATAAATAATGTGCTTGAGTACTTATTGTTATTTTTATGGACTCTCACAACAGAAATGTAAAAAGGGCAATTTCCCTGGCCCTCTTGTAGCCTTTGTATGGTCTTTTGACCTCCTATGGAGAGTTCCCAGTGCTTCTGGAGCAGATTTTCCAAGCAAAATGAGGGATGCAGGGCAGAAGGAAAGTCTTTTTACAACAGCAGACCTTTTGAATTGATGGTTGATTGAAGTTGTTGCTTTGTGTTGCTATGGTGTGGATCCAGGAAATGGCACGTGGAACTCTTCTTGGTAAACTACATCTTATAACTCTCCAGCCTACCCAAAGCTGACTTTTAGAAATTGGTCATTTGCTTGTTTTTATGTGGGGTGCGATCCCTTGGATGTTGAGTATGGAAGGCAGGAATGCATTTGGTGGAGAGTCTGAAATAGAGGACAGAGATGTCCCTTGCATGAGCAGAACTAACTTAACTAGGATCACTTTGGACCACACCCATTAAATGTAATCGCATTTTCATGACTTGCATTGCTTTTCTCATAATGATTTGGATACACATTCTTGCAACTCCAAGTGTTGTTGGAGGAAACTGATTATCTGGATCTGGTGCAGTCTGACTTTAGGCCAGGACATGGAACTGAAATAGCCTTGGTTGCCTTAATGGATGATCTACATAGGGAACTGGAATGGAGGAGTGTGTCCCTGTTGGTTCTCTTGGACCTCTCAGCGGCCTTCAATACTGTAGACCACAGTCTCCTTCTGGTACACCTAGTGAGAATGGGGCTTGGTGACACTGTTTTGCAATGGTTTCCTGGAGGGCTGGTTTCAGAAGGTGTTGTTGGGGGACACCTGCTTGGCCCCACAACTATTGTACCATGGAGTGACGCAGGGTTCAGTATTGTCCCCCATGTTGTTTAACAACTACATGAAGCCACTGGGAGAGATCATCCGGAGTTTTGGACTTTGTTGCCATCTGTACACAGATGACATACAACTCTACTACTCTTTTCCACCTGCTGCTAATGAGACTGTTCAGGTCATGAACCAGTGCTTGGGAGCTGTGACTGTCTGGATGAGGGTGGGCAAATAGAAATTGAATCAGTAGTTCTCAACCCGTGGGTCCCAAGTGTTTTGGCCTATAGCTCTCAGAAATCCAAGCCAGTTTACCAGCTGTTAGGATTTCTGATAGTTGAAGGCCAAAATATCTGGGGACCCACAGGTTGAGAACCACTGCCCTGAATGTTTCCAGCCCAGTTTACTTGTCCCAATGTATCTCCCTCTATGAGCCAGCTAGGAGGTTAAGATCTTCTGGAGAGACCCTGCTCTTGATCCTGCCTCCTTCGCAGGTGCAGTTGGTGGGGACAGGACATTCTGAGTGATGGCCTCTTGGCTATGGAACTCCTGAGTGAAATTAGATTACCCCCCTCCCTTCTGACCTTTAGGAAAAGGCTAAAAACGTGGATGTGTGACAAAGCATTCAGTGAGTAATCAGACAGTGCAATAAGAAAATATAAAATAGTACAATGACAAATCGGAACAGCTGCAGACTATGATATTGGATAGCGTGATTTTAAATAAGTGGTTTTAAGGTTTTTATATGTTTTAATCATTGTTTTAATGGATATGTTTTTTATTATGTGTATTTTTATGGCATCAAATTGCTGCCTATATATGTAAGCGGCGTTGAGTCCTCTACAGGATTGAGAAGGGTAGGGTATAAATATGGTAAATTTATGCAAACTCTGCAAAATCATCATAGTCTAAACCTAGGGAGTGTCTAGGTTGTGCTATTGAAAACACTTGGAAACTATTGAAAACACTTGTCTGTTAAAACATTTATTCTTGAATAATTGTAATTTTAAATAGGAATCAGTAAGCTGGTACTATGCCATGCATGTGAATAATAATGCTAATGCATTAAACAATATATTATATTGATTCACAGTGTCATCTATCATTTTTAGTTATGAAGTATGCAAAAAGAGAGGTTAAATTTGTTCAGCCTTCCAGATGTGGAACAGCAACACCCAGCAGTTCTCACCATTGACTGAACTAGCTAGGGCTTTTGGGAGTTGCATTTTGATCCTGTCTGTAGGTCCATCTATTCTACACATACTGTATAACAAAACTTGTTTAGCATAATAGTGCAATAAAGTATTTGCTTCCATAACAGCTATCTTAAATCATAGAGCTGTTGTGCTAAATTTTCTATTGGCAAAGTGTCAATACACTTAAATCATACAGAAATCATTATGTCTTTGTTATTTTTTTTACTAGAGTGTGTATTCAAAATGGAGGGTATGAGCAGTTAAATGAATTTAGAGTGTTAAGATGTATGCTGAATGATATTAAATAATCAAGCAGTGCAGAATTTATTCCTTAAAGATTCATTTTGTTCCACAGGAATTGATGAAAAAACCCTCTTTAGCTGTCCCAGCAAATAAACACTTAATTCGTCTGGCAGAGATGGAACAAACAGTAGCAGAACAAGACAGTTCCCTTGCTTCCCTTTTAAACAAATTAAAGAAAACATCCTTTGAGTTACAGAGGCAAAAGCAAATGACAGTGGCAAAAATCAAGGATTTTGATAACATCAGGGCACAGTAAGTCTGAACCAGAGTTGCACTTTATCGTACAAGTTTCTTCTGACAGTTAACTTTCATATGAAGAAGATAATTTCATTTAAACCTTCCTTCAGTATCTTTAAATGAAATGACGTTCTTCTTTTTAGGGATATGCCTTAAAATATTTTGACAAGGAAAGCACTGTTTTTATGAATTTATTTTTGTTGAACAAAATCTGTTGGTTGTCATCCACAGCCTTATTCTATTAAATTTACTTCTCCAAAAATGCATCCTTCTAAAGCTCTGTAGGGTAAAAATGAAAACAAGAGAAACATTTGTTTTGTGTTGCTTTTTATTAGGGGAGATGATAAATAGAGCTGTAATTAATGTAGCCATTTCCTTCTCTTTCATGCTCAAATTGGGGACAAGCAGAGGGTGGGCTCAAGTGGAATTAAATTTATGGGTGGTATTTTTCAACTTCATTCTGGTAAAGCCTTTCTTGCTTATGCTTACTTTAAGTTTGGCATGGGCCTAATAGTTGTTTGCCTTTTTCATGTAAATACAACTGATTGGATTTTTAAAAAGTATTCATGATTGGGTTGCTGTGAATTTTCCGGGCTCTATGGCCATGTTCCAGAAGCATTCTTTCCTGATGTTTCATCCACATCTATGGCAGGCATCCTCAAGGGTTGTGAGATCTGTTGAAAACTTCCCTAGTTTCCAACCTCACAACTTCTGAGGATACCTGCCATAGATGTGGCAGAAACTTCAGGAGAGAATGCTTCTGGACCATGGCCATACAGCCTGGAAAAACAGCAACCCAGTGATTCCAGCCATGAAAATCTTTGACAACATGTATTCATGATTGTCTAAAAACAGTAACTCCTTTCTACTAACTTTACTATATCTGCTGAGGAGTTTCCATGCAAAGTGGATTTGTTGGGGGTAGTTTAATAGTCTTTCTCCAAGTGTATATTATGAAAATCATAGAATCATAGAATCATAGAATCATAGAATCAAAGAGTTGGAAGAGACCTCATGGGCCATCCAGTCCAACCCCCTGCCAAGAAGCAGGAATATTGCATTCAAATCACCCCTGACAAATGGCCATCCAGCCTCTGCTTAAAAGCTTCCAAAGAAGGAGCCTCCACCACACTCCGGGGCAGAGAGTTCCACTGCTGAACGGCTCTCACAGTCAGGAAGTTCTTCCTAATGTTCAGATGGAATCTCCTCTCTTGTAGTTTGATTTCTACATTTGGTTTCTACAAATAAAATGTTGAGCCATAGGTAAAAATAAACTGAGGATTAATATAAGGGTTAATATACATTTTCATAATGTAATGGAGCAGATTTGTCTTAACACAAATATGATTTTGTCATTGTTTCCTCCTGTAGAAATCTTTAAAATTATGATCAAACTAGTGCAATATTTCAGTCCTGTTAGTCCATCTGGAACTTCCTCAACTTAGCTGGTAGATGTCAGTATTATTTATTATTTCGCTTTCCTAGACTTGAGCAGAAGCATGCAGCTGAAGTGAAAGAATTGAAAGATGAAGTGGATGAATTAAGGAGTGTGTTGTCACAGATGGAGAAAGAATTAATGAATGTAAAAACAGAGCTGGAGGCCCAAAGAGAAGCAAATAATAGAGCTCCGACGACTACAATGAAAAATCTAGTGGAACGATTGAAGAATCAGCTAGCCTTGAAAGAGAAACAACAGAAAGTATGTTATAAAAAGTCTTTAAAAGTAGTTACAGTATAAACTAGTTCATTTGTTTTAGCCAGAACACTTGGATTCATTTATTTCTAAATATTACTTGATTCTGAAAGACTGGGCCTGTTCACTGTATTTAACTGTAGTGCTTTGTGTATCTGGTACTTTATAAAATAATAGAAGTGATTATAACTACCCAAAACTTCTGCAGAAAAAAACAAACAAAACAAAACTGATCAGCTGGAGGCTGGCAGAGGAGGGATGAAAAGACGTATCTTGTTGCAAGGTGTAAAGGAGAGAACTTTAGAAGCCCATTTGGTTTCTATAAATTTCTCTGCTCCACTCTCCTCAGCCAGTCATACAGAATTCTTTTGCCTCTGATTATTCAAGTTTTTGTTTGAATGTAATAGTGAATTAATTAAATAGTGATGGATGTTATCCATTGTCAAATGCCATGTGCACAACCTTTTCCTGGAAGCATTAGTGTGTCTTACGTTAAATCTAGGATGGGCAACTCCTAGGGTTTGTAGCAGTGTGGAGAGGATGTATTGCCAGCCCATGGAACCATGCTCCTAACATAATGGAGGCTTCCTGTCTAGTCCAGTAGCACCCTCAAATTTAGCAGCAGAATGTGGTGTAAACCCCCAAAAGTTGTTTCCTTGAAATTAACCATTCGACATTAAAAGAAAGCATGCAGGAGTCACACACATTCTTAGAAAGCTCACGTTCCATGCTTATGCTCCACTTGTATCCTGATTTAATGTGGACATGGCTAGCATTATGAAAAATGTGCCCAGTTTGTTTACACTGCTGTGCTGTGGGTTTCAGAAGTAATGATGGGAAGGAATTTAGGATTACAAAGATGCCTGCAATATTTCATGTAGTTTACAAATTACAAGTTAACTCACGGCTGCCAAAAACATTGAATTGCCAAAAAAGCAGTAGCACCTAGAATTCGTTTACTGAATTACCATATACATCCAAGTATAAGCTGACCCAAATATAAGCTGAGGGTGGGAAATGCAGCAGCTACTGGTAAATTTCAAAACAGAAATAGAATCCAGTAAAATTAGATTAATTGAGGCATCAGTAGATTCAACATTTTTGAATATTTACATAAAACTGTAATTTAATATAAGACTGTCCAACTCTGATTAAACCATTATTCTAACCTTCTTCAATGTAAATGTGCTTTTGTATCCTTCCCATAATAATAGAATAAAATAATACATGTAATAATAACAATAAAGTAACATAATAAATGTAATCAAAATAATAATAGAGTAAAATAATAATGTAAATGTAATAATAACAATAATAGAGTAAAATAATAAATGTAATAATAAAAATAGTGTAAAATAATACATGTAATAATAATAGAGTAAAATAATAAATGTAATAATAATAATAATAACAACAACAACAGAGTAAAATAATAAATAACTTAAAGTACGTATAAGCTGAGGGGGGCTTTTTCAGCCTAAAAATGTCCTGAAAAACTCGGCTTATACTCACACATATATTATTTTATTTATAAACCAAGATTTAAGTAAATATTTCTAGCCACTTTGTATTTTAGGCATGAATATCAACACTGCTTTTTCGTTGCATATTGAAATTTAATGAGAAAATACTTGCTTTCTTCTGCTATCCTGTGAGTTAGGCATATAACTGTCTAATTGTAGCAAAGAGAGTGTAAATATTTATTTGTATTGAGGTATTTTTTTGTGTAAATCCTTTATTTTTCATAATTGTAAATATTTGCAGGCTTTGAGTAAAGCACTTTTGGAGCTGAGAGCAGAAATGACAGCTGCGGCTGAACAACAGATTATTTCTATAGCATCACAAAAGGAGGCACATATGAATGTTCAGCAGATTGTTGACAAACACACAAAGGAACTGAAGGTGAGGAGGAAGTAGCGTGTTTATATGATGTTGTGTACTTTGTTCTGATCAACAAAGAATAGATGTCATCAAGAACAAAGTATTCAGACCATGTGTTGTTTAAGACTCAGTACAAGTATATTATTAAACCAACATATTTGCACTTCATTTTAACTTTTCATGCAGAATCATTTTTTAAAATCCAGTCTAGAAGATTATCTGTATTACAACAGTATTTTGCCAACCTGATGGCAGCACATGCATTGTGTTGCATGAAATCCTATAAGCCAAAGCTTGTTTTCATGGATTTATCAGAGAAGATCATTATCCTTAATAGTCTTCTAGAAAAAAATAACATTTTGTGCCTTAAAACATTTAGCAGCATCTAGAACAAGAATAGGCAACATGCTGCCCAGCCAATATTTTTGATGAAGGTCTCCATAATCCATTGGTCATACTGGGTAGTTTTGTGTGTGTGCGTGTCAAGAGCGACTTGAGAAACTGCAGGTCGCTTCTGGTGTGAGAGAATTGGCCATCTGCAAGGTGTTGCTCAGGGGACACCCAGATGTTTTACCATCCTGTGGGAGGCTTCTCTCGTGTTCCCACATAGGAAGCTGGAGCTGACAGATGGGAGCTCACCCCATTCCCTGGATTCAAACTGCTGACCTTTCAGTCAGCAATCCTGCTGGCATAAGGGTTTAACATATTGCGCCACCGAGGGCCCCATACTGAGTAGTGGCTCATTGGAATTCTTGTCTAAAATGCATTCAGTCATAGTTTTCTGACCTCTGGTCAATATAGTGCATCCATTGTGGCTGTTTTCTTCCATAGCAGTAATCCACAACCATTGATTTTTTTCAGATGTTTTAGATTTCAGATCTTAGAATTCCATGACATTGCCCACATTGCCTTAGGATTCTAGAACTGAAGACCAGAACTTCTGGCAGAGCAATAATTGAGAACCACTATGCTATAGAAACATCTAAGTGTAGACCACACTCAGTCTTTTCACTGGTAATTCTCAATACCATGCCTTATAAAAAATGTTCATTTTTGCAGATTCAGATAGAAGATTTAAATGAACAGCTTTCCAAACTTAAAGATGCTCTAAAATCAAGCAAAAATAAAGAGAATTCATTATTAGATGATTTAGACGATTTAAATCAGGAACTTCAGAAAAAAATCAAAGCCCACACAAAGGTTCTAAGGGAAAAAGATGACATAGAAAAAGAAAATGAAGAACTGAAAAAGCGAATTAAGAGACTAACTACTTCAGTTCAGGTAAGGAGAGTATGTGTTATGGAACATTTGTTTGGGATTCATTTGGCTGAGATTTTTCATTGTGGAAATCTTTTACATGTCTGCACACATGCCACATGGCTTAGTTATATACAGTTAGTAAACAGTTTATTTAAATAACCATGGACATCTTAAAGTAAATGTATTTAATTTAGTTAATACATAAAATTACATTATCTGGGAAAAATCACATTTTTTCAAATTTCTGTAATACATAGTTTCAGCAATTTTCACAGCAGTTTATGTACTTGAGTAAGTCAATTATATTAATGGCATCCTTTTCTAGCAGTGTAATAGGGACCTAGCCATCTGCGTTGGTTCTTTCCTGCAGGCAGTTATTACAGTGGCAGTTGCAAAACTATTTATGTCCTTGAGATGTCGCTAGAATGCTGTAGTCTTCATGCTGGTATGGACCATGATTTAAACCAATCATAATTCGTGTAAACTGTTGATTTTTCAGGGCAAAGCTGAAGACCAAACTATGATAGATGAGCTTCAAAGAAAAATAAAGAAGATGGAAATTGAGCTGGGAAAGAAGAATGATGAATCAGAAAAGAAAACTCTAAGAGAAGAGAAGGTGTGGGAAGCACACTGCAAAGATGCACCTTGGCAATATATCTTTTCCTCTCTCAGTTCTCTTGTCTCTCTTATTCATATTGAAATTATATCCTTTTTTGTGTAAAGCATTCACCTTGTTAGAAACAGATGGGCTCCTTGTTTCATAAAGGTGCAGGTTAAAGATAAAACATGCAAATAGGAAATCCAGTCTAATATATGAATTTAACAGGGAAACATACATTTATTTTTTAAATTAATGTTTATTTAAACAAATTAATACAAAACATACATAGGTAAAGGTAAAGGTTTCCCTTGACATTAAGTCTAGTCGTGTCCAACTCTGGGGGGTGGTGTTTATTATTATTTCTAAGCCAAAGAGTCTGCATTGTCTGTAGACACCTCCGAGGTCATGTGGCCAGCATGACTTCATGGAGCGCCGTTACCTTCTTGTAGAAGTGGTACCTATTGATCTATTTACATTTTCATGTTTTCGAACTGCTAGGTTGGCAGAAACTGGGCCTAACAGCGGGAGCTTACCCCGCTCCCCAGATTCAAACCACCAACCTTTCTGTTAGCAAGTTCATCAGCTCAGTGGTTTAACCCACTGCGCCACAATGTACATACCAATGTGCAAATAAGCAAACTAACTAACAAAGCAAAATAAAGTTAATATTTTTTTCTAGAATAAAATAAAATATATTACTATTACAGTCAAAGCGTCAAAAATATTAACTACATGCAGTCTACATTATCTAATCTAAGGGCTTTACATTCTTTGTCTGATGGTAATATTCTCTCTATATTCTACACATTGATAATGCAGAGGGACCACATCGCTGAGGGTTTGCTTCCAAGACTGCCTTCAACCCACACTCATGGATACCAAAAATCTTGGATGCTCAAGTCCCTCATATAAAGGGACAAGAACCGGAGCTCAAATGCTACCTACCTCTCCCATCCCATGTGCCCACCAGGTTCCCTGACAACAGCTCTCCCCCCTCCCGCCCCCTAACCAGTGTGAGCCACAACTTCCTCTTCTCATCTTGACAACCAAATTGTTCTTTCTTTCTCTCCCTTCTCCTTCAAAGCACCAGACTCCTCAACAACTGCTTCCTACTCTTCCTGTGTCTTACTCCCCCCCCCCCCCCCCATCCCCTACTTCAGCAGCTTCATCACCCTCAGCAAGGGAGCTTTGCAGAACAGAATATTTCAGGTTTATTATTATTATTATTATTAATCTGCAGTTAGTTGAAAACACAGAGCCAAACCACACAAATGAGGAGAGCCCACTATATTTAAATCTCTGTATACGCCCTTTTACAAATAATAAAAAATTGGACTTGAATCAAGATTGTTATTTCATTTTTAACAAATAGATTCTTAAGACAATGAATGTTGCTTTTTTATCTATTTACAGAGCCAAAGGGAAGAATTAATTAGATGGGAAGAAAGTAAAAAATGGCAGAGTAAAACAGAAGGAATGAAGAACAAACTGAAAGAAAAGGAAAAGGAAGTGGAATCCTTAACTAAACAGTTAACCACAGTAAAGGAACTTTTTTCCAAGTAAGTTTGTTTTGATAGCAAAATTTATAATAAGAGCTGTTTCAGTAAATAGAAAAATAAGTGCTAATTTATAGTAACTTGTTCACTTGAAGGATAATTCCTCATCATCACATCAAAAAAGTAATAGCAAAGCAGATTATAATATTTATATTTATAATTTCTATGATGCCTTTTTCCAGTTCTGAACACATATTGGCTTACAACAAATTAAAAACACCATTAAAATTTACAAGATAAAAAAATTAAAATGAGATTAAACAAAGAAAAAATAATTAAAATACACACACACATAATTAAACTTGGATGCATACATCAGCATAATTAGCAAGATCTAGTGTACTTAGTAGGTGACACAAGCCTTATACAGTTCAGTTCTTGTTGGAATAGAAAAGTTTTTACTTGTCTGTGAAAAGAAAGTATGGAGGATGCTAATCTATGTTTTTTAGGAATAAAAAAACTTGGGGACAACCACTGAGAAGGTCTTCTCTGATGTTCCCACCAGATTACCCTGGGGTGGGACAGAGAGAAGGGCCTTCCCAGCAGATCTCAAAGCACAGACTGGTTCAATAAGGGAGAATAACCTAGGTCCCGTCTATATGTTAGACAAAGGATGACATAAAATATTGGATAGGTCAAATAACGTCCCTGTTTTTTTACCAGGGTACACAATGTTGCAGTGACAAACAAAGACTATGAGGCTGCAGCCTCCACTTTATCAAATGTATGTCTACTGGCATAATTTTCTAAATCATGTATTCAGATGGAGTCATGGTAAGCGTTTTGTTATAAAGATGACTACGGATCAGGGTTTCCCTCATACACACACACATTCACTCACACACACACACACACACACCTTACCTCGTGGCAATTGTCCCATTGATATCCATGGAGTCTGTTTCTCAATATATGTATATAGGATTGTGCATTTAAGGAAGAATACTTATCTTTTGATATAATTTATTTATACAAATGAATGTACAGTTATATTAATGAAGATCACTTAAATATTACAGGGCAGATAAAGAAAAACTTGCTTTGCAGAAGAAGCTGAAGAGCTGTGGTGTTACTGTCGATCAGGTGGTAGGAGTACGGGTCTCTGAGTCGGAGCGAGAGCTCGAAGAGCTTCGAAAACGGAACATGGATTTGGAGGATGAGATGGTTCACTTGAAGTATGAGACATTTCAAAAAGCTCTGTTGGGCCTAAGAATGTTCTTTTTATTTTTCTTAAACATATCAGCATGGAATTAGAAATGCATTAGATAATTGTACAGATTGAGACCTTTGTAGGAGCTGATAATAAGTGATACAAAAAGGCGAATTCTTCTGTTTAGCAAACATGTTACATAATAGGAATATATTTTTATGGCACTTTCTTGTTAGGTAGCTGAGTGCACAAAGATACATTTTGCAGTACATTTTAGATAACTTGCTTGGTCTTCACCAAGATAGCAGTGAGTTAATACATGTATGTGGAAGGCCTTGTAATATCTTCTAACTCTGTGATTTCAATGTTTCATAGAATCAATTGAAGCTTTTTGGATAAGGGATATTTAAAATGCTCGTAATACTTTTACCCAACTAAGTAAAGTGTTGTTCTTCAACAAAATTCTTATATAGAACATAGGCTCGTATAGAATATAAAGAAAGTATCAGCTGGTGGACCTCTGCAGCACTCATGAACTCTTCTATGCAGGACACAGTATGCTGTTCCTCGAGATTCTGTTGTGGAAGACTTGCACTTAAAAAACAAATACTTGCAAGAAAAACTTGTTGTACTAGAGAAGCAACTTTCTAAAGATCCTTTTTCAAGACCTTCGGTACGTTAAACTACTTTATTTCAACCAAATGTTTATAGTTGCATATTTTGGTTGTTTCTGTTTTTTTCTTAATTTCACAAAACATCTTTTTATTATCAGTTATAGTATTTCAGTTATCTGTATTTAAGAGCTGTGTGGCTTAAATTCATTTCTATAATTACTTGCTTTGGAATGTTAGCAATGTAGTGGTCAACAGAGAGGCCTTCAGATTGTACGCTGCAGGAAGCAGCATTGTCTGATAATGAGATTCTTGAATGTTTGAGAAGTGAGGAAAAACCAGACAAATCTGAATTGTGTAAGGAGTAAGATACTTACTGTCTGAATTAATATTGGGATTAATATTTTAGTTTCATCCTGGATGCAGAAGGGGTAGCACCTGAATTTGGTAAATTAATATCTGAACTTTTTCACACAATACTTTATTAACTTAAATGAATGTCACTGCCACAAGGTGTGTCAGTGACTATAGTTAAGGTGACTTTAATGCTGCTCCTTCGTAATTTCTGGTGTTGTGTTTGTAAAATATGTTTTTAAAATACTTTTTGTTGTGTGTTTGCACCACCTTTTTCTACCTTGAAAACTGTCATGAAAACATTGAAAATAATGTATAAATGAAAATGATGAAACATGTTCAAAGGGCCGTTTGGCCATATTCTAAGATCATTAATTTTGATACAGAGCTAGCATGATATACTGATTTGAATCTTGGCCTAAGACACTTGAAGACCAGGGTTCGAATCCTCATTTGGCCATAGAAATCCACTGGATGATTTTGGGCAAGTCCCATTCTCTAACCCTCAGAAGATGGCAAGGGCAAACTTCCTCTGAATAACTTCTACCAAGAAAACGCATGATATGTTTATCTTGGGGTTAGTATATGTCGGAAATGACATCAAGGCACACAATAAATTAGCCGTGAGAACTAAATATAAACTCTATGGTGTGAAGCAGTATAGCTCTTGAGTATTTGATTCAGAGAGTCCTGGCTAGCTAGAAGCATCTGATTTACAAACGTTGAAAACATAATGTTGGATTCCCTCAATCTTTCTCAACCTGTTCTTAGATTTTAGGGGAGGAATGTAATTGAGACTAGGAGAAATTCATTCTTTCACCAAAAGGATAAGAATTTATAATAGAATTTATGCAAATTAAATTATATTATGCATAAAGACTTCTAAAAAAAATCTAGTCACTCTTTTACAATCTGCCACTTTTTCTTTCTGTGCCTACATTACATCGTCCATGTCAGAATGTCGCATGTGAAGCAACTGCATTGGGTAATACGCATGTTACCATTAACGCCTTCTCTAAGCACAATCGTTTGAAATATTCATCTAAGAAAATTCTCATGGATAAAACCAAGTTGAGGCTTCAAGGTTTTCCTAATATGACTAATGCAAATGACAATGGAGTAAATTATGAAACACTCAACATAGAAAAATCCCATCAGGTTGCTGAAAATGTTGCTCTCAATGATATTGATGAAAACCAGTTTGAAAATGGGAAAAAGAAAGAGGATTTAAAGGCAAGTTCAGAAGCTGAAAAGGGCAACTCTGAGGACAATATGGAACAGGAAATTATTTCTCCTGAAGAGGATAGCATTGAGAAACAATGTGAAATGCCTAACAAAGAAACAGAAGAAATCTGCAAGCGTTCTAGCAGTGGGAAAGAAAAGGAAAGCAAACATGACTCTCATCCTGACAAGAACTGCATTCAGTCTGACGCAGAGGAAGTTACTGATCAATCCAAAAATGTTGAGACAAAAGTGGAAAATAATAATGAGGTAGTAGGAGAAGATGCAAGTGAGAGCCATCAAACTGGACAAGAGAGGAGTGAATTTTGTGAAGTTCCTCAGGTTTGCCCTTGCAACTATATTCCCTTGCTATTCCCATCACAGTTCCTTTGTGTAGCGAATCTGTTTTACATACGTTGCTTGTGTTCCAGATAATTAGTGATTACCTAGCTGCTTCACAGACCTGCTACCATATTTCTTCAATTGAAAGACCCCATCAATTGTAAGATGCAGCCTAATTTTACTACCATAACCACCAATAAAAATACATAACATACAGCTGCGATTCTAAGACACACCCCATTTTAAATATGTTTCTATAGCAAAAAAAGGTTTGTCTTAGAATTGAAGAAATATAGTATTTCTTAATATTGCCTTTGAAACAGGATGTTTATAGCATTTATAGTAAATATGCAATCATTCATTTCTTTAGCATTTCAGAGATATTGCATCAAGTGAAATACAAAACAGAAATAGTAGTGGCATTGTGTTCTTGCTAAATCTTAGATTGTATCTTTAAACAGAGATAACACATAGTTGTATTACATGCCACTGACCAGTTTAAGTCTGCTTTCTTGATGTTGCTTCTTAGGAAACAAAGGTAAGCAATTTCTTTATATCCATCCAATATTAAAAATAGTTATGACCAGTGTGTATAGGATATACTGCTTTAAGTTACAGTTAAACTGGCTTACTAAGTATCAATTTCTGCAAAATATTATATTAGACTTTGGATTAAATCAATGAGACTGCACTGGTCAGATTGGCACATGAATGTGAACTAGGACTGACTGCTAGCATATTGACATGTATTCTTCTTTCTGCTTTTGAAGACATCAGGATTAGGGTCAGATGATCAGTATCAAAAAGAACAAGAGCTTCAAAAGGAGAACCTAATATTGTCATCTGAAAATATGGAATTACGATTTCAGCTAGAACAGGCCAATAAAGACCTACCAAGATTAAAGGTAATTTTTTGCATGCTGTTTGTCTGTGTATGCACTGTATAGTGGAGTCATTACAATGTATAAGTAATGTCTTTTTAATGTATTCATATATCTTGCTTGTTGTTAATGATTTCTGTTATGTGTGTATAACCCTGGAAACCATGGTTGAAAATCCCCACTTGGCCACACAACTGCTGAGACACACACAACAATAGTGCATTTGCAATCATAAGATAGAGTATGAGTTTCCTCCTTAAGGCTTGTAATAATTACTGAACTAGAAAAAATTGTCACGTTCAATGCCTGGCTTCCTATCAGTTATGAGTCACAGAAATGGGCTACCTGTGTCGACACAGTGCATTGCCTACTCTTCTCATACCATACCAGAGTGATTCCCACCTAAACCCTCAGTTCCTTTTCATGCACTGCAGTGGCAATATTGAGAGAAACATTCTCTGGAACATTCTAATTTTTTTGTCTGGTGTGACTTCTGGTTTATCTTACTTTGAGTTTTGTATTCTCTGTTGTGTTTGTCTTTTTGGCTGGCTTTTGAATTGACTCGAACTGGATTTCTATCAACTTGTGATCACTAAATGGTTGTTAGAAATGGGGTGGCACCTTGAGCAGGAAAGCATGTCTCCTTGTAATGTTGTGTATCTGTTATAAGTGATAGTATGACTTAAGAAGTGTGAATCAACAAAAGTATTACTGTACAAGTATTACTGGTGGCATTGTGTATTTGGAGAGAAATTATTGCATAACAATGGTCATGCAGCTATCTCATGCATCAGAATTCTGTGAGGTCCAATATGGCAATGATGATTATTTTCTTTTCCCTTTGTCTTCATGTCCCTTATATTCAATTTTTGTTTGAAGAAGTCATTTGTAGAAAAATACTTTAAAGTGGAATAAGATTGTTGTTTTATTCTTTCAGAATCAAGTAGCCGATTTAAAAGAAATGTGTGAACTTCTGAAGCGAGAAAAGACAGAAGCTGAGCGGAAGCTTGGCAATGTCAGAGGGGTAAGAATTACATTTTGGAACTTGTGTTTTAAAAAGGCAAAATAAAATCTTTGTGATGTAGCCATTTGCTATCATGAAGCAAAGTAAGCAGTTTGCATGGCCATCTGCCTCTGGGAGCTTGGTCCCACAAGTGGAGCATTTTCTAAAAAGAGGGTCAGAGGCTATAATGATGACGAGCCTGTAGTTTGTGTCCAGGCCAGGTCGTAGAATGGAGAAGAGTGAAGTAAGTTAAAAAAAAACAGTTCAAGGCAAAGGGAGGGGAAAAGGTAGCAAGTCCATTGGAGTCAGAGTAAAAATACTGTTAGAAAAGACAAGTTGCAAAGTACAGCACTAGAGCACAGAAACAGCATGGAGAGAAAAGGTTCCTAGCTGCAGTCAGCGGTGGAGAAAAGCAACTGAGGCTCAGCTCCACCCACAGGTACTTATACTTCATGGGGAGAGGGGATGGGGCGACTGCCAAAATGTTTCATTTAGATATCAAAAGGTTCTGAACTGCACCGCACATGCATGGATAAACCCATATGTGCGATTTCACAGGCACCACATAGAAGAAACGTCAGGAGAAAATGCTACTATAACACAGCCATACAGCCCAGAAACCACACAACACCCCAATATTTTAACTCCTAAATAGTGGAAATTGTCATTCAATGATGAGCCTCAGTGTTCAGGACTAATTATTGACTTGAAGAAACAAGTGTGGGGAGACACCATGAAAAGGGCTTTTAAAAAGCATTTACTTGTGATTTTTTTTTAAAAAAAATAGATGGGGACTTAACTATGAGTAAGTTGTTCTTTGGCACTAGTAGGTGATTCTTGGCATATCAATAACTAATTGATCTATAAGGGATTATCTTGGTTACATTAACATACAAGGACTTTTGACTCTTCATCTTCTCAGGCTATCTAATTCAAGGCAAATATGGACAGTATACCCTCAGTAGAGCATGATGTGGGTCAAGGGTGTGTGCACACTTATGAAAGAGATGTTTAACTGTATCACCAACACACTTTACATTACTCCATGGATTTCATGTTGTTTTCTTGTTATTTATTTATTTATTTATTTATTTATTTATTTATTTATTGTGTCAGAGGCAAATTGAGAATACAGCTATAATGTATAAAAAACCACAAAGTTAAAAATTTGGCATTATGCTAGATTTCCTTTGACCAGAAGCTGGCCACTTGGAGGGCCTCTGGTGTGGCTGTAAGAATGTCCTCCATTATGCATGTGGCAGGGCTCAGACTGCATTGTACTAAGTGGTCTGTGGTTTGCTCTTCTCCACACTTACATGTCGTGGACTCCACTTTGTAGACCCATTTATTGTTAGCTCTGCATCTCATGGTGCCAGAGTGCAGCCTGTTCAGCACCTTCCAGGTCGTCCACTCTTTTGTCAGTCAGTCAGTCAGTAGCCTTTATTTCAATCAACAAACCATTGGCTAAGTCAAGTGAAAGTAGAACGATGAAATACAACAATTAACAATGAATAACATCACTCTTTTGTCTGATACTGGATGAATTTCTCATCCAGTGTCAGACACTGATTGAAGTTCTGGGTTTTAGCCTGCCACTTTTGGACTCTCACTTGCTGAGGTGTTCCTGTGAGTATCTCTGTAGACCTTCAGAAGCTGTTTCTTGATTTAAGTCATTTGCTTGCTGGCTGATACCCGAACAGAGGATGGGCCACAGATGTCCATGCCTTGTCCTTTCATTGTTGGCTGCTACTTCCCGGCAGATATCAGAAAGCGACTTGCAGTTGTAATTAATTAATGAAATGTCAGGGGAGATTAATCCACAACTAAGGCAAAGGCAAAGCAAGAAAATAATATATAAAGATATGCACAAGCTTTGCACCTAGGGAATGGGATATGATGTTGACATAAAAATCTGTCACTAGCTGGTTTTGAAAATCAATCCAACAATTAGAAAGAAATTAACATATTTGCATTCTTAATTTTATTTTGTGAGTAATAGAATTGTTATTGTGACATGAGAACCACAATGTTATTATTCTCCATTCCTTTGTCTTGTAGTCTGGAAGAAGTGGTAAGACTATTCCAGAATTAGAGAAAACAATTGGATTAATGAAAAAGGTTATTGAAAGAGTCCAAAGAGAAAATGAAGAGCTTAAGAAAGCACCTGGAATAGTCTCCAGCGAAAAAATGACCAGCCTCCAAGAAGAAAATGAATGCTTAAAGGTAGTTGTTCTCTCTTAAAAGACATTTTACTTTATTAATGTTAAAATTATATGTCCAGAATGATTATGCTGGTTGAAATAATGTCAATAATTTCAGCACACATGAGAAAAAAAGTTTATTGTACCATTCAGTGTTTTTTTTTTCCAAAAAAACCCTCTTTAAATATTTCTTTTTGTTCTTTATTTATGAAATCTTTAAGTCTGAACTGGAAAAACTGAAGCTTCACCTTGGAGGTGAACTGAGTACACGGTATGAACTGAAAACTAAAGGTACCGAAAAAATAATTGCTGAAAATGAGAGAATACGAAAGGAGCTGAAAAAGGTAAAGCTATTAAATGAACAGATGTGTTGCATGTATTTTACAGAAACTATTATAATTTGCTTTTCCTGAAAGACATGCATTTTGGCTAAGAGTAAATCTAGTTTCATTATGTTTATTATCATCATATTAAAATGGACTCTTTTAGCTGAGATTTTTACATCTTTATTAATAGGACTGAAATACAAAACTGGCTCATGAAGGTGCAGATCAAGGATGGTGTATGCAAGGGACACAAGGGCCTGGTGCTTATTATTTGTTTACTACATTCTAGCTTCAACAGTAATAAATCTTCTATCTAAAAGCAAAAAGCAATGGATTCATTTTTTTTATGGTCAACAGGAAGCAGAGAATGCTGAAAAGTTACGAATAGCCAAGAACAATCTTGAGATAACAAATAAAAAATTGACCGAGGAACTGGAAGAAACAATTAAGAAATTAAAAGTGGCAGAAAGCAGAATCCCACAGCTTGAAGGCACTGACAGCAAGCATTGGAAATCTATGGTCATAACAAGGTAGATAGAATAGTCATGCATGTCCTTTTCCTACAAGATTTCAAATGAATAAAAGATCCATTTTCAAATTTATTCACATTTCTATACTTGTTTGGAAAAACATATTCTAGAAAAGCTGATTCCGAGCGTACACACTACTATACAGATTCCCTTTTTAGATAATCATCAGGCATAATATTGATCTTGGAAACTGTGGAAAAGAATCTTGTTTGAGGCAGCCATTAAGTATTCTATAGAGTACTGTGCATGGTATTATATGCAACAAGAATGAGGTTGTTAGTCTTGCAGGTTGTCTTCTTTCTCTCTCTCTCCCTCTCTCTCTCCCTCTCTCTGTTTACTGGTAAGTTGCACATTTATAAGAAAGACCAGGATCTACCGCTGTTCTGTCATATTTCTGGTAATGAAACAGGGACTTCCTTTACTTGCCACTCCAATCTCTGCTTTGTGGGGAGGCTATAGAAGGGGTATCCTCTCCCGATTCCTTTCATGGAACTTTTTCCATCCATGGAATACCAACATTGGATACTGGCCAAAGGGTAGGTATCGAAGGTCATTTCAGCTAAATAAATTTTGTGGGTAAATATTCCTGATCATGGTGTTCTCCTAAAGAAAAATAAGGAGTGGTTTGATTTATCAGCCAACCAATCTGCTTTCCAACAAATAGAAGTGGCCCATTGCTGGATCAGTGTATTGTTGCCTAGTGCCAATATATACTTGGTCCTCTGTACCCACAGATTCAACCATCCATGATTTGAAAATATATTTTTTTAAATTCTGGAAGGAATCTTTAATTTTGCCATTTTATGTCTATCTGGATGAGGAGGAACAAGCTGAAGATCCATCCCGACAAGACAGGGGTCCTTCTGGTCGATCGTAAACCTGACCGGGGTATAGGGTGGCAACCTGTGCTGGACGGGGTTACACTCCCCCTGAAGCTACAGGTCCGCAGTTTAGGAGTCCTCTTGGATTCATCGCTTACGCTTGAGGCTCAGGCGTCGGAGGTGTCCGGGAGGGCTTTTGCACAATTGAGACTCATGCGCCAACTGCGACCATACCTCGCGAAGGCTGATTGGGCCGGGGTGGTGCATGCCTTGGTCACCTCCAGATTGGACTACTGCAATGCGCTCTACGTGGGGCTGCCCTTGAAAACGGCTCGGAAGTTCCAACTGGTCCAACGATCAGCAGCCAGGATGTTAACTGGGGCCCCTTACAGAGAGAGGTCAACCCTCCTGTTTAAGGAGCTCCACTGGCTGCCGTTTATTTTCCGAGCCCAGTTTAAGGTGCAGGTGCTTATCTACAAAGCCCTGAACAGTTTGGGACCAGCCTACCTCCGTGACCGCATCTCCATCTACGAACCCACGCGTTCACTTTGGTCATCTGGAGAGGCCTTGCTCATGATCCCGCCTGCGTCGCAAGCGCGCTTGGTGGGGACACGAGACAGGGCCTTTTCCATGGTGGGCTCCCGACTCTGGAACACCCTCCCCAAAGATCTTAGACAGGCCCCTACATTGGCAGTCTTCAGAAAGAACTTGAAGACCTGTGCTGTTCCGATGTGCCTTCCCAGATTAGGAAATCTCCAATACCAAGTCCCATAAGCCCTTTACTAGTATTAAGATTGCTGCACGCCGCACACTGCACTTGCCCTATAATGCCTTATATACCTCCTGTCACATCAGCACTTTTAATCCTGTACCCATTACTCTGGCCCGGCCCAGTTTTATTGTGTCTTAGTGTATTGTTTATTGCTTGTTGTTTATATTGCTTTAATTGTTTTAATTTGCTTTGGGTTTTGTATTGTATATTGTGTGTTGAGGCCTTGGCCTTTGTAAGCCGCATCGAGTCCTTCGGGAGATGCTAGCGGGGTACAAATAAAGTTTCATAATAATAATAATAATAATAATAATAATAAAAGACACCATATTGCTATGCCATTGTATATAATGGGACTTGAACATCCATGGATTTCAGTATCGGGGAGTCCTAGAACCAAACTCCAACAGCTATCAAGAGCTCACTGTACTTGTTTCTGTGTCTACTTAAATTTGGGGCAATGGTGGTGGAATACAATAGTGTGAAAGAAACACTGCAAACAATATTTTTAATGGACATTGACTTTTCCTACTTTTAGAATGTATGGAAATAAAATGAAAGAAATGGAAGCTGACATTGCCAAAAAAGCCCAGACTATTAGTGATCTTAAACAACAATTGGAGAACGCCACAGGGAATGAAGAAAAATATGCCAAAAACTTAAAAGAACAGGTGAGTAAAATGACTGCAAATTAATTTTGCTAATCTTCCAGCATTGATAATTTATTTGAACCCTTAATGTCCTAGGACCTAGAGTTTTGCTAGGATCCAGGGACAGAACGTCAGTCAGCAATATTGAGGGCTAACCTGTGAATCCTCAGATCTAGCTCTAGAGCAGTGGTTCTCAACCTGTGGGTCCCCAGATGTTTTGGCCTTCAACTCCCAGAAATCCTAACAGCTGGTAAACTGGCTGGGATTTATGGGAGTTGTAGGCCAAAACACCTGGGGACCCACAGGTTGAGAACCACTGCTCTAGAGGCTGGAGGAACTGCTTTTTGGGGTGCGGGGTTGCAGAAGTTAAAGAAATAATTTTAACATCTAAGTGTTTTTCTTTCCTCAATGTAAAGATTGAGCTTCTCCAAGACTATCCTGAGGGTACCCAAACAGAGCAGGACCGTCTCAGAGAACTCCAGCTTCTCAGGTAAAACTCAGAGAAGCATATTTTTTCAGCAGAACAGATCTAGAAAAATATTAAGAGCTACCCAAATGCCTCCACCTAATTCTGTGTTTCTTTAGGTTAACCAATGCTCGTTTGGAAAATGAAAAGGCAGCATTAATCAATCAGTTGGAGGCATTTCGAAGTCTAACTGAAATAAAGAAGGGACGTAGCTTTGTATCTGGTAACATTTCAAAATACTTTCAGTAAATTGTGAAACCTTTCAAAAGTTATACTATAAAATTATGTTGTGTCAGGTTTTCATAAGCATAGGGCTAAATCGAGTTGTCAGGGCCAGGAGGAATAGACCCATTCAATCAATGGTGCTTCGCTAAGCCTTGACTTAGTAAAAGGCATCGATATACTAGTTAACAAGTTTAGACTACAGACCTTAAAAAAACACTATTCATGCAGCATTTCTTGCCAGATGCCTTGGTCATCACCAACTATTCTGCTTTTGAAGATCAAGTAATTAGAATATGTGGGAAGCAAAATTAGTTGAAGAGAATTCTTGAATGTGGAAGAAATATCTTAAAACCCTTTGTGCAAGTATAGAAACTTTCCACTCAAGCAGGAGGTTTGAATCAAAATCAAGAACCTTTCAGTCATAAAGATGTGTTTTAACCAAAAGGTGAAATAGCAGTGGGTTAAAACAGGGATTGGGATTTAGTAGCTCACTATATAGTCTTCAGTACCCAACGACCCTGGCCCGCATAAGCAACAGTAAATAATGTTGCAAGTAGCTCAGCTAGACTTCAAGTCCATTATAATGGATAAATGTTAAAATCCAGTTGATATTGGCATGGATGTGTGAAATTGTATTATACAAGCCTCATCCTTTAATTCAGCAGTAGATCAAGCTTGGCACTGGGACCACATGCAGCCTTCAGATTTTTTTCATGATTCCAAAGAAGTTGAACTTCAGTGTTCAACTTCTTTGTGTAACCAAAAATGACTAATAGCCTTTTTAGAAACCTCGAGGCCAATAAACCTTTTAAATAAGCTGTAGATATCCCCTTGTAAAACCTCCAGGTTTTTTACATCTGGTGACCTGTGGTTTTGTGAGAATTTTTTGGCAGTAAATAGGTTCCTAAAGGCTCCCTGCATTTCCCTACCCAATTTGATCTGTGTAGATCATGACAAAATTGACAAAAATTTAGTGTTCTTTTAAATCTCTATTTATAAATATTTCCTTTAAATTATCAGTTTATGTTAACTCACAATTCATTTCTAGCCTTGGAGAAAAAATGCAAATGCATCATAGATTGCTCTATCTAAATATAAATAATGTGTTTAATTTATCTTCATGTATAATTTTATATAAATAAAATATTTAATTTGAACATTTAGAGAAGCCTGGAAGCTATATGGTACTAGCAGAAGACCTGAAGAAACAGTTGAAAACCTCAGATTTGGAACAGCAGCGACTTCAGGTTTGTGTTATAGACATTTCAGTCATTTTTTTTTTTCATTTGGAAAAGTTGAAGTCTCAGATTAAATACAGTACACTGTTTTTCTCATTTGTTCCTTGCTAGATACTCTGCTAGTTACTTAGTTTGCATTGTACAGTGTACAAAGAGCTTTTAAATATAAGCAATTTTTCACTTAAGATTGTTCCTTTTAAAAGTGGGATGGCCTGGCTTACATTTGCCACTGTAAAGGTTAATTCAGTACAAATGGTTAAGTTTTTGGTGAAATTTTATAAATTACAAAGCTTTTGCCTCTTAAAAATATGACTATGCAATACTTGAATTGTTTGTGTGACCTGAAATAAAAAGCCAGGTTTCTCCCATGTTGTTGTTTAAGCACATTCTAATATTCCTGCAGAAATCCATGGGATTTTAAAGTATACAGCTCGGGATTGATTTTACATATAGCCAATGCACAGTAAATCAAGAGGGGACGTAAATATATTTATGTATTTATTTTATATCAGTAATTTCTGTTCCTTATTAGGAAGAAGTCAGAAAGCTTAAAAATGAGCTGGATAATTTTGACCCGTCCTTTTTTGAAGAAATTGAAGACCTGAAGTACAACTACAATGAAGAAGTTAAAAAAAATATTATCTTAGAAGAGAGGCTGAAAACACTTTCCGAACAATTTGGTGTTCAAGTAGATATTCCAGCCCGAGTTTCTATTGATTAAATGGAAAGGCATGCAACTTTTCAAAGACATGTCCCATTTGGAGATGAATCATATAGCCTGGGAAAAAAACATTCTTATATCAGGAGTCAAGCAAACTGCTTTCCATGCTGCAAAAAAAATACTGGTGTGCAGCTACACTGCACAGCTTTTGTTGGCTCTCCCTAAAGGAAGGATCTTTCTTATTCATTTGAGCCACTGCTTCTTTCCATTTCTGCTAGCATGGAGCCAACAGTTTGAAATAAAAACATTACAGAACTGTGAACTGGGGATTTGTATATATATATATGTATGTATTTTGTTATGTTAATTTATTACGTTTTTAGAGTACGCAGTTTTGTAGATTTTTCCATCAATTATTCTTTATTTTTCTACATTTGAGTATTATAAATGATGAAGAAACAGCAGTTTAACATTTCTTTACCCTGTTTTAAATGTTTTATTAAACTTAAAGACGTACACATACTTGGTCTTTTTATAATAAAGAAAATATAAAAACCCCTCAATAGCTTTACTGCACATTATTTTAATTCTGTAGGCTTGTAAACAGTGTTGTCTGGCTCAGTGGAACAGATCACCACATGCCCCTTACAACTCTACAGCAGATTTGAAAAAGGGGCAGAGAGCAAGAAGTATTGTTATATAACATTCAAGTTCATAATCTTACGGTAAAGTGAAATTACAAAACTATTTAAAGCAGTAGTACAGTACTGCAGTATTATTAGATACACTTCAAAAGAAGTACAGAATCTAATGAATCTCAACATTTAAAAACAAATGTTAAAATTGGGTGTGGCTTCCAGGCTATACTTTGTATTAAACACAGGCACCACGTATGGATAACAACTTTTAAAATACAAAGAATCAGAGCTCTTCCACATAACTGCTTCTGTGTATTTTAAGGTAGGAGCTGTGATACGTTTGCATGCACGCACTCATCATAATAACTGCAAATAATGCAACTATAGTGATTTAAGCATAAAAATGGATCACCTTCAGGATTTAGGCTCTTAACTTTTAAAAACATTTAAGGTACATTTCACACAACCTTTGGGGATTGGAGGGGGAAAATAATGAGGTTCAAATTCAGGTTTTCCTGCTACATAGATGTTTCTGTTAAGCCATATGTAACCTAAATACTATTCGATTTGTATTTCAATAAGAAAATACAATTTTGGTGACATATATACTATATGTAAGACTGAGCCAAAAGGAATGATACATATGTCTATCTTTTTGAGAAATCTGGTCATAGATCACTTGTTATATTCCTGAGGCTACTGAATCTTTGTCCATCCAACTTTGAAAAATAATCAAAAAGTGTCTTTGGTTCAAAGTTAAAGTCATATTTGATCCCACTGAAGTTTACAACAACTGGCTGAGAAATCAAGTGAGGGTCTGCAATTGGCCAGGACAAACCAAGATGGTGTCGATGAAGCTGTAAAGAAACAAAGAACAAATAAACATATTGACATTATCAGGTAGCTTGTGTATGTTAAAAACAGCCACGTCCTATTTACATATAGAAAATTTCCAACCTAACTGTTGGAAAAAAAGAGACCATGATCCAAAGGGTGCATGTTCACATTTATTGTAATGGATACAGTGTAAACTAGAACTTGAGATCTGTATGTTCTAGTTCCAAATGAACCATTTATAATCACTGAATGACTTGAGCCAGTCCCTCTTTTTTAGCCTGATCAGTTGCTCAGGTTGTTCTGAAGATAAAGAAGGTAAGACTGCAAATGTTGCATTGAGATCACTGGAGGAGCGGTGGGAGATACCTATTAAGCATGTGCAGTCAGGCCAAAAGGCATGCTGTTTTTGGGTCCGTTTTCGTCTAACCCTTCATTTTGTTTACCAGAAAGTTACTCAAAAGGGGAGAGGTGTTTCTGTTTTTATTCGGCAGAGATTCGGCCCATTGGCTACAATGGGAAACTTTAAATGCTCAATCTTTAGTTGTAGACCTTAGTTGTAGACCCCATTTACAACTGTAGGCCTGCCAAGTTTCATAACAATTCACTAATCTACTGATTTTTTAGAATTATTACATACTAGGAGAATTGTAGTCACTGCTTGTGTTCATTCTCAGCCAATCAGACCATGGACACCACCAGACTTTTTACTGGCTGAGAAACACACACACACAGAAACTTCAACTCCCATCATGCTCCCTATAGCCACCCTATGCTAGTGCCATTGGAAAAGAGAGTTTCCAGGGCCCCCTCTGGAAGAGGAGGTAACTTTCCAAGAGAAAATGGAGGACACTTCTGCCGGCGAGAGAAAAAGACGTCGCAGATCCCCCTGCCTCAGGTATTTTGGGGACTTAACTCTTTCTGAAAATAATCATCTCTTTGAATCCGTTTCCCTGGACTTTTCATATTTCTCTTTCCCTTTCTGTTTTAAAAAAATTAACGAAAATTGCCCTCCAAAAACTACATTTTTTTCCATTAACAGTGATTCGGGCCCAAGTCTAATACCTGTCAACAAATGAACATACAACCCACCAGCAAAATCGGGAATTTCTTCTCACGCTCTGGAGTGTCACAAGCCTGTTTTGTATGTTTTCTCAACAGACGTTTACTAGGGATAAAGATTGTCAATTCTGGTGGAAGTACACCACCAGATCCTATCCTTACAGGTGCATAGAACAAGCAAACAAGCATAAGTAAATACTCCCAAACTGAAATAACAGAGATCATGGAAGCAAAACCTTGTGAAACATTTAATAATGTTTTCAGTATTACCTTGATTAAATTCCCATCAGCACAATGCCATACAATCCCTTCAATTTTCCCCTCTTTGCATCCATCAAGCCATGTCAATATATCATTGTGATTCAGTGCAGGTGCATTTTTTATTTGAAATATTCCATGAGGGACAAGGAGATGTACTGGATGTTTCTTGCTTCCTAAACCTATTTAAAAGATTAAAATATTAAATAGTAAAGTATAAAATACTGTTTTCATTCAATGTTCTCAAATTTCTCTTATTTTAAATTCCCATGTATTATTTCATAAACCCTTCTTCAACTTCTTTATCACCTTTTCACACCTTCTTTTATGTTTTAAGCCTACCTTTACTAGGCTTATTCCACATTATCTTTTCTTGAGAACAGCAGTCCTCAAACTGATGCCAACCACTTGACACAGTCTCTGTAATAGTTATTTAACTATTGCTATTGAGTATGCAGTTACTGGCTAAACATTTCAACATTTTATAACAAGCCTAAGTCAATTATTTATGTTGATTTCACATTTGGGGGGGGGGATGTTTTCTTTCTTGTATCATTTTGGAGATGTTGGGGGATTATTCATAAAACACAGTAAATTTTATTCAAAGACTAGCCATATAGGATATGGGAGATATATTTAAATTAGTGTAAAATGATCCAGAATATTTTTTTATTAAAGAAATCAGGGATAGAATTAGGATTCCGTGGAAAATAAATGTCTTCTGAAGTATTCCATAACCAAAAAGGTTTGGAAACTGCTGCTCAAGGCCAAGGCTTCTTAAACCTTTACACTCACGACCTCTTTTGGCCTGAGAAAGGTTTATGTGACCCCGGTTATATAGGTAATAGACAATAAAGCAGGTAATTGATAATAAAGCAGCACTTGTAGAATTTGCTAAACAGCAGAGTTCACTATACACACTGCACAACAGATTCATAAAAATGTCTACGACCGTCACTAGATAAAGTTCAGAAACTTTTAAATTCTGCCAAATTTTTCATTATCCCAAAATTGAGCTAAGGGTACCCATTTGGGGTAGGGACCTAGATTTTAAGAAGTAGTGATCTAGTATATAAGTACCGTATATATTCGAGTATACACCGACCTGGATATAGGCCAAGACACCTAATTTTACCAAAAAACAGAAAACTTAATGATTTGAGTGTAAGCCGGGGGTGGGAAATGCATCAGCTACTGGTAATTTTTTAAAAAGAAGATAGCAATACAATTACATTAATTGAGGAATCAGTAGGTTAAATGTTTTTGAATATTTACCGTATTTCAAAGAAAAACAGTAAACTAGCTCTGCAAGTGGAAAAGTAGAGTCAACAAAAACAATATGGTATCAACAAGAACTTTCCCTTTGCAAAACATTACAACTGGGAGAAGCAGAGCAGAAGCAGAAAAGAAAACACACTGTTTAGGGAGGGGAAGATGAAAGAGAAATATATCATATACTGCAAGCAATGGCCTTCTGGCTTCGCTGCCTGACTTAAACCCATTATAAACCGAGGAAGGATTTTTTAGACGATAAAAAGGTCTGAAAAACCCGGCTTATCTTTGAGTATATATGGTAGAATTTCCACCTCCTTTCCTCTGTGGCCTTGATACAGATCAGGCATTCCCTGCCCAAGCTTTTCATAAAATCTTAGTATGATGAATTCAACAACAAAAAACCTTCTGTAATCTGTAACCTAATACAGGAAGTCCCCAAGTTATGATCAAGATAGGTCTTGTAGGTTTGTTCTTAAGTTGAATTTGTATGTAAGTCGGAACAGGTACATTTTTAAAGTGTAACTGCAGCCACAGTGTGTGCGCGCGTGTGTAGCTTTGGATGGCATAGGGAAGGGTTAACGCCCCTGTGGTGTTTGTTTTGCTCTCTGCTCCTGTTCAGAAGATTTCACCTCACTTTGCCCCTGTGAAAACTGGATTTTGAAAAAAAAAATGGCTTATTGTGGAAACAAGGACTGGGAATAAAGCTTCATTTGTGACACTTTTTCCCCATGACAACTCTTTCAAGGGCAAATTCCCCTTCCCAGGGACAGATTTCTCTAACTTCCTGTTGTTTCACCCCCATTCTTAACTATTAGTTGTTTGTAAGTCAGATATTTGTAACTCAGGGACTGCATGTATATTTATTTTCTAAGCTGTTTTGCTGTTTCTTATTTCTGAAAGATTAAATTTGTAATTTTAGTATAGTGGATTTGATAAAAAAAAATCTAATATTGGTGCATGAAAGATATATTTACCATATGGATTGGCATTAATGTTTGTTCCAATGAGCTCCAGCGTGTGCTCTGAAAATGTGGATAGAGGCATCGGGCATATTTCTAGAAAACCAGGTTCTTCAGTGTGAGGCTTCAGAATGAGAGCTAGTTCAAATTCATAGTCAACAACAGAAGTGTGCCAACAATATTGTCTGCTGTTTTTCTCCACAGGTACCCAGCCTACGGAAAGAAAGAAAGCCCTTTTTCCACTTTCAAGACTGATTTATATGCAAAAGAGTTTAAAGTAATGTAAATATATATATTAGTTGTATACAATGCAGTCTGAGCCCTGCCTCAGGCACAATGGAGGACCTTTTTACAGTGACATCAGAGGCGCTCCAAGCGACGACCTTCTGGTCAAAAGAGGTTTAGCATAATACCATTTTTTTAACTTTGTGGTTTTTTATACATTATAACTGTATTTTCAACTTGCTTCTGACACAATAAATAATAATAACAACAATAATAATAGAATTCTGTTAAATCATTTTCAGAAGTTACAAAAATTATGCGAAAAACAATAAAAGCCCGAAAATATGCATCCTAGAAATTATTAAAATACGTTGTCAAAGGCTTTCATGGGCAGAATCACTGGGTTGCTTGAGTTTTTCGGGCTGTATGGCCATGTTCCAGTAGCATTCTCTCCTGACGTTTTGCCTGCATCTATGGCAGGCATCCTCAGAGATTTGTTCAGAGGTCTGCTGGAAATAAGGCAAGTGAGGTGTATATCTGTGGAATGTCCAGGGTGGGAGAAAGAACTCTTGTCTGTTTGAAGCAAGTGTGAATATTGCAATTAGCCAGCTTTAAATAATTACAGCAAAAAATCAGAAAACATATAACTAGAAGCCCAGTGAAACCATTTTAAGGGAAATCTGTGGAAGATAATTTTTAGGGCCTTTTTAAAGGCCAGCAGAGATGACACCTGGCATACTTCAGCTGATATGGCACAGAGCATAGAAGGGATTCTTAAAAAAAGTCCTGTCTCACCAATCTACGTTTTTCTTCTTTATAAAGTTTTTTTTTCAAAGTAGGATTGTAAATGCCTGAAAAATAGCTTCTGATATTTGGAGAACAAATAATACAGAATTAACTATGTATCTATTATATACTGGTATAAACAAAGGAGCCCCCGGTGGCGCAATGGGTTAAACTCTTGTGTCAGCAGGACTGCTGACTGAAAGGTTGGCAGTTTGAATCTGGGGAGCAGAATGAGCTATCGTCTGTCAGCTCCAGCTCCTCATGTAGGGACATGAGAGAAGCCTCCTACAGGATGGTAAAACATCTAGGCATTGCTTGGGCAACGTCCTTGCAGATGGCCAATTCTGTCACCCCAGAAGCGACTTGCAGTTTCTCAAGTCACTCCTGACACGGAAAAAAACCCAACTGGTATAAACTAGAGAACCATGATCTCAAAATTTCAGTGCTTCAGTAATATCACAAAGAGAAACAATATATTGTGAACATTTGTAAGAAAGAAATACATTGTACAATGGATGGCTTGCATATTAGATCTCTTATTCCTGTTAACTCAGCTTTATGTTTTGGCTGCCCTGTGCATTTCCCTGGGTAACCTGTTGCTCTGTGATTGCAACTGAAGATGTAAAGTATGAATGCATATTCACCAAGTGCTGAAATACTAACATTTAAAATAGTTGTTTATGGCATTAAACTGCTTTTTACCTGGAATATGTCCATTTTCGTCAGGAAGAGGTTTCCCATTGCAGTGCTCTATTTCCTTTGCTGGAATCCAGCATTCAGGAACAGTCCTGAAATCTTCTTCAATGTTCCAAGTAAATCCTAAAGACACATGAAATGCACTTTTTGATACCAGTAACATTTTGACGATCAGTTACTTCTGAACAAGAATATTATCTACTACTAAAATATTATCCAGTGATTATATCACTTTTCTTAATTTAGGACTGTATTGTCTGCTCTGCGGTGCATATAAGTATGTATATCCATTCACAAAAAATTCTGAAACGGAAGATCATGCCAGTTTTGTCTGTCCCATTCAAATAGAAGAAGGGTAGTACAGGAGGGAGTTAAGGACTAGCATGCAGTAACTTCTTTATACTTCCCAGGTGTTCGTTGGTTATTTCTCAATTTCTGTGGATTTCCTTTTCTCACCAACCACAGAATGACACACTAAATATTCATCATAAAGGTACATTCCATCAAAGTCTGTCTTCAACTATTGTGACACTATGTTGTTTTTCCTGCCTGCCTCTGGGTGGTGATGGGTTAAACCAAAGATGCACCACAATAAATACCCAATATAGTATTTAAATATCAACAGGTCACTCATTCCGACAGTATTGGAAATCTGTTTTTTGTTAGTTTTTTTGTGTGGGTTTTTTTTTTTTTTTGCCATTCCATTACTTAGTCTACAGAGGCAGCTCCATTCAAGGTTCATACTAAAAAGAACAGTCAGAGCCTGGGAAAGATGTTTTGCTAATCAGCAACAACCGGTGCTTTAGAAATTTCTGTTAAAATCAAATGAAGTCAAAGATCTAAAATGAGTCACTGTTTAAATTGGTTTGCAGGTGCTCTCTCAACCCCAGCATTTTTAAATCAATCACATCACTTTTTGTTCTCCCTGAACCTATGATATTTAAGGGCACTTCATTTGCATTATGCCAACTGAATCTCCACCATATTGACATTCTTGATTATGCTCTCCAAAGAGTACTATCACCTTCACGAAACCAAAACAACACAAAAACAACAGGTGGCATTTTATTTCCTTCTCCAACCCATACATTATTTTCTTCACCACTTGAAAGCCTGTAGTTTATTTTAAAGGCCTGTAGCCCAAACCCTGTAAATGTACATACAAACAAAAGCACTCATTTTTATTCTTTCCATCTGCCTCTTTAAAATGCATAAATCCCAATCAATATGTGTTTCCAGTTGTGGTAACAAGAAAAAAATGAATACATGTAACAACTTCAAGCAATTTGGTGGAAATGATAACTGCAAATAAGGTGGAATATGGGCAATGGGTTTCATCAACTCTTTGCAGTTCTCCTGCTTTCAAAAGCTGTTAAATGCTGAAAAATAATTTTAAAAATCTACCAACCTCGTGAGTTGTCTGCTGAGTACAAAAAACGTTTAAATCTTTTTTCAGCCTGCTTGTTAGGTTTTCTATCCATCCGGGCCCAAAGGTATGGCTGTCCTGTAGTTTTGAAATCAGAACAAAATTTACATCAGGCTTTCTTACTTAAACTGCAAGACATATCCTTCTAAAAAATTCTATGTATACTGATCTTATTATTCCTTTTAAATATTTATATATGTACTGTCTTTTTAAAAATAATACCATGATAAATCATACACAAATGCACAAAGCACAATACACACATTTGTTGTTGAAGGGTTTTATGGCCAGAATCACTAGGTTGCTGTGCATTTTCTGGGCTCTATGGCCATGTTCCAGGAGCATTCTCTCCTGATGTTTCGCCCACATCTATGGCAGGCATCCTCAAAGATTGTGAGGTCTGACCTCACAACCTTTGAGGGTGACTGCCATAGATGTGGATGAAACGTCAGGAGAGAATGCTTCTGGAACATGGCCATACAGCCCAGAAAACTCACAGCAATCCAATACACACATTGTTCTAGAAGTAAATGCTTCAACTAAACAAAAAGTGGCTCAAATATTTTTTCCATTTTTGGTTATGAAATCAAGAAGAGTATTTTGATGGATCATTATATAATGTCACATAAAGTTGTAGATATTTTGTAAAATAGTTGAGTAAGTGATCCTAGAGTAAAACTTCACCAAAGTTAAACAAATGAGTCCTAGAGATTTCAGTGGAAGTACTACTACGTATTTGCTTGAAGTCTAGTTCTATGCACAATACACTCACTAACTTCCATGGGATTTACTCCCAAGTAAGTATACATTTGGGGCCGTGGTGGCACAGTGAGTTAAACCACTAAGCTGCAGAACTTGCTGACCAGGATGGGGGTGAGCTTCTGTTGTTATCCCCAGCTTCGGCCAACCTAGCAGTTATAAAACATGCAAATGTGAGTAGATCAATAAGTACTGCTTCGGCGGGAAGGTAACGGCGCTCCATGCAGTCATGTCGGCCACATGACCTTGGAGGTGGAAGCTCTTCGGCTTAAAAATGGAGATGAACACCACCCCCCCAGAGCCGGACTCGACTAGACTTAATGTCAAGGGGAAACCTTTACCTTTAAGTATACCTTGTAACAATGTATGACTTCAGCTAAACTGTGGTTTTTATTTTTGTATAATCTCAATTGTTCAAGGGCAAATATTTATCAGTTTGGCAGTATTATTTCATCTCCAAATTACTTATTGCTATATCTTATAGATTTACTCAGAATGGACAATTCTAAAATGTGTTCCATCTCCGTAAGACCAGTGCTGTAACACTGAAATACCTGTAGCTTAATAGAGGCAATTTGGAGGAAAAGGTCACAGGATTAATGATTGCTACAATGCCTCTTGATCAAGCATTACACAATTAAGATTGCAAAGAATGGCAGAGTCTGCAATGAGAAGTCCCCTGCCACATCACACAAGTTTCATTTTAAAAACGATTTCAATGTGGTGAGCAGTAATACTCAAAATAAAATTTCTGGTGGAAATTGATTTGATGGGGTTTGAACTTGAGCTGAACCTCTCTCACACACTATTCTTCCATTGTTTTTAATAATCAGTACAAACATAAAATCCTATGAAACACAAATAGATAATACTACAGAATGTTCTTCTCTTTTTATTTGTGGTAGTTAAAAGGACAGCTAAATCCTGTGCACTATTCACATTATCCAATAATAGCAATATACTTCCACTATAACTGTCATAGTTCTATCCATGCAATCCTGAGATTTCTAGTTAAGGGGGGATCATTTAAAATTGTCAAGCATAGATTTCTGTGTTTCATCAAAGTACAAACCCCAGGATTCCACAGGGCAGAAACATGGCAGTTAAAGTGGAATAAAACTGCTAGAATTCTGTAGCGTGAACAGCTTGAAATTAAAACAACTAAAGACTGACACAATAATCCATGAAATGTGTTTGTGTGTGTATGTTTGTGTATGTGTGTTTTCAGTACAGGGAGCCCTCTGTCCACTGAGGTCTTGCTCCAAGAGCCCCTTCCCTTGGAAACCACAATCCATGGACATTCAAGTTTAATCATATGCAATGGCATAGGAAAATGTTGTCCCTTATATAAATGGCTAAACCCTCAAATGTTAGATAAAGTCTGAGAATATAAAATGGTGGAAGGCTATAGCAGGACACATCAGCATAGTGCTTAATGCATGGCAAAATCAAGGTTTGCTATTAAAAATATTTGTCCATGTTTAATTCAAAATTTTAACAGGAAAAACACAAATAAAAGAGAACAATATACTTGAACAACAATCACATAACCACACAATTTCTGTAACCAACATATATCTCTACTCCAATTAAATATAAATAAAATATACAAGTATATATACATTATTTAGTTTAAAAAGAGAATGTAAACTATAGAGAAACTGGCAAAAGAGAAGCAGAAAATCCTCAATCTAAGAAATGAGCTGGGGTTGGTTGAATTGATGGATGTAGAACTTAGGGATGCAGAGGACAAACTGTATTCAATTCTATAACAACATGGTGCAGTTCTTTTAAGGTTGTGTTGATCACAGCCTTAAGTATCAATGCAAGAAAGTGGCAACACAATCACCTACAAACTTAGGATGTTTTGGAGAGAACTACTTATGGTTGTTGCTCACATAAATAGAATAACAGAATTGAAAGAGACCACATGGGCCATCCAGTCAAACCCCCTACCATGCAGGAAAAACACAATCAAAGCACCCGCAACAGATGGCCATCCAGCCTCTGTTTGAAAGTGCCCAAACATGGACCCATTACCACACTGAGGCAGTGAGTTCCACTGTTGTACAGCTGTCATTGTCAGGAATATCCTTTCTTGTAATTTGAACCAATAGGTCTGAGTCCCAGTCTCCAAAGCAAAGGAAAACAAGCCTGTTCACTCTGATTTATGACATGTTTTCAAATATTTAAACATGCTGATCATGTCTCCTCTCAATCTTCTCTTTTGCAGGTTAAACATAGCTGTTCCCCAAAGGGCATGGTTTCAACCTTTAATCATTTTAGTTGCTCTCCACTGTACATGCTCAACCCCTCTCGGGGCACATCTATATGGACCATTTAATGTGGATTGAGGGCAATGCTTAATTGACACACAGGAAGAATGCAAAGAGGAACATGAATGAACAGGCCGCAATACTGCAGATTCTGGAACCGGATCAGAATGTACTTCTCTGGCACATAAAAGCACTTCCCAGGTCACAATCTGGTTCCTGTGCTTGAGGTATGACCGGTTGCATGTTTGAATTACTTCATCTTCTGCCCACATTAAGTGATCAGTGGAGATGTGCCCACAGCTAGCCTTCATTCCTGATCACAAACAGAGGCCTAGCACTATCCCTATGATAGCTCCCTTTGCTGCTCATAATAACCAAACCTTGAACAAAATGTAACTTTTGATTGAAAGTTTCTTAACACATTACCTTTATATGTTGTTATGTAACAGCAAGTTCCGTCCACTTTTTCCGTTGGCATGGCATTGTATATATCTGCATCCAACGCCTTTTGATTAATCGTTTCAGTGGCCAACACTTTAAAAGGCTGAGAGTCAGGGAAAATAATTAAATATTGTTTTAAAAACACGTTTTGTTTCTTCAAGGAACATAGCAGGTAACATGGAGCCAAAGTAAGAAAACAACTCCCAACCTTGTGATGACAGATTACAACTCTCAATACCAATTTACCAAAGGAGTAAAATCAAATTCCACATGAATTTTTCCCCCAAAGGTGGCATAACAGGAAAGCAATATGCTTTTTGATGTGTTACAGAATCCTAAAAGGTACTATATCCATGGCAACAAGGATTCCATGCATCATATATGAAGGGAGCAGCAGTTGCTCTCAAGCTTCAGTTTGAAATGAGAAACCACACACTGTCAGCAAACTAATGGTAAGTAGTTGGATCTATCCCTTTAACATTATGAGGATACGGCAACAAAGAACACTGCAGCCTGAAAAACATGCTTGCCCAAATTAAACCTGTCTTGATTGAATAAGACTAAGCATAGGAAAAACAACAGAGTGCCAATGACAGCTACAGTACTTTTACATCAAGTCTTTGATCAACTTTACAAAAGATTGGAACAATGATGGGGTCATGTGTCTATTGTAGGATTTATGAATTAGAAGAGTTTTGCCAAAGGTAAAAGTCTGGTTATACAATATCATTGAATGGGAGTAAAATAACAGGGATAAAAACCATCCAAGTAAGTGAATATGACAAGAATATTGTGTCTCCAGCATATTTATTTTTACACATGAACCAACTTTTGACAAATCCAAAATGCTCCAAAATGCTCCATAGGGGTGAATGAGACCATGGCACCTCCACTTTCTGATGTTTCAGCATATGCAAACTTTATTTCATGCATAAAATTCTTAAACACATGGCACACAAAAGGACCTCCAGGCTATTTGTACAAGCCGTATATGAAATAGAAAAATGAAAATTCATGTTTAGACATGGGTCTATTCTGTAAATGCCAGTCTTAACCATTTTATTATTTTGTGTCTGTGTTTTAAAAGTCGTATGTCTTTATCTATATATTTTAACTTGCCTCAAGCCTGGAGTGGCTCGTTACAAATAATAATAAGGTACTGTTCCATTATCCAAGCGGAGGCCATTAGGGTGCACTAGAGAGAGAAGAGTATATTTTACAGGAGGGGAGTCAAAGGAGGAAAACCATTTTCCCCGTTCTCATTGGTTATTCCTCCCTTCCCATATTGTAAACAAGGGCTGTCTCCATGGCGGAGACATGGGTGGAGGGACTAACAGGAAAATGGGGGAAATAGTTTTACTCCATCAACCCATCCTCCACTCCCATAAAATGGACTATCCTTCCCTCTCTAGCTAGTGCCCCCTAGTGGCCTCCACCCAGATAATGAAATAGTACCAATAATTGGGTTGCTGTGAGATTTTTGGGCTGTATGGCCATGTTCCAGTAGCACTCTCTCCTGATGTTTCACCTGCATCTATGGCAGGCATCCTCAGAGGTTGGGAGGTCTGTTGAAAATGAGGCAGTGGGGTTTATATATTGGTGGAATGTCCAGGGTGGGAGAAAGAACTCTTGTCTGTTTGAGGCAAGTGTGAATGTTGCAACTGGCCAGCTTGATAGCCTTGCAGCTTCAAAGGCTGGCTGTTGCTGCCTGGGCGGGATCCCTTGGGGGTTTTTTTGGGGGGGGGGTGTTAACTGGCACTTGATTGATGGCTGTCTGGACCAATAATAATAATAATAATAATAATAATAATAATAATGCCTGAAGACCTTGGCCAGCACTTGAAAACAATTCCCACTGACAAAATTACCAGCTGTCCACTGCAAAAGGCCACCCTATTCAGATCTGCACTCATTATTCGCCGATACATCACATAGTCCTAGATAACCTGGGAAGTGTCTTGATGTGTGATCCAATACAAAAGCCAGCATAGTGATCTTGTTTGCTGTGTACTAATCTTGTTGTGTATCTAATCATCATCATCATCGTCATCATCTAGGGCAGGGATCCTCAAACTAAGACCCAAGGGCCAGATACAGCCCTCCAAGGTCATTTACCCGGCCCTCGCTCTGGGTCAAACTAAGTATGAAACAACTTGAAAGCACACAACAACAACAACAATCCTATGCTATCAGCCAAAAGCAGGCTCACACTTCCCATTGAAATACGAATAAGTTTATATTTGTTAAAATTGTTCTTCATTTTAATTATTGTATTGTTTGAAGTGGGGTTTTTTTTGCGCTACAAATAAGATATGTGCAGTGTGCACAGGAATTCATTCATGCTTTTTTCAAATTATAATCCGACCCTCCAACAGTTTGAGGGACTGTGACCTGGCCCTCTGTTTAAAAGGTTTGAGGTCCCCTGATCTAGGGGGTGGGGAAGGAGAAATAAAAAAGCTTCTGGTCCCAAGCATTTTCAACCTTAGAATCATAGAGTAACAGAGTTGGAATAGACCACATGGGCTAACTAGTCCAACCCCCTGCCATGCACAATCAAAGTACCCCCGACAGATGGCCACCCTGCCTCTGCTTAAAAGTTTCCAAGGAATGAGTTCCCACGACCCTCCAAAGCAGAGAGTTCCATTGTTGAACAGCACCTATGGTCAAGAAGTTCATCCTAATGTTCCTTTCCTGTAAATAGAACCTATTCAGTTCAAGTTTAAAGGCGAACAGAAAACAAGACCGCTCCCTCTTCCTTATGACACCCTTTCACGTATTTATACATGGCTATCATTTCTCCTCTCAACTTTCTCATCTGCAGGCTAAATATACCCAGCTCTTTAAGCCGCTCCTCATAGGGCATGGTGTCCAGGCCTTTGATCATTTTAGTCACCCTCCTCTGGACACCTTCCAGCTTGTCAATGTCTCTTTGAAACTGTGGTGCCAAGATTTGGACTGTTTTCCAATTATGTGAGGTCTAACCAAAGCAGAATACAAGGGCACCATGACTTCCTTCAATCTAGGCCAGGCCTGGGCAAATTTGGGCCTTCCAGGTGTTTTGGACTTCAACTCCCACAATTCCTAACAGCCGGTAGGCTGTTAGGAATTGTGGGAGTTAAAGTCCAAAACACTTGGAAGGCCCAAATTTGCCCAGGCCTGGCCTAGATGCACTTTAAAGCCTCATTTCCTTTAGTGGCTGCTGAAAGGGGCGCGCGTTGGCTCCTTCCTTCCCTGCCTCACCTGGTGCTCCCTCTTGGCCGAGGGCTCCTCCCTCACCTCCGTCACAAACAGGCAGGGCACCTTCTGCTGCACGGAGCCCAGCGGGAGGCTCATGGCCCCGCGCCTCGCCGCCCCACAATTCAGCGCCCCGCTCCAGACGTTCGATAGCGACAGCCCCGCGGCCTCACCAAGCGGCAGCCATGCGAGGCCTGGGCGAAAGGCCTGCTGGGAAATGTAGTTCGGGAGCGAGGAGACACCTGAGAGAAAAGAGTTCGGCTCGGAAGGCTTTGAAGCCACTCGTTGCGTAATCAGGCCACTTGTGAATTGCACTAGCTGTGGAGTGCTAGTTTTACGAGGTCTTCAGCCATCCCTGCTTGCCCCTCATTAAACTAGGACTCCCAGAGCTCTATAGTATTGAGCCATGGCAGATCAAGCGTTGTCAAACTTCATTAATTGTACAATGTAGATCAGGCAGCTTCAAACTGCGGCCCTCCAGCTGTTTGGGTCTCCAATAATAATAATAAACTGTATTTAATATCCCGCTACCATCTCCCCAATGGGGACTCGGGGCGGCTTACATGAGGCCAAGCCCAACAGCATAATACAATAAAAGTAAATCCAAAACAATAAACAGTAAAATACATACAACGTATGAGTACAAAAACGATGAAGCAAAATCATACACAATAAGATAAAATAGCATAACAATGAGCAGGCTGCATGTGCAAGATAAAAACTAAGGCGCTAAAACATACTAAAATCAGGATGAGATAGGGATGGAGCAGATTGTTTGTGAGGGAGGAACTCATAATGGAACGGGATCATAAATCTAGGCCTTCATACAAGTAGGGAAACAACAAAAACTGTTGAGAGGAGCAACTGTGTATGATAATATGGCTACTCTCCAAAAGCGCATCGGAAAACCAGGTTTTGAGATCCCTCTTGAAAATTCCTAAGGTTCCAAAGTCGGGGGGCCACAGGGGAGAAGGCTCTCCCTTGTGCTTACAAGATGAGCCTGTGACAATGGCAAGGGCCAAAGGAGAGCCTCCCCCTCAAGATCTAAGACAGGGGTCCTCAAAGTAAGGCCCGGGGGCCGGATATGGCCCTCCAAGGTCATTTACCTGGCCCTCGCTCAGGGCAACCTAAGTCTGAAACAACATGAAAGTAGACAACAACAACAACAACAACAACAACAATCATATCTCATCAACCTTTTGGCAGACCCACACTTCCCACTGAAATACTAATAAGCTTGTATTTATAATAATAATAATAATAATAATAATAATAATAATAATAATAATAACCCTTTATTTGTACCCCGCTACCATCTCCCCAAGGGACTCGGTGAGGCTTACATGAGCCTGAGCCCGAACACAACAATACAAGTAATTAAAATAAAAAAATAAATAAACATATAACATTATCAATAAGGCAACATACAATTAAAAACTGCGGGAAGGCCAAATGTAAAATTAAAATTGGAAATAGTGCTGAAACATGGACGAAAAGGTGATAGTGGCGTTTGTGGAAAGACATACGAGCAGACCTAAAAATGTAAAGTGCTTTAGAGGGACAAAGTGCTAAGAGATCATTATTCCGGGAAGGCACACTTGTTAAAATTGTTCTTCATTTTAATAACTGTATTGTTTTTAAGTATTTTTTGCACTACAAATTAGATATACACAGTGTGCATAGGAATTCATTCATTGTTTGTTTGTTTTTTCAAATTATAATCTGGCCCTCCAACAGTTTGAGGGACTGTGACCTGGCCCTCTGTTGAAAACGTTTGAGGACCCCTGATCGAAGAGCTCGGGCTGGTTCATGGAGAGAGATCCAGTCACAAAGGTAGGCGGGTCCCGAACCATTTAGGGCTTGATAGGTGATAACCTGCACCTTGAATTGGGACCGGAAGACAAACTCCTTAAACAGGGGAGTTGACCTTTCCCTGTAATTGGTCCCAGTTATTAATCTGGCCGCTGCACGTTGGACGAGTTGTAATTTCCGGGCCGTCTTCAAGGGTAGCCCCACATAGAGTGCATTGCAGTAATCCAGTCTAGAGGTAACTAAGGCATGGACCACCATGGTCAAGTCAGACTTCACGAGGTATGGTCGTAGTTGGTGCACGAGTTTTAATTGTGTGAAGGCTCTCCCAGCCACCGGCGACACCTGCGCATCTAGCGTCAGCGTTGAGTCCAGGAGAACCCCCAAACTACGTACCTTTGACTTCAAGGGGAATGCGACCCCATCCAGTACAGGTTGCTACCCAGTACCCTGGTCAAACGAGCGATTGACCTGGAGGACATCTGTCTTGTCAGGATTGATCCACAGCTTGTTTGTCCTCATCCAGATCGTCACAGCAGCCAGGCACTGGTCCAGTATCTGAGGGGCTTCCTTGGAATCTGGTGGAAATGAGTAGTGGAGTTGGGTGTCATCTGCGTAGTGATGGCACCGTACTCCAAAACTCCGGATGACCTCTCCCAGCGGTTTCATGTAGATATTGAATAGCATGGGGGACAGAATAGAACCTTGCGGGACCCCACAGGTCAATGGCCAGGGGTCCAAGCAGGAGTCCCCCAGCTTCACCGACTGGAAACGACCCTCCAGGAAAAACCGGGGCCATAGCCACAGACCGGAGCCAACTCAAGTCACTCCTGACACACACGCACACACAAATCAGAGGTTGGATGGTCTTCTGTCAGGGGTGCTTTGAATGCGATTTTCCTGCTTCTTTCAGGAGGTTGGACTGAATGGTCCACGAGGTCTCTTCCAGCTCTAGAATTATATGATTCTATGAAAGTCTAATGAAGTCTGAGCTCTGTGCTCATCTCAGAGATGATCATGTGGTCTGCAGCCCCTCCCAAAAGTTATCAGGAAAAATAGATCAAGGAAAGAAAGCAGCAAATAGAACATACATACAATCAGTAAGCAACAGTATGATATACAAACAAATTACTAGAGTTTTGAAGAAGGTTGTGATCTCCAACAATCCCCCTTGAGGTCTTGGCTATAAATAATAATAATAATAATAATAATAATTATTATTATTTATTTATTTATTTATTATCTGCCTCGCCTCAGGGCTTCAGAAAGGGCACAACCTAGTTAAAATATATTATCATCATAAAGTGCATATATTATTAAAACATACTTTATAACATACACATATTTAAATACATTTATTTATTTATTTATTTATTTACTTTGCTTATATACCGCTGTTCTCAGCCCAGGGGCAACTCACAGCGGTGTACAACATAGGAAGAACAGAATTCAAGACACAATCCATCATTATACAAAAAACATCATCATTACTATGAAAACCATTCAGTGTCGTCTCATCGTCCAAACCACAATCCAGTATCATTTTCTGTTGTTCCATTCCTATAGTCATTACCAATCATTGCACTTCTTGTTCGAACGCCTTCTTGAACAACCAAGTCTTTAATTTCCTGCGGAATATCATCAGGGAAGGGGCCAGTACATGGAACAAATATGAAAATACAATAGACATAGAATGTGAATTTAAAATTCATAGTTTAAAAACTGGGTAGGCCTCTCGGGTGGAATTCAAAACGATGGATGGTGTCAAGTTGTCACATTGCATATTGCAAAAAGTGGGTGCTAGAAACAATATCGTACAAAAGTTGACTGGTACAACCTGGGGATCACAACCAGACACAGTGAAGACATCTGCCTTTCTGCTTTGCTACTCTGCTGCTGAATACGATGCCCAGTGTGGAATTCATCTCACCATGTTAAAACAGTGGATTTGGCTCTTAATGGGACATTCCACATTATCACAGGATGTCTATGCCCAACACCACTGGAGAAATTGTATTGTTTAGCCGAAATTGCACCACCTAACATCCGCCGGGAAGTAGCAGCTTGTAATGAAAAAACCAAGGCATTGACATCTCCGGCCCATTCTCTTTGGATATCAGCCAGCAAGCCAATACCTTAAATCAAGAAACAGCTTCCTAAGATCCACAAAGATACTCGCAGGAACACCTCAGCAAGTGAGAGTCCAAAAGTGGCAGGTTATAACCTGGAACCACAATCAGTGGCTGAGATCGGATGAGAAACTCCCTATTGGGCGCACAGAAGACTGGACAACTTGGAAGGCGCTGAACAGACTGCAATCTGGTATCACAAGATGCAAAGCTAACCTTAAGAAATGGGGTCCAAGACATGCAAGTGCAAAGAGCAAACCACAGACCACTTACTACAATGCAGTCTGAGCCCTGCCAAATGCACAGTGAGGACCTTCTTACAGCCACACAAGAGGCACTCCAAGTGGCCAGCTTCTGGTCAGTGAGAAATTTAGTATAATGCCAAGTTTCTGACTGTGTTTGTGGTTTTTCTATACATTATAACTGTGTTCCCAATTTGCTTCGGACACAATAAATAAATACAATAAATAAATAGCATATTAAAAAATACATAGTTAAAATCAATAAAACCATTAAACAAATTTATTAAACTACATAGTTAGCCGGCTACACACATCACTTATACCAAAATATATATTTATTGAAAGTTTTTATAATTAACGTATAATAAAAATATGGACTATTAGGTATATTGGAGAAGGGAAAGTGGGGCAGGACAAGGAAATGGGAATACGGGGTTGTGGGGACCTGGAACTATCTTGGTTTCCCAATCTTCTTCTTTATGTCATCCTCTTTTCTAGCATATGTATTTATTTTATACTTCCCTCTTTCTCTTAGTCTATCATCGAGTCCTTTTTTCATTGTTTCCTCCTTTTAATTTCATACTTTATCTCCCTCTATTGCATACTCATATAGTTTTAAACAATTTCCAGTCTGTTCGTGTCTGTATGTTCTTTCAATAGAAATGTCAGCCTGTCCACTTATACCAAATTCTGAACCTACAGAAGCATATTTTCCTGGCTTCTCTATGATTTCTATAATATAGCATCAAGCAGCTAATCATCAACTGATGTATAAACAAATGTAAGTAAGTCCCCAAATATTTATCTGTGCATTGACATATTCTTTTCTATATTGCCCTGCAATAATTTTGAAAAACCAGCCTTTTCCCAGTTTCAGATACTTCAGAGATGTGTTCATATTATTTTGCAGAGTGTATTTATATTTTAATGTGTTGCATTGTATTTTAGCTAGTTACTTTTGGATTGACTGTGTAATTCATCTTATATACAGCATGTCTTTATGTTATTTGTTAATTTCAGTAACTGAAGCAAAGCTCAGAAACACTGTTCTTGTGCTTGAAATCAGAGTGCAAGTGTTTTAGAGAAATGTTTGCCTTATAAAATAATATTGAAAGGGTTATACTACAGTATTTATACAACAGAATCGGTTTTCTCATTTTCTGTTACTAAGCACTTCTTGTACATGTATCATAAAATAAATGTACTTCTTCACCTGTGCCAGACATGTGTACAGTTAGTGTTGTCTAAAATATATCCACAATCTGCAGTTTCAATTTAATAAAATTAACCTTTTCCTTTTTCAGATGACATCTTCATGGTTTCATTTATGGAAGTAACATCTGGTGTCATTGATCTAACAGAACTGTTAAGGTAAACATGCTTGAAGAGGTTGCAGAAACAATAATAATTATTGTAATTGGTAGTATTCCTTGTTTCCCTCTCTTCTGACAATGAGGATTTGTCTGCCTTTAAAATAGGCAATTTCTTTCAAATACTTTTTAAAAATTACATTCATTGCATAGGCACAATAAATAATCCAAAAGAAAGAACAGGTACATTTCAGGAAGAGTTAGTTCCAGAGCAACGGGAATCATGACAATTGAGAACTTGCTTGCCTGAATTTTTTATTTTACAAAAGCAAGGCTTATTCCTAAGTAAGTGGATATATAGGATTGCATTTTGAGCACCTTTTGCAATCCAAATTCCAATTCAAATGTGTAGCCATACCTGAGTGGAAACCTATCCCTACTCCCACAGGTATATTCGCTAGTCAAATAACATCCTAATGTCTTTTTCTAAAGCCCAGCTAAAACCTAGGTTTACTAAGTCAGAAAGTCACAATCTACACAGACATGGCAAACATTCAATGCCATAGACGCACACCATATATAGACAGAGACACAGAGGCTATTTAACTTTCCAGCTTCATGAGGGTATGCTTTTTGAATTTCAGCCACCAGGGGAGCTGTCGCTTCACCATCCATTTGTGACACTTTGGCTTTAAGACCAAGAGAGAGAGAGACCAAGGTGGGGGGAGGCTATGGCCCTGTTACTACTGGCTTTGTGCAGAAAACCTGAATAGCTATTTGGGAGAAGATAGCAAGAGCCTTTCCTTTTCCAACTTTTCTGCCATTCAGGAATATTTAATATAACATCCTGAACAGGTGAAAGGGGATAAGTTGTCCTTCTTCCCCTCATATGATCAAGCGTCTTCAACAAAGTTGAGAATTTTTGCTGGTCCCCACTGACAACAACATTGGATTCCCATATATAATGTTGCTGGTCCCCACACACAGTTGGTGCAGAGATAGATCTGTCAGTAGCAGTGACAAGAAGCAAGCCCAGGAGGCAAAAACATTGGGGATGGACAGAAGGAATGTGTGACTTGCCCCACTTCTGTGTGTGTGCATCTGTCAATTTTATGAGTTACCTCTTAATTGAGAAGTGTATACATGCATTAAAGCGATAAAATGAACAGACTGTACGGAAATTGCTATCCTCTTCCAGTTTTGAAAGAAATAGAAGTGATAGAAATGAGCTTGGAGAAGTTTTATGAGGTCCTTTGTGATGATGTCATAAGAACTAAGGTAACAATGAAAGAAATTCTGGAAGTTTGAGGTTGCACACTATCTAGCAACCACTTCCAATTGATGAGCACTTCAACAGACCTGGAGAAGGTACCATCTGTTTTACAATTATATTAAGTAGTCTTTTGAGTAGAACTATCAACTGGAAGTCTCCCTTTAAGAGGAAATAGAACGTAGATCCTGAATACAGCTGTATTTAGAACAAAAGGGAGTGTTCTTCCCTTACATGTTGATAATTCTTTACATTTATATTGAGACTTTTCTAAGGCAGTGGAGTAGAAGCACAAGAGGTATCAATGGCAGAAGCTGGGGATGACTGCTCTTTCTATTTTCATTCCACCTGTATAAAGGTAAATATTACAGAGTTTATGATGGCTTGCATCTGATATATCGTTATGCACTCCCAACTTTCTAAATCAGGAGTAAATCAATGAAGAGTGCCACAGAGATTAGAATACAATCCTGAAGTCTCGTAGCCAACACAAGTATCCCTTTAGCCACTTGCAATCCCTGTACTTAATCTCTTTCTGAGGAAAACCAGTTTCATTGATCTGAGTAGGAGACAAAATGATGGCTTCAACACAGCCTGTTCTGCAAAGCCTAAGCAAGTTGTCTTCCGGTATGATGGAGGACACTCTTCCATCACTAGGGTACAAAGCACATTCAGCTATTACTGTGGCTGACTTCTATATATGAAATAAATATGTGTGCTATTTTTGCATTGCCTCAAGAAGCAGAATGCTCTGGACTGCTCTTAAAGAGAGCAAGGAAACCCGTGTTGCTTCACCGTGCAATCAGAATGCCATTGTGGAAAAAGAACTCTAGTCTGCCATAAGCATCTTGATCTTTTCGTTTGGAAAACAGCTACTGAATACATTTCCTCTGATGAGTTGTCCTTCTCTTTGCCTTGTAACTGAGCAGAAATTCATGTCTATGTGATTCCAACTAGGTACATTTCCAGTCAGATATTCTCTGTGAATTAAAACGACGATTTGTGTGGACCACCTGTACTATACGTACATTTCACAAAGTTCCTTGAATTTTTTGCAAGTTTTTGAATAGATATCTTTTTTTTCCTTTTATCTTGGCTGGTCTTGCACTTGGTTCTGGCTTGGAGATAATTTTTGGTCTAAACGTCAAATCTCTAGTTTATATGCTGGGGAAGATGTTGTTGTGTCAGTTGCCAGTAGTTTTTCCTTTCTGTCCATTTCCCCGTTGTTGTTTTTTATTGAGCAAAATGTCCAACCAAGACAAAGGGATTCTTCTATTATTCACATTGTTAGATTCTGCTTTTGAGCCCATCAAATGTAGATGACTAAACCCATCCAGTAAGACCTTCATAGGATGTAGTTAAAGAATCTGTGGATTTATGGGTATAAGTTGCATGTGCTGCCTTTGCAGCTAACAGACTTCAAGTGCAAATGTCAAATATTATTGGGACAATTTTTAAACCAATTAATTGTGAGGGTTCTAAGAAAAAAATGAAAAGAGAGGGGAAGACATAACATTATTATATTTGTTAACTGTCAAAAGACAGTTGCTATATCAAGGTTGGACTATTATGCCCTATAGATATTTTTAGACTGCAGTTTTCATATTCTTTGTGGTTTCCAATGATTGACTAGGGCTGATATTATTTTTTAGAGGGCCACAATTGCTCACTCCTTCCCTACAAACTCAGATGCATTGTGGGAGGAAGATAGCCCTGCTCTGCTGCAGGATTGCTGGTGGAAGACAGCTAGAAAGACAACCCTATGGATCTTATCACACTAGAGCAGTACTTTCCAAACTTTTCATGTTGGTAACACACTTTTTGGACATGCATCCTTTTGTGACACAGTGATTCAGTTTTGCTTGCAAACTTGAGATTAAACTAGCTCCTTATAAGAGTTTCATACAAAATCTATATGATATATGTGTGTGTGTGTTTCATATAATCTTTAATGTATAAATGCAGTTTGGAGTTTTTTTTCTTTAGACTCCTTATGTTCCACAGTTGATTCTTGTGTTGTTTTCTCTCTAGCCACTCCATATTGTTGATTACAAACAGTAGTGTTAGCAGATTTTCTTTTCTTAATTAGAAATTTCTCAATTTTAGTAGTAATTACTGCAGCTTAATCAACAATTGTGCAAATTATGAAAGTACCTACACTTCAACAGCACCGGCACTACACTTCTGTAGGGATTAAATTTCTCTGGAGATTTTAAAACAGAGGCTAGATAGCCATCCTGTGAGGCTTTGATTGTGCTTTTCCTGCCTGACTGAAGGGATTGGATTGGATACCCTTTGGAGGCCCATTTCTAACTTTAGTGAAACATAGACTGTCTGGGAATCTAGTGGAGTCTCCTTATCTGGATATCTGTTGAGATGGCTTTTTGATGTCTTCCTATCTGGTTGAAGGGAGTGGGACTAGATGTCCTTGAGAGTCTCCTCCTCCTCTCCAACACTCTCTTTCCAAGCAGCTGCCAGGCAGCCTTTGTTTGTGGGGCAGGGGAACATTTTTCATGCCATATATCTATGGACTACAGGCGGCACACTAGTGTTTCCTGACACACAGTTTGGAAAGTTCTGCATTAGAGCCTAAAGGGTAGACAAAGAGTATGTGTCCCATTTGAAATCCTATGACTGCCTCATGTAGAATTTGGTGGATTGTAGTTTAGGGAGGGACCTTTAAAATGCTCAGCCAGAGAGGACCTGGACCTCACTAAACTACAAACCTTCACCTGTGACAGTACTCCACAAATGGATGGAACATATTCTCCTTAGTTGGTGGCTAAAGAATGAGACTATAAATATGGTATGTTTTGATCAAAATTCAGGCAATATACAGGTTTGAATGTTGAAGTGGGACTTGGAGGAACCAAGATCCAAACCCCTGCTCAGCTGTCTACTGCGTATTTAATTTTATAATGGAGATAGCTTTCGCTACTGTCTGCTACGTATTTTGTATTGTTCTTTAACCCTTGATGTAAGCTGCTCTCAGTCCCTTTGGGAAGATGGGGTGGGGTACAAATAAATTATTATTATTATTATTATTATTATTATTATTATTATTCTGACACAAAACACAGTATGTTACAACAAATGAGATATATATGCTGGATTTCGTATCATAAAATCACAAGTCGAACACTTCCCAAGCGTGTGATGTATTTTTGAATGATGCCTGCAGATCCAAGTAAGGTGGCTTTTTACAGGTGACAGATCGTGATTTTGTCAATGTTTATTGTTTCCAAATGTCGGCTGAGATCAAATCACTTCTGAGATCAAATGACCACTGGGACCACTTGTACTGGTTTATGCCAGAGCCTTTGCAATTCGATTTTGAGGTCCTGATAACAGCTGAGTTTTTCTTGTTGTTTTTCCTCAATGCAACTGTCACCTGGTATGGCAACATCAATAATGCAAACTTTTTTTCTTTTCCACAATCGTGATGTCTGGTGTATTGTGTTCCAAAACTTTGTCAGTCTGGATTCGAAAGTCCCACACAGTATTTGTGTGTGTTCATTTTCCACTACCTTTGCAGGTTTATGATCCCACCAATTATTTACTGCTGGTAGTTGGTACTTGTGACATAAGTTCTAGTGAATCATTTGGGCCACAGAGTTGTGCCTCTGTTTGTAGTCCGTTTGTGCATTTTTCTTGTAGCAGCTGAGGATATGATCAATGTTTTCATCAGCTTCCTTGCACAGTCTGCATTTTGGGTCATCAGCTGATATCATTATTATTATTATTATTATTATTATTATTATTTATTGAAGCCCACCGGCTGACTTGATCAAGTCATATTCTCTCATCCTCAGAGGAAGGCAAAGGGAAATCACCCCTGCACAACTCTTGCAAGGAAAGTCCCATGATACATTTTACTAAGAATAATAAGAAAATGATCCCAAGCTTTATTCTTGGAATATAGCACTGTAATAGTGTTGTTCTTTTGGGACAAATGTAGCCATACTTTCTTACAAAAAATAATTTTAGCAAGTGGGAATTAGGAAGGCCTGTATTCTTCATTATGATCCAGCTCATGCTCTGCAACAGGGGTTCTCAAACTTTTTCAGCTGTGGAGCCCTTTTTGAAGGAAAGGTTTCTCTGGGAGCCCCAAGAAATGTTTATATATTGTGTGTGTGTGTGTGTGTATATAGATCAGGCATGAATAGAGCCTTTGGATACAGGGGCTGTATTGGACACGGCTCCGTGGAGCACACTGTGAGAATTGCTGCTTTACAATGATCAGTGATATTCCGATGCTTCCCAAATTTAGGTGAGTATGATGAGGGAGAAATTTTTCCTGGTTGTGCCATGTTTGTGGGATTCTCTCTCAAAGTAAGCTTGCTTCACACCAAGCTTGATGGATTTGTAGTGCTAGACAAGCACCTTTTTATTTGTTCACCCTTTCCAACAGGTAATTGAAGTGATTTGATATTTTATTTATTGTTTTATTGTTTTGCTGATTTTGATTGAGTTTTCCTAGCTGTCTAATTGCTTTTACATGGCATATTCTGTCAGTTGTGGAACCTAACTAATGACAGGGTAAAAACACATTTTGAACAAAGTGTGCTGCATGGCTGAGTTTTCAACCCCCTTTCTCTCTCTTCCCTTTTCAGGGATCAAAGTGTCGATTCCGTCATTGTGAAAAAGCTGTTGGCAGTGACACTGTGTGCTCATTATGGAGAGAGGGAAGATGTTCCCATCACCTTTGCAAATTTAGACATATGGAAATACAGGTAGACACGACAAGCTCTTTGAAGTGGCCTTCTCTTGAAGCAGAGCTATTATAAGCATTTACAGGCTGTCTTCCACCTCTGCTACTGCAAATGTGACATCTTAGCTTCACATCTGTGAAGCACAATGTTCCTTGTGACACTGAGGTACCACCTTTGGGAATAATCAGCCATCTTTTTATTGACTAAGATAGCACTAGTTTACACCTTTACCAAGCTTGAAAAGATGAATGAATTCATTGTATTTTAAGGATCTCTCTATGTGTACTTTAATTCAGCTTTCTGCTCTTATAACCCTTTTCTTTGAGCTATGGTAATGGAACATTTTATATCAGAGGGCACAGAGAGGAAACGTGTAATGTGTAATAAAATCCTGAATCTTATTAAAATTTTGTGGCAAGAGTAGTTTTTGGCTACAAAGAAGCCATGATTACTGTCAAAGGCATTTAAAGGGAACTGAGGAAAATGTTTCACTATAGGATGGTTCCAGCCCAGTCTACCTGTCCGAACTTATCACCCCTTATGAACCAGGTTGGGAACTAAAACTGTCTGGGGAGGCCCTGCTCTTGGTCCCACCTTTTTCACAAGCGTGGCTGGTGGGGATGAGAGACAGGGCCTTCTCAGTGGTGACCCCTTGGTTGGAACTCCCTCCCTAGTGACATCAGATCAGCCCCCTCTCTCCTATCCTTTAGAAGAAAAGATCTGGTGCAGGCTTTCGAAAAATAGGGCAGTGCAGTAATTTTCAATGTGAAATATGTGCAATTGACTATGGAATGGCCTTAGACCTTGATCCCTGGATGGCATGTTTTAACATTGAATGTATTTTAATTTTGTTATTGTGTTAGTAATTTCAATCTAAATCATTTTAAGTGTATTTTGTATGTTTTGAGGCACTGTTAGGTGCCAGCTGTAAGCCGCCTTGAGTCCCCCTCAGGGTAGAGAAAAGGTGGGATATTAAATAAATAAATACATAAAATAAATAAGACATATAGTCAAAACAGCCATTAATGGGAGGGAGGGAGGGAGGGAGGGAGAATAGCCTCAAGAATTGTCTTGCAAATGACCAAACTCTCACACAGAGGTATAGTTGGTAGATTCTACCATTGTCCTCAAGCCTGGCTGCAAACTATATCACAAGCAGAATGCGTTTGGGTTTGATTGAATTTTTGTCATATAATGTTATAGTGCAAAGATTAAAACATCTTTTCTATGTGGAGGTTTTTTTATTAGTGGGAAGACACTTTTGAATCTGGCCTACTTGTGAAAAGTGTATGTGTCCATTTCTTTGTTGATATCATTTTTAAGACCTACTGGCTAAACTTACGTTGAAAACAATCGGAAAGCTGGCCAGAACAATTTAGATCATGCTTGTAGACCACACATCTGTAGATCTCTGTTTTTGTCTCTGAAGGATTCAATAGAATTATTGGGTTTTTTTTTTTAACTTCCCATTTGCATAGTTTTGTTTCATGAACCCCATCCATGATTTTGTGTGGTATCTGGAAACCATTTAATTGGGAATCATTTCTGTCTTTTTTCCACAGCAAAAATACAACAAGATCTCATGTTTCTGGGAAACACAGCCTTTGGGCTGCGTGAGAATCAGTTGTGTCTTCCATCACAAGAAACCTCGTAATATAAATGGACTTTTTTTGCCACCCAGTAGTGGTGAGTACACATATTTTCTCCCTATTCTGTGAACTGAAATTGAACACTTAAAAGTGTAGGAATATTTGGTATCTCTGTATTAAACAAAGTGCAGCAAAACTATTGCAATATGAGCCTGTGGTAGAGACAGGAGTAATTACTCAAGATGCTCTTGTAAGGTTAAAAAAAAAAGAAAAGAAAATGTATATTTATTAACCGAGGAAATCCATCTTAGGAAAGGAAATATACAAGGAATATTGTCCTATATTTTGTTACATGAACCTATAAATACAGGGTCTCATGTTGCGATAAGCTACTATTTATCATTGGGTTTGGAGCTGCATAAATGTTCCTTTCCCAAACAAAGAGGATATCTAAAGGCACCTCACGATCTGTTTAGAAAATCCTAAGGTAGTATAAAGACTATTGAAGACTTTTAGACACATACATCATTCGTACGACTTCATCAGATGGCCAGTGGCAGGAGGCGTGGGGAATCCAGTGCCTCACATCGCACCTCACCTCACCAGCATTGCCCACCAGGAGGGTGATCACATGGGGGAAAGCGTGAGTGCGCAGCTTCCCCCCATAGATACAGGCAACACGGGAAGCCTCCCATGTTGCCACAATAGCGGTGGCATACTGGTTCCACCCTCCTTCACCCACAGAGCTGGCACAACATTGTTTTATGGGAGCTAGTTGACTCCATGGGTGACTGGGGCTAGATCAGCGTAAGCCGTCGATACTAGCCCCATATGATGAGGAAATGAAATGCCTTATCTCATGATGAGTGACAGAAATGTAAAGTATTCTTCACCCCTCTATCAATGAGCCAAACAATTTGTACATTAAAGGATTATGTATGAGTTATTTAAACATTACTACAGTTGAAAACTACTCATAAAACATTCTTTTTCCTCATGTCTTCTCTTTAGCCAATCATTATTGCAAGTGGGGCCAGGATTGTATTTTCACATGTCATTGGATTTTTTGTTTTTCTTTTTCTACTATGTAAGCTGATATGGCAGAAATTTTTAATCCATAACTTTAGTCCCCTTGATTTTGTTTCATTACTTATAATTATACATTATCATCACCCTACTGGATTGCAAACTCCTGCACAGTGCACCGTAATCTGAGTATGTTAACATGGCATTAAATTCCACTGAGGTCTAAGGATGAATCTACAGTGTAGAATTAATGCATCTTGACAACACTAACTGTTATGGCGCAAGGTCATGGAATCATGGGAGTTGTAATTTAATGAAGCACCAGCACTCTTTGGCAGAGAAGGTGAAAGACCTTGTAAAACTGCAGTTTTCATGTTACCATAGCATTAGACCAAGGCAGTTAAAGTGGTATCAAACTGCATTAGTCGTACTGTCTAGATGCATCCTAAAGCTTCCACATTGATGTTTTTAGTATTAGATGTTAAGAATGCATATCCTGCTGCTTGCATTAACTTTTGTGCTTTTCGTGAGCATATTGGATGACCTACACTCTCTTTAAATGCAAAATAACTATTTTAGGGGACCGTGATATGATTTGGCTATTTTTTTTAGTGATAATAAATATTAATGGCCACATGATCAATTTATCAATTAGTTTCAGACCTTGATATATTCCTTGACTCACATGCATCAGCAGCCATCGAAAGTTTCTATGGAAATCATTTTGGGGGATTCCAATATACAGATGTTATCCTGAAAGTAAAATAATATCTTGCCAGCTTCCTTCTATAACCTATAATTTTCTTAGACTGACTATTATAGGAGCATGTAAACATCCAGTATCTTTTCCTCATTACCAAATGTACCATGTGAAAGCTGGATTGACGAGAAAATGAAAAACAACAAGAATAAACCATGTATTATGTAACTTAAGGAGCTCCTATTTACATGTAGCCAAAAGATGGATATTTAATTTTATATTTAATTATGAGAGTATTGTTCTAATATAGAAAAAAAATTGCTCTATGAAAAAAATGCATGTAGAAAATATGGAGTTGAAATTGGAAAGAAATAATCTTGAGAATTTCAGAAAAAGATCTACATATGGATTACTGTCATATATTTTTCCTGGATTTTATCCCTTTATAACAGGCTCCATTTGTATTTTTACTTTAAAAGAGATAAAGACACTTTTTCTCAACTGTAACTTGGGAAAAAAGTGGTGGGAAATGTGGTTAAAAACTGTCGGAATGCAAGGATGACATCGTGCTTAGGGTCATCAAGGTAATGGATGTGGCATGCAAATAGTATGACTGTGTTTACAAAACAAGTGAAATGTTTTTGAAAGATATTTAGTGTAATTGTGTTTTATGATTTTGGCATTTTACTCAACAGTTTTATACTGAACTTTAAAGTTCCTTCCTGTAGATGCTACGTTACAAAAGGAAGTTGAGGAAGGGATTTTACATCTTGACCAAAAACAAGATTCCACAAAGGGTCAAGAAAATACATTAAGACCTATTCACCCACCATTGATTATTACCATCAGTCTTGAGGAAGATGACGAAGAAGAACAAGAAGAAAAATGTAAATACTTTATCAGATTTCTGTGTCTGCCTTTTCAGTGTTTCTAGACAACCAAATCCTCCTAGAAACAACTGCCCTAAAAACAAGGGTTTCTTGAAACACTAAATAATTCCTATGCTAACAGTAGGCCTTTCTGAGATCAGTTAAATTGTATTTACAAGGTCTTTCCAGGGCAAAATTTTATTAAAAATAAAATATATGTTGGTCCACACCTTCTCATTTGCATTCCAAAATGGAGTTAAGGAAAATTTTTGACGTTGGTAAAACTGCACTTTTCAGTTTAATGCTATTTTTAAAATAAATTGGAAATCAGTAAATTGGACTAAAATGGCTGCTTGAGCTATATCTGGGTTGTGGATCCAGACTTCTGATAATGAAACAGCCTAATGTAAAAATATATTTACATTATATATTACATCTGTCAGGAGTGCTTTGAATGCAGACTGGAATGCCCACGACGTCTCTTCCAACTCTATGATTCTATGATATATTTGTTTATCTAGCTTGTAAAAACCCTGACATTTGGGATTCTACAGATGAAAAATGAAATCTTCTCTTTTAAAGCCTCATGTAGTATTTCAGCGGTGAAAGTTCGGTTACAACATATTGTAAATGTGATTGTTTTGTATAGTGCTGGAAGAAATCTGATACACTTTCATTCAGATGGGTTTTTTTTTTAAATCTTTCTTACAGATGCATCTTATTTACTATCAAAGACACCAGAAGACATAGAAGAAGAAAGGGCAATAAAGGAGATGTGTTATAAATCTGGTAAGAATCTTATTAAAGATTTCCACCATTCCCCTTTCTTTTCTTTGTTGATATCACTGGTAATTTCTCTTCTTTGACTTCTTGGGGCTGTTTCAGGAGAATATTACAGAATTCAGACATCTCAGGAAAATCACTTAACAAAAAACAAAACACCGGGGCTAGAGAATGAATTCTTCAAACACATGGAAACTTGCAGAGATTTACAGGAAGGTAACTACTGGAGAAATAGAACTTTGAACAGAGAATGGTTTGAGTGTTTTATTTTTTTTTAAAAAAAAAGGATACGTAGAATTATTATTATTATTATTATTATTATTATTATTATTATTATTATATAACAATTTTAAACACATTTAAAAGGTGTATATGTGTGTGTAGGACCCCCTGATGGCACTGCTTAGTTGCTGAGCAGCCGCTGAGCTGCTCAACTTGCGGACCGAAAGGTTGGCAGTTCAAATCTGGGGAATGGGGTGAGCTCTCATTGTTAGGCCCAGTTTCTGCCAGCTTAGCAGTTCAAAAACATGCAAATGTGAGTAGATCAATAGGTACCACTTCTGTGGGAAGGTAACGGTGTTCCATGCAGTCATGCCGGTCACGTGACCTTGGAGGTATCTAAGGACAACGCTGCCTCTTTGGCTTAGAAATGTAGATAAGCACCATCCCCCAGAGTCAGACATGACTAGACTTAATGTCAGGGGAAACTTTTACCTTTACCTTATATGTGTGTGTGCATATATAATAACAAGGTTTTTAAATATATCTACACACACAAACATAAATACATGCATACATATATTGAAAATGTTGGATATCACGTTTCTTAGTGACTAGTAAGGTTCCTTGGTCCAATCTTTGGCATTTCCAGTGAAAAAAAACAGGGATCAGGTAATATGAGATCTACTGACAGTTTGAGAGCCAAGTCAGAATAAATAACACTAGAACTAAAAGCCAGTCTGAGAACCTCTGCAGCTGGTCTGAGTCCCTCTGCGGAGGTAGAGAAGGTTGGGATATAAAAGCTTTAAATAAATAAACAACTAGCTTTCCTTCTTTCTAATTATTTAAAACTGACAGCATTACTGATATATTCTTCTTGCTACAAATAATTACGAATGAGTCAAGTCAATTCAACACAATGCACCTTAGATCTGAATAAACGTGTATAGAACTGTGCTGCTGCGTTTTATCCTGGGCTATTTCAAGAAGTGTGTTGTTAAGGATTTGTACAGCTTGGGTGGGAAACAGAAAAGCCACATCACTCTATCTACCTTTAACAACTCATTTGGCCCATCTCTCAACTGATGAAGGAACTTTCAGTATATTATCGCTGGGAACTCCAACTACTATTCCCAGGAGGAGCAGTAAGTTGTTCATGATCAGACTGGAGCAAAATGTGTTGGCATGCAGGGATATTGACACTGCACAACTGAAACAAATGTGTCTTTAAACTGTAAAATAAAAAGGCTTGTTCGAAAAAAAAGATTGGCTTGTAGTCTCAAATAGGAGTAATGATGTGAAAAAGTGATGTTCCTGTTGCGGACAGCCCATTTTTAGACCTTTTGTTCCACCCAGCTCTCTTATTATATCATTAACTACAGTTCTGTCATCGCCTCATCAGAGGTTAAGATTTTGAAATTATGGGGATAAAATAAAATCAACATCTGACCCTAGTCACATTTGGCCCATTCATGTCCCACAGCCTTTGAAAAAGAAAGAATTAGAACACTGCAAAAGCTAAGAGGATTGGACTTCCTTGACACCCACATCTCCATTATACTTTATTATACTGTCATGATTTGAATTGCAGGACTAATATTTGCCTTCTGTGTTTTTTTACTACCTTGTTCAAGTCTTGTTTACTTATGGTATTAAATTATTATAAGGACAGTCCTAAGTAAAAGGTGCTTCGTCTGTACGTATTTTGGAAGAGACAAAACTACCTTGTGCCAGCTGAGCTACCCTTCTGCTGCTTTACCTGGTATTTGTCTGCACAAACATATTCTGCTGCATGATCTCTGTTGGCACAACTTCTCTGATAGCTGAGATCCATCAGAAGAGCTAAAAGAGTATGGTGTTGTATAGTGGGAGGATCTGAGTTATGCCAGAGTAAAATCTTCCCGGGCACAATATCAGGACAAAATTCACTAGGATAATAATTTCCAACATCCCCAGCATGAGACAAGTTTGAATTCAAATAAATTCAGCTGGCCCTTCAGCAAAGCTTTTTCTCAACCATCTTGCTGGGTTAGGATTGTTTTCTAAACTCATTTTGTGATGCCTAATTTGCAGATCAGGGATGAAGCAATGGCTTGCTAACTAATAATTTTGCAATACATGTGCAATGGAAAACTGTCTATTAAATAAAGTTTGAGTTCACTGATTACCTTATTTGCCCTTCCAGGTGATGGTGTTACAGTTCCATCAAAGTTTAACATTATTGAGCGCCAATCAGATATAGCATCATCTCTTGACAGTAACTATATACCTGATTTCAGTGCTTTTGAAAATGGAGGTAAGTATTTAGAAGATATATTCAGGTTTTCTTATTATAGAAAGGGGATTTGAATGGAAAAGTACAACATTTTGCACCAAAGTTACTTAAATAGTCCATCCACCATTATAGAGATAAGCTAATGTGCCTATATTAAGTCTATTCTTTATTTTTTTTTGCTCTCACGCATGGTAATCCTGTCCAGGTTTTTCAGGCTTCTCATATTACACTGAATATTGCCTATTTGCCTTTACTTCAATAACTTCTTTTAATAAAGAGAGCGAGAATTGGGATTTTTCGGATGTCAGAATGCTGTTCCCAATATCCAGTTCCATCCTTACACAGCAGAAAATACTCCAAAGATGCAATAGAGCAGGAGGAGGACAGTATTGGCATTTTTGGGGAGAAATGCAAACAAAAAATGTCTCTGGGCAGCAGCAAAGAAGTCACAGGATTTTATGTAATAAGTTCTTTAAGTGATGTTAGAGAACTCTTCCAATACAAAACTGAAACTTGTGTAGCCTTTTATAGATCAAGGAAGAGAGTGACCAATCAAGGGCTCTCCTACAAAATATATAAGGCACTTGTTTATTGTTAATTTATTAATACAAAAATGAAATTGCCTTTTCCTCTCCCTTCTATTTCTGAAAAAAATGGCTTGCCATTATTTTTTTCCTATTGGAAGACATCACAGTTCAATAATATATCGGACTGTGGAACTACTTCAGCATTCTATTTTGAAATGAAGAAACAGAGCCAAACCAAACCATGTATTTGTGCCAGAATCAATAACTCACCAACTTCTTTTTTAAAATGTTACCAACCTTTTTATTTTTTTCTAAATAAACCAAAAATATAAATTGTATCAGCTGTAGGGGATAACAGAACACACTATGGTTGAGATTGCACATTGAATTGGCAGAATGTAATGTTCCCCTTTTACAGTTCCACATACTGTTTCACCATTTGTCAGACCCTTAGACTAGTCTTTCCTGCTGCTGTAGAGGAAAGGGGAGGGGGAGGCCATTCTGAGTACGAAGAAACCCTTGGTCTTGCTGGGGTGGGCTGGAAAATGAGGGCAAGTAAGTAAGTAATTAGCTTTATTTTTATACCTCACCTCCATCTCCCTGAAGGGACTCGGGGTGGCTTACATGGGGCCAGGCCCAGTTGACAGTTAAAACATAACATGTACAAAACACAATAATCAATATAAAACAACAGTAGCAACATTATAACAACAATAAAACAAGCATCAGAAACAAAAACCAATAGAAAAGTTCAACCAACAATCAATAGTATAATAGGGAATGCACCCCAGTTTTTTTTTTCCATTGGGAGCTCAGAATTGTCTTTGACTACCCTCCCCTCACCACCAAGGAAAGGAAAGAGAACCCCCCAGAGCTGAAGATGAGCACCACCCCTCAGAGCCAGAAAGGAAAGCCTTTACCTTTATCTGTGTTTGTTGTTTCTGGGTATTGAATGTTTGCCTTTGTGTTTGTGTATGCTGGAATCCGCCCTGAGTCCCTTCGGGGAGATGGATGCGGGCTATAAGAATAACATTGCTGTTGTTGTTGTTGCTGTTGTTGTTGTTATTTTGCCATGATGATGATGATGATGATGATGATGATGATGATGATGATGATGATAATGTTATTCTTACATCTCGCACCCATCTCTCCGAAGGGACTCAGAGCGGCTTACACAAAGCACAGAGTGCCTAAAACAAGACATGACATAAAACACATTATAAAATACAATGGAATAAAGCATATGAACATATAACAACAAGATAAAACTCAGAAAAAAACAGCGCACATACATCAGTGGCAATAGCTAATGCAAACATAGCCAGGCTGTAAACAATAGGACTAGGGAATGGGAAAAAGTACAGAGCTGTAACCATAGGACATGGGCATGGCATAAAGTGCAAGGATGCATGACGAATTCATAGATCAACTAGGTGCTAGGCGTTCTCCAAAGCTTGTTTGAATAGCCAGGTCTTCAGGTCCCTATGGAAGGACCTGAAAGACAGTGTGGGGGCCTGCCTAATCTCCCTGGGGAGGATGTTCCAGAGCTGGGGGGCCATCACCATGAAGGTGCTCTCTCTCATCTCCACCAACTGTGCTTGAGCTGGTGGCGGGACTATTTCCTCCTCCTCCTCCTCCTCTTCCTCCTCCTCCTCCTCCTCCTCCTCCTCTCCTTCCCCGGGACTTGCTGTTTTTGATGGAGTGCAAGGTGCCAGAAAAATTCTCTGTCCAATCCAAAAGAGGCATACATTTGCATAAGCCAAACTTCATGCAAGTGTGTCATTAACACGATGCCACCCTCTTCCTCCAAGCCTCCAAAATTAGAAAAATACAAAGTTAAACCTTGGGTGGGGGTGTCATGTTTTTAAAGAAAAGGTTTCCTATTTTGAATAACTTCATTTGCAAGTTTTCTCTGTTTGGTTGTCCATTCCCCTTTTTGCTGGCTAATACATATGTTAATTTAGGTGTGTAGAAGACTACAGTTTATTTCTTTCTTTTGTGATTTTATATTTTTGTTTGTTTGTTAAATCTCTGATGTTCCCTGTCCCACAGGAGGTGATTGTTATTTTCCACACAGAAGTATATTTGTTGGTGAGATACAAAGCAAAATGTTCAGTGGAAAGAAAGCATTTACTGTGCTGAAGTGTTCCGATATTAAAGGTATTTAGAAATTGTGTCTCAATTGTGGAAATTTCCTTTTAAAAAGCACTTTTTTCCTATGCAATTTCAAAATACAATTTGGCACGTCATCTATTTGATTTATCCAATATGTTTTCAGAGACTTCGACTGCACTGGTGGTTAATTTCATTCACACTTAACACTCAGTTTGTTCTTTCCAGCTATGGCACATTCCATTCTCTTTGGTGCCAAATTAAACTCTTGGGTTCGGAAGGATCAGTGAGTTAATTACTATGCTCATTTTCTACTGTCCTATAGACTGTTTCAACTTTCCAAGACATTAGGAAAAGATTGTGTTGGGCAACACATCAGATGAGCTTGAGCTCTATATTGCATAGCTGGCTGACTTTCATAGCATATTTGAATTCGTGTAGTAATCTGCTGGATTATTATGTCATTTTTCACAACAAGTAATACCACAAAGACATCACTGTTAACCCAAATAGTCACATGGATATTTCATTGGGAGCAAAAATATTAATGTCTCTAAATAGTGTCAGCTCTAGGGCAGGGGAACCTTTTATGATTGGCACCACCGCTTCTTCACTGTTGCTACTGTCCATTTGCCTGCTTGTCCTTCTGAAGCAATCAGTGGCTGGGTGAGCTGGGTTTATTTTGTCTTCTCTGTGTTTTTGCCATGTCTATCACATTTGGGTAGCAAGTTGAGATATCTCATAGGTGCCCAGATGTTCACATTGGCCAGGAGTGTGCACCAGCTGCACTTATCCTTAAATATTCCTAGTGTAAGCATAATGATGCATGCCTTACTTACAACCCATTTGGATTCTGTAATGCACTTAGTGCAGGATGGCCTTCAAAAACATTAAGAAGCTTTAGCTGGTCCAACTTGCTATGGCCATGCTGTTGAACAGGGCCGGTTAAAGAAAACACAGGATTGCCTTGTTATACCATATTTACTGGATGTTGTTTGTTTTGGAACACAAGCCATAGCTAGCCATAACTTTAAAATCCCTGTGCATCTTCTGCCTATCTTGTTTAAAGGACCTATTTTCTCCTACATGAACTTGCCTGGCCCCTGAGATTTTCTTGAGTGGGATGGTAGTGAGGCTTTTCTCAGATCTATCATCCTTTGAGTAATGTTTGATGTGGGCATAGCTGATGGAAGGCCTTCCTTCTTTATGGCTCTTCCTGGACTGTGGAACTCCTTTCCAAGAGAGACCAGGTTGAATGCTGAACCCAGTCTCCCAGTGTCCTAGTCCAACACTCAAATCACCACAAAATATTCCCTCATTTAATAGTATTATTTATTTAATTATATTTTAAAGAATGTTTATAGAGAAAGTGATTTTTAAAGCTGTACTTCTGAACATAGTTCTTGGACCACATTCTAATTCACTGATGCAGCAAAGCAGGGCTCGCCTTGCCTTGCTAGACACATGTATTCCTTATTGTGTGCATATGTGTTCTGTGATTTGAGATGCATTTATTTTCCTTCTCATTGGTGTCAAACCAAACAACAGAATGATGTCAGTTTTGTTCTCTTTAGCTACAAACCATGTGGAAAGTATAAAGAAGCATCATTTTAAAGGAGTCAAGAAAAAGAAATGGATACCTGATGAATCCAAAAACATACCTATTCCTTTGACGACAAAAGGTATTTTGAGCAATCATTTTAATAGCTAATAAATGTAACTGGTCATGGTTTATTAAATGAGACTAACAGTTAAAAGAATTTGTCTCTGTTTTCAGAAGTGGGAAAACTCCAATGATCTGACTATTGGGTTGTTCCCAAGATCCTCTTGGATTGCACTGACTGTTTCGGTTTCAAACCTCAATACTCTTAAGAAGTGGTTCTAAAACTTTGGTCCTCCAGGAGTTTTTGACTTTAACTCCCAGTTGTCCCAGCCATCTTGGTTAGCGATCATGGGTTGTGGTCCTTCAATACATCCGGAACAGTAAAGTATGAAAACCCTGCTCTAGAGGAACATATCGAGGGAACACACCTTGTTCTAGAAAAAGAAACATTGCACTAGTTCAGGTATTGGCAAACTTCGGCCCTCCAGGTGTTTAGGACTTCATTTCCCACAATTCCTAACTGCCTACTGGTTGTTAAGAATTGTAGGAGTTGAAGTCCAAAAGGATGGTTACTGGTAGCTTCCAGAACTAGTGGTTCTCACTTTTGAGAGAAAAAAACTGATGGAATGTTAAAATAATAGAAAAGCAGTCTTTGGGTCCATATGCAGCCCATAGATTTCATGTTTTTATATTCCACTAATTCTGAAAAACCCATCAAATCCACCTAGCAATATTGATGTACAGGGGCAGTTGTAGTTGTAATCCAAAACTATCAAGGGGGCACATGTTCCCCAGTCCTTTGCTATAAAGTTAACAACACTAAGTAGCTTTTTGTACGTTTGGGGAAAATATTGATTCTTGTATTATTTCTTGCAGCAATGCATACTTCAAATCCTAAAAGTAAAGGGAATTCTCAACAAAATGATCAAAGCAAGAATGCTGAGAATGCTTCTTATGTTCCTTCTCAGAGAGCCAATGGGAGAAGCATATCCTTGAGTTCTGCCATGACTGGAAGGTCACCAAATCTGAACTATGGTAAAGTTGGTGTAGGCAAAGAATCCAAAACAAATTTAGCTACAGGTAAGAACCTAATTTCATAGAATCATTTGCTGATATTGGGGCTTTTTTTTTGTTGTTAACCAGATTGTGTTAGCTCAATTAGAAATAAATAACACAGTAAGTTTGCCTTCCTAAAGTATTTTCAGTTGATGCACCCATTATAAAATGTCATTGCTAGTTTCTGGGTGCATATTTTTCCTTTTAAAAAATGACATCAGGACACCTTATTCAGAGCTTCAGGCTTTAAACTATTTTTCTGTACTTTTAAGTATTATTGGTTGCTTTTTCTATGTAATAAACCTTTAATTGTGATTTTCAGTCAAGTAAACTGACCTGGAATAAATTAAAAGAAGTATAAAAGTGTTTTAAATAACTATTGGAAATGTTCTTTCCAATCCCACTGTCTGTAGTTAAATGTTTATAATGATACATAGGGTTAAGGGAAAAGGATAATTTATGCAAAATATATATCTTTTATTCAGAGTTGTAACCTGACTTGTTTATGTAATGTATATGAACATGTCTAAAGACTGGAACTGAAAAATCAAACAGTTGCAATTTATTTTAAAACATATTCCAGGTGTTAGTGGTTCTCTTCACACAGACTCACTAGAATAAACATTTTATTGGAGTCTTATTTAGATGATAATGAATTGTCTCTTGAGGCCAGTTCTGGTTGTAGTGAAGCATCCCTACTTGTTTAAGATGAACAACCACCAGTGAAGGTCTTTTTGCCTTTTTTTGAACTTCATGGGGATATTTTAGTAACTGCCATCAATAGCACATTGGAGAAGTCATGTGCTTCTGTGAGACAAGAGTCTAGGCTGATGGCAGCAATCCTGTTGGTAAGGTCTCCCATGTTGCTGAGGAGCCATACTGAATGGGCGAAACAGCTCCTAGGTAGCAGCAGTAGTAAAGTGTGTCACTGGTAAGATATTTCTCAGTGATAACGGTAGTCGGACCAAAACTGATGTAGTACTGTACAGAACAAGCCACAGTAAACCTCCTTTAGAATATATTTTTACCACAGAAGCCCTACAATGAAGCAATACACATTGAAATGAATTACAATTAACCTTATTTTGGATAGCTTGGCTCTGTAGAAGCCAAGATGACCAAACTGAAACTGTTGTACTTTGGCCGTATCATGACTCACTACAAAAGACAATAATGCTTGATGGTCTAGAAGTCATTAGGTAAAGGGAAAGATGGACTTAATCAAGGAAGCATACTTCAAGACCTGGCCGGGGCTCTTGATGACAGAGGAGCTTGGAAATCTCTCATTCATACAGTCTCTATGAGTTGAAATTGACTTGATGGCAGTTAACCACAAACAACTGTCCAAAGTATAAGAACTATCTGGATAGAAATATATTTGAGAACATCATAGGGCTAACATTAAAAAGGCAGGCTGACCTTATAATCAAGACATACCAGAATGTAGTAGTGGAGAATTGGGCAAGACTGATGAAATATATCAAATGGTGCAGAAGAAACTCAGAATTTAAAGTACACGTCAGATTTCAAATCCAGAGGGAGTTGCAAGAGTGTTTAAGTGGATGTTTATGGTTTAGAAATGCCTGAGCTGAAGTTGAAGCAAGGCTGGATGCAGGTATAGTGAGCCCAGATTAGAACCACAAACAGTGAAAGGACCATAAATCTCAGGCTTGTTTTCAGGACTCATTTGAGAAACTGGCAGTGATATAGAGAGCAGCAGTGAGGGCTATCCAGCTCATTGCTTGTGAGTGGAGCAGAGACTATTTATTTGGATGAAAAATACTCCTGCAGTCATTTGTGAAGGAAGATTTATTATTGCAAAGTTAGGCGAAAAATAAATAAACATTGCAAAGGCTTAGGAATTCAAAAATATGGCTAACTTTAATGCAAATTGTAACATCCCATAGTGGCAGGGAGAAAATCACAAGGCTAGAGCTTAAAATATTCAAGAAATCCAAAAGCCAGCTGATATACACAAGGCTAACCAAGCCTATGATGTATCTAAAGTCCCATCCTCTCCCATCCTGGTCTAACTTTGTGCTAGTGTCCCTGGAGTAGAATAGGTTTTGGTATGGTGTAACTCAACTTCTCCAAATCCCAACCCTCTGTCTGTTTTGTGACTCTTCTGTTAGCACAGGGGTTCTCAACTTGTGGGTCCACAGGTTTTTTGGCCTACAACTCCCAGAAACCCCAGCCAGTTTACCAGCTGTTAGGACTTCTGGGAGTTGAAGGCCAAAACATCTGGGGACCCACAGGTTGACAACCACTGTGTCAGCACATTATAACCAGCATAGCAATTCTGCTGTCAGTTTGTTCTTTTAGCAGATTTCTAAAATCAGATGGGATAAGAGCATAATAATAAATAATAAATAATAATAATAAACTTTATTTGTACCCCACTACCAGCGGCGTGAGCTTCCACTGTCAGCCCTAGCTTCTGCCAACCTAGCAGTTCGAAAACATGCAAATGTGAGTAGATCAATAGGTACCGCTCCGGCGGGAAGGTAACGGTGCTCCATGCAGTCATGCCGGCCACATGACCTTGGAGGTGTCTACGGACAACACTGGCTCTTCGGCTTAGAAATGGAGATGAGCACCACACCCCAGAGTCAGGCATGACTGGACTTAATGTCAGGGGACTACCTTTACCTTTACCATCTCCCCAAGGGACTCGGTGCGGCTTACATGAGGCCAAGCCCAAAATACATCAACCAAAACATCAATAAACACAAGATCAATAAAACAATCAATAAAATACAAATCATATAAATCACATGAACAAAAATAATAAACAATCAATAGTGACATATAAACATTTTAAAAATGGACGGCCAAATGTAATAGATTAAAATTGAAAATATGCTGACGTGAACAGAGTAAAATATAACTGAGATAGGATTTCCAGAGAGAAATGAGGGAATGCAGTCAATCCTAAGTCAGTATTAAAGTGCATTATGAGGGCATATTGCTGAGAGATCTCCTTATTCTGGGAAGGCACACTGGAACAACCACGTTTTCAGGTTCCTCCTAAAGACTGCCAACGTTGGGGCATGTCTGATGTCCCTGGGAAGTCTGGTTACATCCCGAATAGAGTACTACAACACGCTCTATGTGGGGTTGCCTTTGAAGACTATTCAGAAGCTGCAAATAGTCCAACGGGCAGCAGCCAGATTTCTAACTAGAGCAACGTACAAGGAGCAAACAACCTTCCTGTTACATCAGCTCCACTGGCTGCCAGTCTGCTATCAAGCACAATTCAAAGTACTGGCTTTAGCCTATAAAGCCCTAAATGATTCCAGCCCAACTTACCTATCTGAACATATCTCCCTTTATGACCCATCTTGAAGGTGAAGATCATCTGGGGAGGCCTTGCTCTTGGTCCTGCCTCCTTTGTAGGTGCGGTTGGTGGGAACAAGAGACAGGGTCTTCTCAGTGCTGGCCCCTTAGCTTTGGAATTCCCTCCCTAGTAAAATCAGGTTAGCCCCCCCCCCCCCCCCCCCCCCGACCTTCAAAAAAGATTAAAATGTGGATGTGGGACCAAGCATTCAGATAATAATTTTTTTCTGTGCAATAAGTGAATAAGGAATAGTGCAATGACAATTGGAACAGCCTTGGACTATGATGTTGATTGTGTGGTTTTAAAATTGGTTTTAATGTTTGCTGTGCTTTTAGTGTTTGGTTTTTAATGTATACGTTTATTTTGTTAGATGTATGTTTGTATGGCATTGAACTGTTGTCTATATATAAGTGAGTTGCTCTGCGCCCCCTTCAGGGTGAGAAGCGTGGGATACAAATATGGCAAATAAATAAATAAATAAATAATGGCATTATGGTTTCAGGGTACTGCATATCAGGCAAATTCTATTGATCACAGGCTTATCTGAAGGAAGCTTGGTTGGCCCACTTCTCTTTTTTTAGCAGGCAAAAAGCTTCTTTTAATCTGGTTAATGTAGAACAGTGGTTATACCATGACTTCTTTTATTGGTTAAAGGCCATTTTGATTTTTGATTGCTGTAGAAGAGAGAAGAGAATCCCTACTTCGACAACAAAAAAAGCAACATGGAGATATTAGATGCATGTTATCCTGTATGGGGTGCTGACAGCATGCCAACTTAGTGTATATGCATTCAACTAGATTGGCAGAATAAAGACTGTAAACAAAGTTGTTTAACAAGCTGTATTTTCCTTTACAGAAAGATGCACTTCAGCATGTAATTTGCCATCTTGGAGAAAAAGAAGCCCACATATTAAAGTATATACCAAAGTTGAAAAAACCCATTCAGGTATTTTTAGTGCTGGCATTTCTGTTGTTACTTGCCATCAGGTTGACTTCAGTTTATGACAGTATTATGAATGAGGGATTTCCAAGAGCTCTAGTCATCAACTCGTCTGTTCAGGTCTGGCAAATTCACATCAATCATAGCTCCTTTCATTGAATTCACCCTTCAAATGTTTCCTAACTTGTTAAAAGTGAAAGCATTCTACGATTGTTTAAAAAGATTTTAGAAGGTTTTTTTAATTGCACAGATTGTTTATTTAATTTTTATAGCTTCTGGTTAAGAAGGCAGAACTCCCAAACTATGTTAAATTTAGAACCTGTGCATTTGCGCCCAAATTGTCCTGGATAAGGAAAACAAATATCAAGATCCAAGGCCAAATAGCAAGTAGATCACAGCTTTTTCTTTCTTGAACAAACTGTTTAGAAGTCAAGGGATCAATTGCCATTTTAGGTCATCATGATGAGCTTGGGGGGCAGACATATCATTTTTCTTCTGACTAACCTGTTTGCATTAGAAGCTTTCTCTTTTGGTTTTCTCCTTAGTGAAATAATATGAAACTCAGAAAACAGCAATACGAGATAATGATTTTATTGCTGTGAAAGTACACACTGATTCTTTCTGTCTAGTGTTCCTGTTGTTTTTAGCTAATATTGTTGTAATGTGTCTTCAAAACATTTCTGATTCATGAAAACTCTATGGTGAACCTATCTCAGAGTTTTCTTGGCAAGATTTGTTCAGAAAGAGATTGCTTTTGCTTTCCTTTGAGACTAAGAGCCACATATCAGATGTGTGGTTTACCCATAATTCATGTTCCATATCAAGATATTATTTAGGCCATTGGTTATGGAACACTTTGATGCTTTATATCTCACATGCCATGTATCAGTGTTTTCAGTCTTGCTCCTGTCATCATTTCAGAACCTCGAAGAAATGGAAGCAGATAAAATGGAAGCAAATTTGACAGACGAGGGGGGAAAAGGAATTGATATACGGAAGTTATATATTGCTGCTCTTATGGTTTACCCTCAAAAGTGTAAAACAAGCTGCAAATTCAAATGACATGCTCATCAAGAAATTAAACTGGAGATGCAAGGTGACAAATATTAACACTCCTAAGTGCAGAAGTACAGAGCTGGTAAAACATATGCATTAAACTATGTAAATGAGGCATGCAGTTCTGAATGAGTTCTTTTATTGTTGATATTTAATATAGTTTGAAAATTTCAGATACTTAGTGGGTACTATATTGTGATGGTCTAAATGCCTTTAAAGGAGAATTGTTAAAGACAAGAATTTAAAATACTCTTTCTCATACCCTCTAGAACACTTATTTTTAACGTATAGGTCTTGACCCCAAATTGGGTCCCTTAATTTAATGTTGGGGTCAAGAAACATTTGGCAACAGTAGAATGTTTCTGAACTCCATCAATTTACACAAATGTGTAAGCAACGAGGTGCAGTGTTTACAGCAGGTTCTGCAGAAAATGCTTCAGCCGGGCACCTTACCATAATGACCACCAGATACATCCCCGATAATGTACTGGCAACACTATAATACAAGAACAAATCACAGTTTGCTGCTTCTCTATGTTTAGGTCACCAGCGTCTGATTCAGCATGTCAAATTCTCACAGTGCTTACTTTGGGCTTTTCTAAACAATGGAAATGTAACTGATTGGAAATGTACATGCATTCCCTTACTTGAAGTTAAAAGTGCTTGTTTGTAGAGGCCTTCTGCCACCTTCTACAGTATTTTGGAGATCTTGATTTTTAAAAAAATTCTAACTTGCTCTGAACTTGTTGAGAAAAAAAAACCAAGAAAAAATGAAAAATGGAAAGGGGCATATTTTAACATTCAAATGTTGCAATAGATTGTTGAAGCAGTTTTCCCTCCTTCTCTAATTGGATGCTGTGCAATTTGAATTTCTAGGCCATATAACTCTATAGCCATATTTCACATCTTGACAGCCTGAAGCAATTTAAATTTTTAATTCAAAAAGGCTTCATGTGTAATTTTTGTTAAAGGGAAAACTACTGTTAGGGCCTTTTCAGGGAGAAATGTGGAGTTCTCCAATTACCGACTGCTCAGCATCTTTGTAGTTTAGTGTAAGAAATATTATGATGATAACACGAACAGTACAACTTCATGTATAAAAATGTTGACTTGTTAGCTGGGACCTATTAATCACTGTGAAGGTTAAGTACTGTTAATAGCAGACAGGAGTTAGTTTCTTGAAGCCAAAGAACTATAATCAATGGAGTGGTGAAAAGGAGAAAGAAATCAATCTTTAGGGCTGTCCCAAGTTGTCTACTTTTCTGTAAATATTTCCAGACTGGGTGCCCCTGATGGTGCAGTGGGTTAAAGCACTGAGCTGCTAAACTTGCTGACCAAAGGATTGCAGGTTCAAATCCGGGGAGCGGGGTGAGCTCCCGCTGTTAGCCCCAGCTTCTGCCAACCTAGCAGTTCGAAAACATGCAAATGCGAGTAGATCAATAGATACAGCTCTAGCAGAAAGGTAACAGCACTCCATGCAGTCCTGCCAGCCACATGACCTTGGAGGTGTCTACGGACAATGCCAGCTCTTCAGCTTAGAAATGGAGAAGAGCACCAACTCCCAGAGTCAGACATGACTGGACTTAATGTCAGGGGAAAACCTTTGCTTTTAAGTCTTATTTCCAAACTAAACCAGGAATTTATCAAGCCAGCTTTTGGGAGAGAAACGGGGAAATATTTGGCTTTTGCTAAATAAGAGCATGTGTCTAGGACTGTCAAATGACAAGAGAAACCAACCTAGCCTGCTCTGAGTTCCAATTGTAGCTCAATTTGCAGAAATGAACAGATTTAAAATTCTATTCAGATCTACAGAGAAAAATCTGATTCTAGCAGGATCAGAATCGTATGGATGATATATGTTCCCTCCCTCCTTCTACTAATCATTAAACAATTGAAATGTTCCTGCTGTACTGACTTATAATTATGAAATTTTGCAAATGGATCCAAGTGATTAACCTTATTGTGATATCTGTTTTATTGCTTATTGTGCATTTTAATGACATTTCATTTTGGAAAGAGGAACTGATGATCAAGGCTGCCCTTCAAGTTACATGGTAAAGTATCTGTATGTCACACATGGCACAACCATTTCTGTTTAAGGAATATGTTACCTGTCAGTTTCAGAATTATTTGACTTTTTAAAGGGATGATATGTGGCAGACAATGGTTAGTTAAATTCAAATGACAATGCTAAGAACAGTTTCATTGCTCAAAGACAAAAAAACAAAACAAATCTTTTTATAGCAGAAGAACAACCACTAGAGGGCAATATGAGCACATATATGGAACTTGGATGCTGAAATCTTCCTAATTGTAATATCTTGACAACACTGAGTACCAGATGAGTTCACCAATGAACTTGCATACAGACCTCCTTTGACAGACTGGGGTGTTAATCTTTTAAAATGTAATTTAAAGCTGATTTGAGAGAGACTGCATTAACTTGCTGTACTAAAATTAGAATAGCACAAGTAAATTTTGGATTTCTATAGAGTGCAAACGATCATTACTTTGTAGGCTTGTTCAGTATCCTGTTTTATGAGAGATTGTAAACTACATTCTATATGCTTGTTCAAAAATTAATGCATTGTGATTTTTATGGTGGTTTCATATCATTGAATCTCTAGTTCTGTTTTGCTGTTTATAAGCTCTAGCTGAGCAAAAGTGTTGTGTTTTCCCCCAGTCTGACTAGTATTAGAGGCCTGCAGTTTAAAATAATGATACAGTTTCATTATCTGGGTGGATGCCACTAGGGAGTGCTAGAGAGAGAAGGGTAGTCCATTTTATGGGGGGAAGTTGAAGGAGGAAAACCATTTCCCCTGTTTTCACTGATTATTCCCCACTCACCTTTCCCATATCATGAACGAGGGTTGTTTCCACAGTGTGGATATGGGTGGAGGGATAACAGGAAAACAGGAAAATGGAGAAATAGTTTTACTCCTTCAACCCACCCTCCGCCCCCATAAAATGGACTATCTGTTCTCTAGAGCTCCCTTGTGGCCTCTGCCCGGCTAATGGAACACTACCAAAATAATTTTAAACAAAGGCTGTTAATGTTACCTATATTTTCACTAGGAATTTTGGAACATTTTTATTCACAACTTTGGACAAAGCAATTTGTCATTAATAAGCAGGATGCACTCAATGAGAGCAGCTCCCTCCAAGTATTTTCATTGTGCAGAAGCTCTTTTGTTCTGTCACAATGTGCTTGCAAAGTCAGGGAGATTAGAACATCTGTGTAAGCTACTAGACACAATCCTCTACTGTATTGATTAGAGCAGCTTTGCACATCCTGTGGCCCTTCAGATGTGTGTGCCTCCAATTCCCAGAAGCCCTAGCCAGCTTGTCCAATGGTCAGAAATTCTGAGAGGTAAACTCCAAAATACCTGGAAGGTCAGAGGTTGTGCAGGTTTGGACTAGATCATGTAATATAAACTCTTTATTTTATGAAAAACAAACAATTGGTAGTAACTATGAATCTGAACTAGAGAGAGAGCAGCTAACAACATTAACTGTGTTTTTGTAATGACTGCAAAGCTATTAATGAAAGCATGACAAAACTATAATATGGTTTTCTTTCTCTTTTGAGTACAACACAAGCGAATTCCCATGTCAAACATGCATATATTTGAAATAGGGATGCACCATGTTTTAGCTAGTGGGACACTGTATAACAAGGAATACATTAAGGAAAAACGCTTACTAAAATATGCACAAATCCCAGTGTGGAAAGAAGAAAAATATGTCACAACCCAGTTTTGAATTTTGGATGAGAATACAGGTGGGATTTTGAGAAATGCATTGAAACAGAATCAGTCACAGTTGCTGGAATTGATTTCCAAGTGATGTGATCATTAACTATTGGGCAGTGACTGCTTGTGTCAAATGCCAACACCTTTATCTCGACATTGCAGCAAGAACACATTCCATGGAGGAGGAGTTAGAAACCCCCCTCCGATAAGGTTATGGCAATGTTTCAAGACCAAAAGCTAGCAGATGTTTAATATTTCTTACCTTGAGACCACAGATACCCTGCTGTTTTGATTTAGCATGTTAGAAAAGCTCTCAGCATGGCCTGTGCTGAAGCTGTGGCAGAGCATGCATCCTCAAAAGTGGAATTCATCTTTGTTCTTGTGCCTCCTTTGCCCTTGGTTGTGTTGCATTTATTAGAAGCTATGCTTCCCAATGCATCTCAGTAGCTTCTCCTGTCTTTCTTTTATCACTGTTTGTGGCTGAGAGAAAAATAAAAGCTAGGAAACATCCTATAATTTTACAACCACTCATTATTAAACATCTGCATCATCCTTTGTTTAATAAAAGTATGACATCTGGGGTAAATAGCATCTCACAGCAGGGCATTTTGGGGGGAGTCAGACCATGGCAGAAGGAAAGCATTCAAATCACTTCTGTGGGCTACAGTCTTGTTTCTCTTAACCCACCATGGCTAGAGTTAAAAGTTAAACACATGTAGATATGTGAAATGCAGTCACCCATTTCACATTTTGTCTGGGTGCTAAAGTAACATTTCAATTAGTGTCCTTATTCTATCTGATATAGCATGCTTTGGCTCTCGAAAACCCGAGTGCTCCTCTTCTAACAATACCCGACTTAGTGTAAGATATCAGTATTATCAATTCTGTAATCTTAATGAAGTCACAGAGTCAGGCCAGTGAGTTATCTAATTCTATTTATGCAGCAACAACTGAAAAATTAGTTTTTTCAAGATCAAGTAGATATTTTTCACCTTTACTACACAAGAGAATTATGGGACATAAGGGATTGATCCAATCTACCTAGGAACAAAGAGTTGTGTGATATTGCTTCCCTAAATTTCCATAATGTAGAAGCATTTTCTAACACTGATAAAAAATGTGTGGTTTCTTCAGTCACA